GGTTTGGGGTTATCAATTAATCGATACACGCAGATTCGATTTTCTCCAATATATTTTTCCGCCTCGTACAACACGTCTTAACACACAGAATACACTCGGTCAATTAACACGTGGTCGACTTCTAAGACAAAAAAGCGTCGTTAGAAGTCGTACCAACTTAGCTTAGTAACTAGCGATCATGCCAACCTGACATTTCTCAACAAATTGAAGGGAAAGAAGAAACTCGCGGAAAGCGGGAAAGATGCTTTGGAAACTTGAGAGTGTAATTTGAAATTAATTTCCGCAAAATTCTTGTACGTTGAATTTTATAGTTGGCGCTTTATAGCTCGTGTATTCTTAAAAAATTTCGCAATTATTTCTATAAGGATAAAGAAAAGATTGATGTAGTACGATGTCTACCCAATGGCTACTTAATTAATAGCTTAATTAATAGCCGATTCGTTTGAACATTATGTAAATTACAAGCCTATTTGCTTTTGACATCCTTTGATCGCTAATTCTCGGCATCGTTAAAAATTCTCGTATTACATTTTCAAACAGATAGCTACATCACTTCGTTTATAATTTATGCAAAGAAGAAATATCCATCAAGATTTGCCAAAGTTCAATATAAAATATCCTATTCCCGCTGTTCGAATAAAGAATTTCAATGAAATCATTTGCAATGATAATTATAGCAAGTCCTAAGACTTTTGTCGCTGTTTTACGTAACTCTCTTTGGCTTCACCTTAAAACAAAATTCAATCGAAACGCTGCGATTACCAAGTATAAAATATAATAAATAAAAATAGACTTTCGGTTTGGTTCGGGGCGAGGGTGACACGCGGACGGAGAGCTTTGTGGAAAAAGGGAAGTGCGAAGGGAAAAAGGAGAAGGAAGCACAAAGTGACGCGAAGAAGGGAAAATAAAGGATGAGAATACGAGGAAAAAGTGAAAGAAAAGCGAAAAGAAGTCAGGAACGAGAGAGAGGTAAGAATTAGAAAAACTAGAGGAGAAGAGGTTGGGAAGGCAAAAGCGCGGCAAATAAAGTAAGGAAAAGACAGATGGCGTTAAACAGAGTAAGACCAAGGAACGCGGGTAAAGCGGGAGATAAGGCAGATTTCAAAAACACATTGGATAATAAATAAAAATAACAATGATCGGTTGATAAATCGTACGTTACAAATTTTGTACATTTTTGCATATTCGAATTTTCTGAGAATGCACAGACTCTGTTATTAAAAATTGCAAACGACTTATGCATTTCGAGGAAATTCGACTTTGTTCGAAGAGGAGGCAAAGTCATACAAGTATCTGTAAAAATTCTCTGTCAACAGATCGGATTGATGAGGAGCGGTCGCTTGCTAGCCGAGGAATCACCCAGGGCTCTCCTCACAATGTTCAACTGCACTTCTCTCGAAGAAGCTTTCCTGAAACTATCGCGACAGGAAGGACAGAACAGCCAACCACCAGCAGAATTAAATATCACGAATAATATTAGTCTGGTAAGAAAAACGAGATCGTACGTTACTAAAATATTATTCATGATATCACCTAAAATATTTGCTATACGAAAAAAGATATTATATTTCTTAAAACAAAGACCTTCAAATTTCACGGAAAACGCAAAGAATTAATCTTGACCACGTATTTGCAGGCATCTCTGAACTGGGGCAAGAAGAACGAACCGGTGTACGTGACGGAAGAGTCAGGCGTCGTTGGCTTAAACTTCCACCAAAGTAAAGAGGTCCTCATTCATGACTCGACGAATGGTATCGGAAACCACTACGATGTAAGAGCACTTCTGCTTGTCTGCAGTATCTACGATATTTGAAGCAAATCTCTAGAACTTCCTTGAATCGCGTGTCTTCTTTCTTTCTATGAAATAGATAAACGGAAGGCCGCTATCCGCAATGAAGAACTCGTCGTTTATTAACGATTGCTCTGACATAAGGGAGTGCTACGGTATAACGAACAGTGGCAAAATGAAAGCGTTATTGCAGAAGAACTTTTTGCGTATGTGGAGAAATGTGGGGTAAGTTTTTCTTGCGTTACATGGGATAAAGACAACGCTATATTCTGCTCTTTGTTAGATGAAGATAATAAAATTGTCTTTTATATTCACAGAGTGATGCTGTTCATTTTTGCGCTGCCAGTAATGCAAGTAGTCCTATTTTGTTTAGCAATTGGTAGGGATCCAAAAGATTTGAAAATAGCGATAGTCAATCACGAAATGGTCTATGGAAACGAATCTTGTCCGACAACGGAGGATTGTAACTTTTCGCATCTTAGTTGTCGATATCTAAAATTTCTGGACGAAGATATGATAACTATAGTAAGATATATATATATGTATATATATATAATAGAGAGTGACTTTGTAGTTTTAATTTGCAGTTACTAAAAGGAACATTTATGTTTTAGAAATATTATCCTGATCCGGAATCAGCCAGAGATGCAGTTCGCGATGGAGACGCTTGGGGAACTCTGTATTTTACAGAGAACTTCACCGACGCTCTTGTTGCGAGAATGGCCTTGGGAAGAGAAGCTGACGAGGAGACGTTAGATCAAAGCGAGATCAGAGTCTGGCTGGATATGTCCAGTAAGTTTTCGAGTCATTAGAACAATATGCAGCACTATTCGTGTTTCAAGAGCTATATTTTATATCAATGTGAATTTAGTATTAATCACAATTCTCTTGAATATATCGCTTCTGAAATACAAAATGAAAAATATAGCTAGCCAGAAACTTTTGCATATCGCTCTATTTCTCCAAATTTTAAGACGTAACCAATTACTACGATTTATTATTGCAGATCAACAAATAGGTTTGATGTTAGCCAGAGAATTTCAATATTCGTACAGAGACTTTGCCCAAGATCTTCTATCAGCCTGCAAACAGAACACAAAGCTAGGCGACGTACCGATTCAGTTTAAGGATCCAATTTATGGCTCTAAAGAGCCCAGTTTCACCGATTTCGTAGCACCAGGAGTAATTTTAACGTGAGTAAAAATCAATATACCACGTTGTTAATTTTATCATGAAGATCATCGTCAGAATGCTTTTCTTGCAGTATTGTCTTCTTCTTGGCTGTGGCTCTCACTTCTTCTGTTTTGATCATCGAGAGAATGGAGGGTCTTTTGGATAGAAGCTGGGTAGCTGGAGTTACACCGGCAGAGGTTCTTTTCTCTCATGTGATTACACAATTCGTGGTGATGTGCGGACAAACTGCATTAGTACTCATCTTCATGCTCGCTGTCTTTGATGTTGAATGTCAAGGACAACTCGGCTGGGTGATCGTATTGACGATTCTTCAGGGCCTTTGTGGCATGTGCTTCGGTAAGTTCAAAATCCATAATTGATTCTTGAAATTTCTGTGTACAACGATCAACCATTAGGTAACAAGAGCTGAATTAATGCTGACTCGTGCAGACATTTCATTCCAAGATTTATTACTTTCTACAAGTATCATATTATTAAAATAAAATATTCGATATTTATGACAATGATTCAACCTCTACTAGACGAGGGTTAAAGATAAATTTGTACAAATTTTGTTCGCTATTTGCTCAAATAGAAGTAAGTTTATACAACCTAGCCTGAGAGGATTATTCACATCCTAAAATCGTTCTTGTATTTCATTTTCTATTTCATCGTCTGTCTGACGAAACATGTTGATCGACTTTTCCTTAAGATAAGTTAACGGAACAAATTAGAGGAAAGATTCATTTATGTTTTTCTTCTTGTTTCTAGGGTTTGTAATTTCAGCGATTTGCGAACTTGAAAGGAATGCAATCCAGCTGGCTTTGGGTAGTTTCTATCCAACGCTTCTATTAAGCGGTACGTATGTTATATAAATTGAAAGCATGTAATGCACAAGATAAAAACAAGTAAAGTAAAAAGATATAGTCAATGATGCAATGAAATGTTTTTTTCGAACTGCGGAACCTCTTGTCACAGTGAAAAGCACAACATTTCCGTTAGAAAATTTCTTAATGTAAAAAACACACGAATTTAGCAACGATCATTGTGATCAAGTGTCAGCTAGTAAAAGTGAAAGTTATTCGCATTCTTAATTATGTTCCACTTGAAGATGCTCGGTTCGTACATTTAAGAAACATACAGTTGCGCGACATTAACCCAACCGAGAATATTATTGTAATATATAAGAATAATCAACGTATGTTGGACTTTGACTGCCCAATAATCAAAGATTAATTCACCGTTACTAGACTGCGAATATTTGTGCAAATTCATATTTTTATGTTATATAATAGAAAATAGATCCTTGCTAGAAAATTGATGTACCTACTAAATATTGCGAGCACTATAATTTAAATATTTATACATCTTTGTGCATTCTGTTTGTATTTGGAACTTCGAATTTTCCATGCATAAACATCCACAGTTTATTCATTCCAAGAAACTACTTCCCTTATATTTACCATCGTATCAATTAATTTACATCCAATATGTAATGTTGATTTATTTGCCGAATTTTAGGTGTGATTTGGCCGATAGAAGGTATGCCGAAGTTGCTTCGAGTCCTAGCTCAGTGTCTTCCACTGACAATGGCAACGACATCACTACGTGCAATGCTGACACGTGGCTGGTCCATGTCGGAATCGGATGTTTATTTCGGCTTCATCGCAACCATCGTCTGGATAGCCCTCTTCCTCACGATAAGCATAGTGGTACTGAGGCTCAAGCGCGGATAAGACTTGATCGTAGCATTTTCATATCGTTATTACCACGTGAAAGAGAGAAATCAAGCTAACGACACGTTGGTTCGACTCGAGCAACCACAGTCAGCCATCGCGTCGGTGGAAACTCGAAGCGAGGAAAGATCACTTCAACAGCTTCCTCGAGACGATCTCGTAGTACCCTCTGTGCGTGAATCTTCAGATATATGTGATGCTATTTGTGCGCTTGGTATCTTTTACGTGTGAATCAGGAACGAATGACTGTATATCTGATCCTTAGGGATTTCTTCTCTTTTATCCTCTCTTTTTATCCTTCCTTTTTTAATTCAACGTCTGTAATATAACATTTATTCGCACGACGATGCATTTTACTATGGATATCCACAAGTATTCATCGTCTCGTTTAAATTCACCTATTAAGAGAAAATATGCTGTACAGATTGCTTGGCGATGAATGAGACGATCTTTACTTAAATCCAATACAATGTGCCCTGGTATTTGTCGTAAATTTGTTGTAAGTGGTTAAGTTAACAAATAGCAAATTAGATATAGGACAGTTTTACTTGCCCATGACTTAAATGTATGTTTTATTTATCTTCTGACGTCAAGAGGAATTGTGTAGTTAAACGGGAAACGGAGAAAGCGTTTCTCTAAGCGTGGAATGGAAATACGTTTCCACGAGAGGAATATATGAAATAATGTATAAAAGCAAACTTTGACCGAGATAATTACCGGATGGATATATATATATAATTAGAATAATTAATATGCGCTAGTGTGCTTAGTGGTTCTAAGATACGAAATATGTACCATATTGTAGAATGTAAATTATAGCAATTATATTTTATACTTTATCGATCTTCTTGATTATTCGTGTTTTAGAGAAACGGTTACTTTGAATAAAATTATTCTGCAAGGAATACATAGGAAGCATGTTTTAGAACAAAAGAACAGAAGCACTGTATATTTCCGTTTTCCGTTCTCTATTTTCTGTTTAAAAATCATTTACAAAAAAAATAAAAAATATTTCAAGATGTCTATCACGTAGTTCTTTATTAACCATCTGAACAATTGCATGTGCAATCCCTCGTTATTGCAAATTAGTCTCAATCTAGTTACTTAATCAACGTCAATTTGTATTTTTCTTGCTCGGCGAACCACTCTCCGTTCTCTATAACCGTACGCTTCCAATACTCTGAAATGTAATTAAACTGGCACAATTATTATTCACCTTATCTACCTACATACGAAGACCTTATCAAATAAAATATACCACTTAATTCCTTCACTGTTCCATTCATACCGCCATATTCCTTTGGCAACATATTCACTGGCAAAGTTTCGTATAACTTTAATTTATCACGTGCATGAACATGTACTCTTTGTTTCAACTTTGTAGTCATAAAGCTTCTGAAAACGTTTAAGACTGTATTTATGAATTTGTGAGTATTGATAAAATCCAACGAGTAAATTCTAACAGGATAGCAGCCCTGCCATGCGTGAACTAGATTTTTAATAACACTCGGTGGTAATTGAAATACATGCTCATATGTAATTCCACTTATATCCAAGATAGCCGTTATACCGTGAATCGTTACGGATTCGTGGTCTCGTAAAGCTAGATCCAAAATCATCAACGATGCCTGAAAAAAGAAAAGTTATTTTATTGTTTCACAAAATAAATTAATTTTGGATTTCGTTCCTGTATACAAAGCAAAAATTTCGTTCGCGATTATACCTACGAATTTAACAAAATTATCAAATGCAACTACTTCGTTATTTCATTTGCAAACTGCAATTCCGCTCTACGATCACTAATATTCAATGTCTTTTATACCTTCAACATGTCTGACATTTTGTGTCTATTAGGAGAATGTGCTGCAGCACGTATTATCACAACCATTCTGCCTTCGTTATCTAATTTTCTTAAAGGCAAAAACACCCTGAAAAATTAAGCTTAAAAAGGAACAATTTTTTTACATACAAAGTGCATTTTTTAATTATATTATGGAAATCGCACGTTAAACATGTACGTGTAAAAAATATTACAAAGAAATTACTTTAGAACGTTATACATGAACGTGTAAAAAATATTGCGAAGAAATGATTTTAGAAGTACATACATATTACATTGTTGTAAGTATGGCTGACATGCAGAATTGAAACTGAAACAATAGTCGATTTATCATACTGTTACGATTTATCATACTCAGATAAGGTATCAACATCGGCATTATACCCAACCTCGAGCTTACGAAAAGATACTCACAATTTATAACGCTAAATGTGACCAAAGAGGCTAGAGATATCGATAACATAAATATTAAGCATTGTTTTCACTATATTTAATTTTTAGAAATAGCAATATTCAAGAAAGTCGAGACGCTATTGAAATATATTAATTTCCTAGATATTATTTAAAAGTATGTAAAAATCATTAATGAAGATATATAAAAATATACTTAAATATTTTTATAGACATTACCCCAAATCAAAGAGTTCTTGCAACTCTGGTAGAAATGGATCTCTGTTGCTATACCATTCTGGAAGATTCGCCCTCTGCTTATAATAATTCCATAATTTAGATTTTGTCTTCTCGATATTAAATTTGCATGCCCTCAAGAAACGTAGAATGAAAAAATCATCTATGAAAATATAAAATGCATATTTCCTTAATAGCAAAGTAATAAAAAGAAAGAGAAGTTAATGGTGAATGTTTAAAACGAATGATGAATACCAGTAGGTGCGTGTAAATCTTCATTCTCCGTTATCCATTGCCTTATTTCAGCAATTTTAATTGGTCTGGTTTCGTCTGTTTCATTCAAATTAGCCGCCATATACGCTTTCTCCTCCGTAGATAGTTGACAAGTATATTCATTTAACGTCGACATAATATTACATTAATTATTTGTCATTCGCCAGTAAAGACACCAAGAATTAGATTTTGTTTAATACTCTTTTTCGCATTTAAACAAACATCTTCAATATTAACATATATGTCACAAATAGAAGCAAGAGAGAACAAATATCGTAAATGCGCGATCTGCCGACATCGAACGTCGGTAGAGATCTAAACGATCTATAGCGCAAGTACAAAATAAATTAGAGACATCTATCGGAGTGTTTGCGATATCTGCACGTACGATTGAAAATATGTTTGTGCACTGAATCACTGATTACTGACCATTGGCCAAGGACAGGATAAATTGACATCACAGACGAAGCAAACTCGTCTGTGCCAGTAACACAGATAAGATCCGGTATGTACCATACTGAATCGGTAACATTGCATTTGACACGAAAATGGTGAAGTGAAAATAGTAATGATAATGGAGATTCATGAGACACGAAAAAGCATTATATATCACGCCTATTTTGCAACTCATCTGTAACAGAACTTTGCTTCTTGACTTAGTCCTAATAAATTTTTAAATACATTCTAAATGTCTAAAATATATACTAATCAAAATGAAGAACGTAATTTACGTTCTAATCAAAATGTATTTATTTTTGACACATCGAACTGATATAAATGTAAAACTGCAATAATTAAATTCTTTTTCATGTGTATACATATACTGACATCACGTTACGAGTTTTAATTATTTTTGTTTTCCCCGTTATTCTGAACCATACGCGGTTGCACCATAGTTTCCACAAGAAATATTTCCTTCTATATTACAAAAAAATTATTTTTAACAATCATAAAGTTCGATTAGCACCAATGGTAGTAGCACAGATGAAATTGTAATAGTTTAACCATACCTCGGTAATCTTAAGTAAAAGCTGCTGCAGTTGGTTGTATTTCTTTTCAAAGCTCTTGATTGGTTGTTTTTTTTCAGAATTATTCTGGAATTCTACGAGCGTCTTGTTTCGTTCCAAAAACTTTTCAACTCTTTGATAATAATCTTTCAAAAGGATCTTCAACTTCGAATATATCGAAAACAAAATATTTGTGAGAGATCCATCCATTATTAACATGCGCAAAATTAACATTTCCATATTAGCGAGAATATTCCTTCGATATGCAATACTATCAAAATTGTGAAAATATTCTTCGAAGACTACAAAATCTTCCTCATTTTCATATCCTCCCATCTCTATGTCCAAATATTCCATTTCATCGGCATCTTCTATATCTTCATCATCATTATCATCCAGAACGTCACTATCGTACACTATCAAATCCTCCATATTCTCCTTTAATTGTGTCTTATACTAAATTTAAGAAGTATTCAAGGATTATTTAATAACTAGAGTATAACTAGAATAACTGCGAATATTTTTATGAATATAATTAAAAATTCATGTTTTTATGAATGAAATTAAAAAAATGGAATTTAGTTAAAGAATAGCTTATTCATTTTATTATATTATTCTTATCTTATTTATAGTAAATATTATAACAGGTACCGTCCTTTATATTTTTTAATCTTCTACAAATGTACAAAAATTCGTAATTCATTAATACTATTAATACATTTTATTTCAAAGGACATCATAAACCAGTAACACGAATGCACGTTATTTTATATCTTAAACTTACTCGAGAGTAGCGATCTATAACGAATAGCATCTTCTTGTATTCGCACGAATGTCTTTTCAAACATACGTGCAATTCTTCCATTGTAAAGATATATCCTTTTCCTTCCTTTAATAATCTTTCAAGAAATGTTTCCTTCCGTAATAACTACAGACACGCAAATTGATTTTCGATGTAAAAGAATCGATAGAAAAAGATTTTATATAGGGTATCCTAGTAATAATCATGATACAATCGACAAACGATACTGCATGGCAAAATAAGTAGAAAATATAGAATAAAATTTGTTTATGTGGCACTTCATTTTCATTAAAATCGAATTTGAAAATTTATTTATAATAGTGTATAATATTCGCTTGTAGCATATGTAAATTTGGTTAATTAATTACTGGATACTAGTAAACAATTAACAAAAGATTATTCTATATGCAGAAACAGGTAAGAAATGTAGAATAAAATTTTTCCATCTAAGATATCGTTTTTAAAAAACTACATTTGAACAGGTTTAGTTAAGAATACATAAATTAAATAATATCATAGTGATACATAATATTATTATATTATAACTTAAGTTACCATAGTCTGAGCTAATTATCATTACATGATAGATTGTACGCACGCAAATTACAATAATGAAAAAAGAAGTTAAGAATTTATCTGATACACGTGTACTTGATAAATTTTCAAAGTTGATTTTGATTTGATTTTTTCAAATTCTCACACACAGAATAACCTCATGTCGATTATTTATTCTTGTCCAACGAAGAACAGGTCAAATCCGAGTATACTTGATAAATTTTCAAATTCGATTTTCTTAAAAACGGTGGGCAGTGAAGATAACTTATCCTATATTTCCGACGTGTTTTCCACATAAAATTACTCCCTCGCCTATTATACCATGATATACTGTGACAGTCTGTATATAGCGTACTTACTACCTTTTTACTTGTCATTCTAACAAGTAAGATATGGCAACTTTCGTTAATATTCTTAAACACCAGCGCTAAGTGCACACAGTTTTTATCCTAGAGTCAAATATTTTATAAAACTAAACAAAACCCAAATTCCATTGTAAGCTTTTTAAATTACACTTGAACTGAAAGTAACTTAAACATATACAAAACAAGATTTCGATTTTCTCAGAATGTTTCATACACTATTCACAACTGAAACAATTGACAGCTAACAAAATCTATCTTCGTCTGCTGTCGAACGGTTAACTGAATTTCTGTTTACAATTTTGTAACGTGACACTAACAGTCGGATAAGACGATTTGGCCAACAACGGTCCACGAATATGAAGATCAAACCGATGTTAGTAAAGTGTCTTAGTTCCTTTTCCTATTACTCGTAAGTTAATCCTCTAAACATAGTAAATTTTTCTGTCGTATAGAAATTGGTTAATTTATATGATTAGATTAATCTTAGAATTTATAATCTTAAGAAACATTGTGATGCCTAGTGATTATATGTACATAACAACGTGTAATCAATTGTATTTGAATAGAAATGTATCGAAACGGTTAATATACACGTGATTATTAAGTTTTAGACTATGTACTGAATTGATTATGATAGTTTTAATTGATATAATCTGTATATAAAAAATAAAACTTATAGATCAAGTCGAAGACAAATAGATATTAAATTGATTTTAGTAGTACTTGTTAAATTATGCGTAATGTGGCATTAAAGTAAATGATTATAAATTACCTTCTGTACGGAAAATTTCCTAATATGGTGTAATTTTCACAATATCGATGAAAATCTGATGATTACCGTAAACAGTGACTTTTAACCGACAAAAATGAGTTTGTTTCTGTCGGTATGTATCACTGACGTAGTTCAATATGATATCGATAGATGGTATTCGTTCATTTTGGCGGTAAATTACCGCTTTCGTTTTAAATTCGAAATAAAGTTTAAATTTACTAAAAAATGCGTTTATTGATTTATTAAATATTAGTACTTATTGCTAAGAAGATAATATTTTTGTTAGCTACAGATTAGTACTAGCGCACGTCCCTTTATTGTCAAGTCGTGCTTTCTTCCTTTTCTCTGTTTCCTAATATGGAAGTTTAAAAAATTTATAAAATATTCAAAAAGATAAATTTTTGAAAATAATAACGGTATTAATTACAAAATATTTGAATTTAGAATGAAAAATTTACCTCTGTTTTACGCAATATTTCTCGTTGAAACTTGTCAAACTTGTGCCGAATCATATCGAACGATTTTTTCTCAGATTTTAGTAATGCTTTCATCGATTTATCAGTATAATGCAATAAATAGGCATTTCTTTCGCTATAGTCTCGAAAACCGGATTCCAATTTCGATTTCATTTCAAGATGTTGATTGGATAACGTGACAATTTCACGACGAGCTTGATCGACTTCTTCTTCTAAATTGATTAACACTTTTTGATAACACGAAATATCTCGCTCGATCGTTCTTTCGATTTCATATATTGTTTTGATCTCCTCTGGACTTTCTAATTTCATTATCTGTCGAATTTGCTGATGTTTGCTAAGTTTATCTCGTGCATCGTCTAAATTTCTCTTTGCCTAACGAATAATTTCGAAGAATTAACCATTTCAAATCTTTGGAGAAAATTTGTTTAAACATTGATAGTAAACTGCAATATACCTGGAAATATTTATCAACCATGTTTGTAAATCTTTGTCGAACAACGGCAAGAGTCCTTTCGTTTCTATCAAATATTTCCTTCATTTTTGCATATTTTAGTTCCTCTTTTAAGAAAGAATCAAATAAACGTCGAACCTTTTTTCAATATATGTAAATTAGTGACACATTCAAATGGTTCGAAGAAATGTAGTATAATAAAGTCTAACCGTCATAATATTCTCGCTATTAATTTTCAGAATTTGTTTAGACATTGCTGAATGTCTGTATTCCAGACTTTTGTCGGGAGAGAGTACATCTGCGTAGGGGCCTAAAGTCACGCCTATCGCTATTCAACGTTAAATTTTAGTTTTCTTATGAATATTCTTTAAAATTATATTAGCCGAGTAAGTGTTGGCTTACTAGATTTATCTAAACTACCAACTCTTTCTTCTAACTTTTTCGTATCTTCTTCAGTTTTAAAATCTTCTGCGGAACTCCTAACTCGTTTCCGTTTACTGACTTCATCTTCGGATAATTCAATTTCCTGTAAGTATTTCAATATACATAGCACGGATGAGCTATAAAAAAAACATTTATTAATAGACTACGGATTTGAAATTTGAAAAAGTGTGAAGATGCGCACATCATGTTTTTGTGTGTTTGTCGTGTTGTGTGTTTTCATTTCTTTAGTTATATTTAAAAACTATAAATTGTTGCATAAATATTCGCAATCTCATTAATCTCATAATCAAACCTTAAGTAGACTTTCTGCTGGGGTAGCTTCCGCTATACTTTTCACTAAACCCTCGTACGTCTCCTTTAACTTGTCAACTTCAACTTCCTTGACGCTTAATCTAACAATTCAATCATTTAGAAATCGAACCGAAAATTATCCCATAGATAACACAGATCATGCAACCTGTTATATAGATCCTTGATATTCTTTAGCAATACTTGAGCCTGAGACACACTAAACAACGTAAAATCCGAAATCTTGCCGTTTAAAAATAGAAGAATACTCCGATTGATCTGTTCCATCCGGGCCTTCGAGATATTCATGAATGCTTCTTGATGCAGAAGCATATCGTTCAACATCAGTTCCTTCTTCAACGCATTAACGTCCTCTCGGAGCTTATGCACTATCAAATCTGATTGATATTTAATATCTTCTTTTATCCTGACCGGTTTTAATCTTGCAATTTTAGCAGTGAATTTTAAAGTCGACAATGTGATGTCAAGATCTTCTCTTGTGATCCGAATGTGAGATATCAACCTATTTTAATTACATTATATACCGCGGCTTGAAATTTATGATACAAATGAAATTTTCATTACCGAATTATGGAAGAGACCAAAAGAGTATTTCCCAAAATCTTCAGCAAATTACTGGAGCGTATTACGTTAACGACGGATGATCTTGATCTTCCTACATACGAAAAGAATTGCTCGAGCTCAGTCTTCATTAAATTCGCCACACCTATATCCACGGCCGGTTTCCCACAATTATTTCTTCCCACTGTTCCTGTGCCAGCTGCTTCCACGATATGTACCTAACGTTTTAATTAAATTCCTAATTAATCATTAAAGACTATCGTCAGATTAAAAGTTTACGTCGTGCGAAAATTTTATCTCAATACTACAGGATAATTGGATTCGATCGAACTTATTGATATCTAAAATGAAAAAATGCAAATGCAGTGAAATTTCATCGATAATATCGCGATTTCCTTCTACGATGACTTTCGAAGCTTAAAGCGAGATTAACGAGCAAACGTTTCAAGTTCTACGATTCTCAGTGCCTCAATCCGTAAAATTTGTAGACGGATCACGAGTCGAACAATTACTTTGGCTGTGGTTACAATGCCCCAGGATGTAATTAGGCTCGTGTTAGACACGTGAAAGGTAATCACAGACGTGGCTAAATGAGACGCCGGATAAGCCGATTCTTTCGCAATCGATCTTCTGACTTCCCCTTCGAAAATTCTCTTCAAACCTTCTTTTTCGTTATCCATGCACACCACGGAGATATCCTGGAATTTTTCTCACTAAAATTCTATCGGACGTCTCGTTGCATTTTTTCGTAAAATATTTTATAACACCTTGAAGGGTTCTCGATCGTTTATCTTGACTTTATTGTTATCCGTGTCAGAGACCAGTAAATCTCTCGCCTCTTTCCCGTACAACTCGACAAAGCTGACATGGTACTCTATCTTGCTGACTTCCGTTCTGTTCGCTTTTTCAGCGAACATTCGGGACAGAAGTCGAGTGACCAGGCCTCTGTGCTGAGAAAACGAATGTCATCACTGTGTTTGCACAATTGATGAACTCATAGCAAAAACGGTCCTCGTCTAGATTTCTCTTCTTCGGGAAAGAGAAAGAATATTCTAGGATCTTTAATTTCTTTCTTTTAAATTCGTCATATTTAAAATTACGTAAAAAGTCATGAACTTTGAGAAGAATTGTTTTTGTTAAGAGCTCCTTAAAATCGAAAATACAAAATATTCGACATAATCGTACTTCCCAGTTGTTTCTCAGACCGCTCATGGTGAAACTCTTTCCTGAACCACTTTGTCCGTAGCCCATCAAAATACAGCTCACACCGTCTAAAATTCTGAAATTGCGGTTCTTCGACTATATATTATATATACTTCCTATTTATAATCGATACCGTTTAAGACTTCCGTTGTTTGAAAAATTACTAACTCGATGATCTATAACGGAAGTCTCGAACAGCACTCACCAGAAGGTAACACAGTGACTCGTGAAAGTGTTGAAACACTAACGGAAACATTATTTTAACGTATCATGTATCTTATATGTCAATCAAATTCGAAGATGGTATCCCACTGGGGGTAGCCATCCACATGTTATATTACTATATCACTAAGCTATAATATTCTACCAAATGTCCTATTGGACAAATTGTAAAATGTAAATAAATAAAAAAATAAAAAAATATAAATAAATAAATAAAATATAAATAAATAAATAAATAAATAAATGTATCTTATATAAAAGACTTTTATGACACATATACATGATACGACTATCATGATCATCAAACTAGTAATTTATATGCAATTTCATACTTTTTTTTAAAAGATAATTACAAAAATGGTGTTTAAGTAGAAGGTTGTTTTGCTTATTAAATATGTCGGAGATGAAAGAACATCGGGATTTCCCGTCCGGAATGTTGGAAAAACCCCAATACTCTAGTCCAGACTTTTACTATAGCTGCATTTAAGTAATAAAAATAAGAAATAGTTTTAATGTTCCAATCTGATTTTATGACGATGGGTTCGGGCTCGAAGTGACATAGCGGGTCACTAGACGTAACCACGGTCACGGGAGAGACGTGTACCTGACAGAGGTATGAAATGATTATATGGCTCTCCTTAAAAATAAAGTGTATTTTCGCGAGGAGAGACGTCAACGGGAGTCGTAAATTCCCGTTACGATTATAGCAATCGACACCACGAGTTGATCGATCCCCTGATTTCAGTTAAGATAATAGGGGTGATTCAGTTAGTAGGGGTGATTCACAGAATTATAAGTTTTTATTTCCAACAGTCAATTTACACTGTTGAGTAGATATAATTCCTAGATGACAACTTGTCGCCCGAAGGTAAGATAGATATGCACGCTAGAGCAAGGCTCTTATAATTTAACTTCGTATGTTAATGGATGTAGCACTAGAGGACACTTAATAAAGGAAGTGAGTGTTCGTGCTTAGACTTAGACGTCAAGCGTTAGATTTGTACTTAGTTGTTGACTTTTCTAGCGGTGTAGAAGAATTAAAGTTGAGTGACGATGCTGTGTCGGAGGAAAGCTAGCGATGGGTGTGTCTATCGCATCGGATTTGATCATGACATTTTGGATCAGGAAGTGAGGGCAGTATACATTGCTTCTGATTGAATAAACGAGGGTAGGTGGATTAGGAAGGTCTTGGCCGCCCTCGATAGAAAGTTGATAGTAGGAAGCATCCAAACCTGCCCCCAGGTTACCATCAACAATGCAACAGTTCCTAGCAGGGACTCAGTCCGATACCTGGGCATGACCCTGGACAGGAGACTAACGTGGAAAAAACACATCTCAGGATAAAACGAAGCAACTAAAGGACAAACTAAAAAAACTCTATTGGCTCACGGGCCGACGCTCCAAACTAAACATACAGAATAAAATTACCCTCTACAAGACCGTAATAAAACCTGTCTGGACCTACGGAATCCAACTATGGGGAACAGCAAGTAACTCCAACATCGAAATACTACAACGCTTCCAATCGAAAACGCTAAGATCCTTAATAGACGAACCTTGGTATGTTACCAAGAAACCATCCATCGCGACCTCAAGATACCCACAGTCAAAGAGGAAATAGCAAAATATAGCGACAGGTATAGCAAAAGATTCAACAAGCACCGAAACCCCATAATCACTGGACTACTTGATACGACGGACCAGATTCGCAGGCTGAAGAGGCACTACCCGCTAGACCTAAACGCTAGATTCATTTAGTTATCCAAATTAAGCATATGCACTTACTTATAATACTTATCAATTGTACCTATCTATAATAAGTATTAACTTATTATAAATAAACAGCCATGTCACTGCGCCACGCCAGAAAAATTACTGAAAATTCTCAACGCGAGAATTGATTGTAATTTCAACAAATAAATAAAAAAAAAAGTAGGAAGCATCGTACGTGAGAAAAACTAACAATCCCTTGTCAAGCCGTAGTAGACCATAGTCTTTAGAAATGATTCGCAAGAAGATATTTCTTGGGTCTGAAGGACCTTAGCTAGCAAAGTAGTAGGATTTACGATGGGTCCTTAAGACTATTGAGGGTACGTCGTAAGGATAAGCGGACATCTGGTGTCCGGCTGGCCCGCAGTGTATGGCCTGGTCCAGGTAGACGGTCGCTCGACCTAACGCAAAGGTTGACCCGAGAAGTGGGGACAGGAGTATATAAGGGCAGTTTCTTTTGGACTACGGGTGAGTTAGTTTCTTAGTTGGACGAATTGCTGATTGAGTGAGTTATCGAGAAGTTACCCGAATCGAGTATTACGTTGATACTTGTCCTCTCGTGGACCGTGGATTCGTCATCGAACCTGAATTTGTTGTCACCATCATCTCGACCATCCTATCGCCATTACTCATAGCCTCTTGTAGTGCCCCTATTTGTACCAATAAACATTAGCTACATCCACGACGGTAAAGTAAGTAAAGTTCATCGAACGCCCCAAAATGCCAACTTGACTCCGACTAAATATTATAAGGATTTTACCTTTTATGCGTTTTTATGAAACACGTAATATATTCACAAAATGATTCTATGATAAGTGTCTAAATACTAAAAAGTGTCGATTTCTACATAGTGGAAGCATCAACTGGTGGATCAAGTCATCCAGGTGAGTCCATTTTACCCCGATTTTGGAGCCGAGTGTTCACTAATTAAAGAATCCGTAGTCTTGAGATTTTCTGGCAAAAGAACGATTGATATAGTCGTAATGCGAGGAATGAGAAATATTTGTACATCTCAACTCTTGTCCGTTGCCGGTGTTAGTGGTTTTACATTAGAAATAAATTCGTCATGTCCTCACTGATAGTTATTTTAAAATATGATACCGTGATTGACCGTGAAATTTTAAGTCAAGGTTTTGACGTAATATTACACAAAGCAAGGTTTTGACATAATATTACACAAAATAGCCTCGCTATGTGTAAGACAAATAATTCTGAATATTCTAATTTCTTCCTTGCTGCAATTTTTTTTAAAGCCGTCAAAGCGTTTGCCACAGAGATCCCCAGAGGTAGTCGCATGCCAGGTCTTCTGTGCCATTTGATCCTTTTTCTGGTTGTGGTGACATAAGAAACCATTTGGTAGGAGTGATCTGTACCACACTTTTCTTCATTGTATTCAACAGCGGTTGGTGATTTTAATGTTGAGAACAAACAAAACGAAAGATCATTCTTGAGATTCCTTTGAAAACACGTATGGCAGCCAACGTGTCATTCGTACGTTGTTGTTTATTTGGACCATGTTCTAATCATTGCCTACTCCATGGATCAAGCTCTAGAAACATTGTACACCGTATTAAATATCCTCGTAAATGCCGAATTTTCTTCTAATTTTTCTAAATGCTCTTTCCCAAACACGTCGGTACTCTATTTGGGACATGTAATTCATAACGGAAAAGTCCGCCCCAATCCGGGTAAAATACAAACCTTGAGTCCTTTACCTGAACGACCGTCACACAGCATAGACAGTTCATAGGTTTAGCTTTTTATTTCCGAAAATTCGTCCCTAAATCTTCGCAGGTAATGAAACCCTTGTACGCACTTACTTCCGATAATAAAAACATAACTTGGACGGATAGGCAAGAAAAGAATAAGGCAAAAGATAATTTCTATCTAGACCGACGCGCCGGTGTTAATGGTATTTGACCCGACCTATCCGATAGAACTTCATACAGACGCTAGTTCGGATGGATATGGGGCTATTTTAATGCATAAGACGGAAGAAAAAATAGAGTAATAGAATATTACAGTATAAGGATTAGCCCTGCGGAATCTAAGTATCATTCATATGAACTGAAGATGGTAGCAGTTGTTAAACGCTGCTAAACATTTTCGCCACTAATTACATGAAAGAGAATTTCTTGTTGTCACTGGTTGCAATTCCTTGAAGGCATCTAATAATAAGGTGATACTTACTTACAAACCTTTAGTTTTGACATTGTGTATCGAGAAGGTAAACGAATGGCTCACGTAGATTTCTTTCCGCGGAATCCCATAGACATTGATCATAATATAATTAACGAAGTCAAGGAAAAGAAATTAATCTGACCGAAATCTCAGAAGCTTGGCTTTTAACAGAATAACGTCGGGATCCACAAATTTCAGAAATCGTCACTAAATTGCAAAATGAAGAGCTCGCGGAAGATGTCGCAAATGCGTATGAATTACGATCTGGTACCCTTTATCGTAAAATACAAAGAAAAGGCAGGACTCTCTCCTTGCCCATTGTCCCAAGAGATTTTATGTGGTCCGTTATTAACCATGCGCAACAGTCAATTATGCACTTAGGTTGGGATAAGACGCTTAAAAAACTGTTAAGAATGGCGAAATATGTTCGTAAATTCATTGAGAACTGTCATGCTTGTCGAGTTTCGAAGGCTAGTTCAGGTAAAATACCAGCTGAACTACATCCTATTCCTAAGGCCAGCATACCATACCTTGGCATACAGTTCACGTGGACCTAACGGGCAAACTAAGCAGTAAAAGTGATTCGAAATAATATGTCATTGTTTTCTTTAGTAAGTTGCGTAAGGACGAATTGCTGATTGAGTTATCGAGAAGTTACCCGAATCGAGTATTACGTTGATACTTGTCCTCCCGTGGACCATGGATTTGTCATCGAACCTGAATTCGTTGTTACCATCATCTCGACCATCCTATTGCCATTACTCATAGCCTCTTGTAGTGCCCCCATTTGTACCGATAAATATTAGTTGCATCCGCGACGGTAAAGTAAGTAAAGGTTCATGGAATTCCCCAAAATGCCAACTTGACTCCGACAAATATTATAAGGATTTTACCTTTTATGCGTTTTTATGAAACACGTAATATATTCACAAAATGATTCTATGATAAGTGTCTAAATACTTTCATGAGCCGCTGTACATCTTTCTTTACTTTGGCGCGAGGTCTTCGGTTGTAACATGGTAAACCTCTTCTTGCGAAGAGTCACAAAATATTCCATCTGTTTGAAAGCACCAGTAAGTTGGTTTCTTCGAAACGGCTATTCTATTTGGTTGCATTTCTTGTAGACACCGTACGTAGACCTTCTGCATCGAGTCAGGAAGAAATTGTTCCTTTCTAATATCCAATTATCGAAGAGAATAGTCATATCTCAGGTGGAAGAGGAATTTCATTACCTTGCGTTCGATGTCGATTCTCACGCACGATTTACACGGTCTCTCAACTGGAAGAATTCTGATGAAAATCTTCATGTTTTTCTCGTTAACATTCGCATCATCGTAATCCGTCATACTCAAGAGAAAGCTATTCGTTTGAGGCTATTGCGTTACGATTATTTTGTTGATGGTGCGAAGTTATGAATGATTAAAGGCTTTCTTCTGGACATTCATTTTTTCGGGGAATTTCTATTTTTTTTTTTTTTTTTTGTTGCCGTAACATTTTTTAGAGTCGATTGGTGTAACCCTAACGAATGGAGGGTAATTGATGACATATTGTGACAGATACTTAAAAAAAAAAAACCGATAATAACATATGCTTGTGTAATTTTAGTTTTGTGGGTTTCCGAAAACAATAATTTGCATGTAGAATATATAGAATTATATTGAAAATACAAAAGACCTGCAATTCTAATTTCTACTTACATTGATTACGTATTATTCTTATAATATACAGCATCTTACACTTAATACATATGTATATTTATATCATATTCTGTGAAAAACGTTATATCGGAAAATCGTCAACGTGATACGATTAATATCGAGTCTTTTATTTCGTAATAGTCGAATACAAATCACACATTGTGCTATTGCGCAAAGCGACTCGTATATTAACTATACGAAAAAATTGTAACTTTCTTTAACACATAAAATTATAAATTAATAATATGCTTATCTTTCAATGAAATAAAAACTCAAAACCTCCTAAAGATCTTGGAGTACGAAAGTTACAGACGACTTCTTCAATTACAAATGAATTTATCGAATCATACAATATTACACTTTACCTTATTTTTGTATTCTTTTTTTTTATCATTTTTACTAATTATCATCATTTTTCAAAAATCCGTATCTATTGTTAAATATCAAATTATTTATGCCGTGTAAAATTTCCGTCAGGTATTCAAAACACATATTATACATACCTAAAATCAAAGAAATACCAATCAACAAGTGATTGTATTCAAATAATCAATTCGGCATTTAATTGGTAACGAATCGATAATTAAAAACTAAGAATATGTTGTATTATACTCTTTCCTATACACCATCTTTAGAATCTTAACTTTACAAAATCAAAAGGTATGAGAATCGGACGATAATTATTAACTTTTCTCAATTACTTAAGCAACTTATCATACGTTATTAAAACTTATAAGTCGCTGCTTGCAATTTTGTAAAAAAATGAATTTCCATTTATTAAATACAACGCCTACTTTTTCTATCACATTGCGCTCCCAAATAAATGGCAAAAGACACTTTTTCGAATTCATCCCAACAATAAAGGTATTCGATGTATCAACACAAAACTCAATACATTCGGGGGGCATTCGTAATCTAAACGGAGGTGTAACTGTTACTATGTGTACATTGTTCTCTCACTGCAAAAAGCCTCCCTGCTTTTTCTTTTGTTTCATAGATTAATTTTCTTGAATCATTTTTATACATAAAACGATAAATCTCTTCTTGCGCAAACATTCTGTATTATGTTCTTCTCTCTTTCTCTCTCTCTTTCAAACCTTTATTTTTTGTTCAATTAACGACTAATAATTATTATTATCGATAAATACTACCCAGGCTATACCTATAGACTATCACTGATAGAAACGCATTACAAACGGTATAAAATGGACATTCATCACCTTCTTAACAACACTAAATATATAAATCATATTATAATTTTTTTTCTTTTCTTTGTATCTTTTTCTTTTTTTTATCGTTCTCTTGTTTAATTATATAATCGCATATGACTTACACTTTGCACAATAATACGGCGTTTCAATAAGTATACCGTTAAGTTTTTTTCGGACAAGGAAGAATAGAATAAACAGTGCTAATATTAAATTGTGGTAATCGAAACAATATGTTGCGTGTTTCGTTAGGCTCAATCGACCCTTTATCTCTTGGCATTTCAGTCTTTCTAGCGGCTCCACATAAACGACAATCCATTACTCCGTTTTCTTGCAAACTCTAGCGCAGCAATCCTGACTCTTGCGCCCCTGACTGTTCTTTTCTTTCATTCAATGGTTACGCTGGACGTTATCGATCCTCGCCTGGACAACCAAACCCTGAAATAACGGTACATCGTTTTAAAAGTGTTCCATTTATCTATCCTTACTTTTAGGGAAAAGATCTAGATATATGTTTTAGGAAGTTTCTCTTACCCCAGGCCAGCTCCAACCAAGACAGAAAGAATGTTTGTGATAAAAAGAGTATAAAGGACCTCTTTTGAGAACAACCCAACCTTGCCCACTTTTGTCGTACGAATGCTATAAGATTTCTTTTTATTCACTCCCTGAGGATGCTTGAACTTCCAGTCTCTGTAGTAAAAAAAAAAGAATCGATAAGCAACCTGCTGCATGATCGAATGTCCCGTGTCACTCAAGTATTAATTAACAATGTAACTTTAACAATGTAACCCGAGAATGACTCGAGTCAGCAATCAAATATAATACTACAAGCTTTACATCTTAAACATCACTATATCTAAACTATGTATTTTCTATGAAATTATTTAATTTATTAATACTTTTATTTATTATTTATTTCTTATGAAATTATTTATAACCGTATATTCTTCTTATCATACTCTTAAATGCAGGAAACCTCAAAGATAAACAGATAAATCGTTCATTCTGAATTCTTCGCTATTTCATTGCACTGTCAATGAGTCAAAAGTAGAATATTTTCTTACTTCGGTGGTGCTTGATCTGGACGCGAGCTCCATTCGTAAATCCAATCGGTGTTCTTCTCCAAAAGCTCAGCGGCTTCCTGCGCAGAGAAAAAGGAACGAACGATATTTAAAAGATTTGCTAAATCTTTTGGTCGTACGAAAAAAGAGCGTCGTTATCTGGCTTCACTACGAGTTGTCCCAGTAATCCCTGGTAATCCGATTTAGAAGTGTTTAAGCAATACAGACAAATGAATCCTCTATCGTATGATGAAATTGAAGATACTCGCGGCTTCTACGTTGACCGTCAATTGAAGCCGAGGATCAGTTTACCAAACGAGAATCTTCACACGAGCAACATAATGCCAGATGTTTAGTTTTCCACTACGCAACGTGTCTAACTCAAAAATCACCAAGATCAGACTTGTATCTGTGTATGAGAACTCGTTAACCGCTGTAAATCAATCACGCTTTCCTTGCACAAGCGGATCAAAATACTTTTGCTTCACAGTCGCAGTGAATCATTATCGCGGAAATGAAAAAGTAGATTATATTTATCGAACGATCGTTGTCAATGACCCTACGAGAAAATAAACAACAAGGGATAAACAGCGACAAGCGTTAAAGAATGGTTGCCTATTATCGATGATTTTTATCTGAAGATAAGAACCTTTTCGGGAATGACAGAAGACCTTGAGGGATCAAGTAACTATCATCTGCATACACATATTACAGAATAGAACATTCTCAGATTCATACATTCGTATCTGTCGCCGAGAGAACCTGTTTCATAAAATACGACTTACTGCTAACAGTATGACCTAATTTTAAATTACCCGAAATACAACGTCGAAGATAATTTAGAAGACAAAAAGACCTCCAAAGAATACCAAATTGCTCGATAAATTACTAAATATAATGTTCGGTTTTCCCCAGAGTGTCGTAAATAACTTGGTAGTTGATACGATATTAAATATCAATGTAAAAAAAGGCACAAAAGTGTCGTCTTATCGTAAAACTCGGGGACTTGAATAATTTTAGCTTCAATTAAAAATGTTTATCCAAGAGTAAATAAAATTATAGAATTACTGAAACATATAAGGGGAAATAAAAGTGGAAGAAGTACTTGTGTCACGATTCACATTTCAGTGAAATACTTATACATCTCTTATCTGTGAATGACTCGAAGAATAGCCAAGGATAACTTGCCAGGCAATCAGCCAATCACGTCACGAGCGCAACTGTCGTATCGCTATATTACGATATACATATGTATACTATAATGCGTATCAAACAAGGCGTGCGACTGTTTGTAAACAATTCAGCTACTTTAAAAAGGAAAGTGATTTGCGCATTCATTCGAATGAATCATGCAATAAAGTGGATGACACTTGAATTACTATCGATATAATTATGTTGTGGCAAAATATATAATTATATATGATTCATTGTGGCAATAAGTTACGGTAATTATGCAGAAAAGTGGCCTCGCGAATTTTTATGGACTTGAAGTATATTATTAACGATACTCTTTTCAGTAATCTTTCCGTATATATATGTACATATGTCCCCCGCTCGTCTTTACATGACAAGTCATGTACAAATGTATATTAGGTTTCTAATGTTTGGAATAGATTTAGGTTAGGTTTAGATTAGCTTTAGTTCGAGTTAAAAACGTACTTTAATTCAAGACTAACGGCGATCGGATTGATAGTATATCCTAACCTAACCCATATAATACGATAATTTAAATACATATGCGACTTCTGAAATTAAGAGATGCTCATCCCATATCTACATCCATATTTGCACGCTCAAATAAACGTAGGACAAATATTGTCACAATTTGTTCGAACATAGAGTGACTCATGAAAATATTTAAACACTTACTACACAAATTTTTTATGCATACGTGTCATATGAAATTACAAAATATTGAGACATACAGCAACGACGAAAACTAGATATTTCAATACTAGATAATAATAGATATTTTGCGTTTATTATCCATGATCCAAACTCCAAATTATCCAAATGTTTTGCCAAGTTCGTCAACGAGTTCGCTAAGCATCGTCTATTCTATTTCTCGAAATAGTGTTTTAGGTAATGCGTAATAAATCTTGAATGTGAATAAGCGCGACTCATCCTAACCAGATTTACGCTCAAAGACATTGTTTTTTGAAGACACATAGTTTTGAATTCTCGTGAACGTGCTAACAGAAAAATCTAAGAACACGTAGTATACTTCTAAATCACTTGTATTAGTGTTCTGTCCTTCTATTGGACTAATTTAGAACGCAGAATCTTCGCGTTGATCTTTTTATTGCCTCACAAAAAAAAAAACACAATTTACTTCACAAGACATAAAACTATCGTGAACCGGGCCAAATTTAGTAAACGACGCAGTGACTCTATTTTAGAGATTAAAATAGGATCCAGATAGAGAAATGATTAAATACGAGGTTAACTGGCGAGTTCAACGCACTTGGAATAAACATTGCAATGTGCAAGCGAACCAAGGACTTATAACTAGGTTACGACTCACGAGGAACGACCTTAAAAGGGTCTTAGTCGGGTGATTTCATCGAGAAATAATCGCATGGCACAAGCAATCGGAACTGTTTATCTTCCCACGCATGACTTGAGCTAGATCGACGAATCAACCAATAGCTAATAATACTTCAGGGCTTCAGGACAACGATTTTGCGTAATAAAAGACTGCATGTATTTTTATAGTAGTTGTATATACTTACGATATATACGGTGACACATTAATTTGAAAATTTGGGCATATACAATGCATTGTTTCTTATTTCAATGTGTGTATGTGATATGTATTTTTACTAACTGTATTATATTTGTCTTAACGTACAATAAAGGTAATAAAAAAAATAACAGTAGGGAAACGTTCTTCAATCCATAGCTTTGAAAGTGTAATAATAATGAATTTTGTTATTAAATTACATCAGGTACCTAAATATTTATGAACGATAATATACATATGAAAATAAACTGAACCAAAGTAAATTTCATTTTATTTACATCCATAAGTGGCTGGCAGCCCCCGTGCTGCTTAGACGAATATGAGCCGCTATACTCTTTGGTATTCAGGTCATTCGTAAAGAAGTGGCAACGAAAGATATTCCTGCTGAGCATCGCTTCTCCAATTTCATTCTCGCATACATAAATACTTAATCGCTAAAAATTAAGAACATGATTCAAACGGAAAATCCTGTTTCATTGTTCCGGCATTTGTAGAATCCTCAACGTCTTACTATATCGAGTGTAAATTAATGTATTTCGATCCCCCTGCTGTAACACGTTGAATATTATGGGGGTTTTATTGGCGACTGGCATTAGACTTGTTACTGAAGCTATGAAGTAAGGGAAAACATGGCTGACCACGAGCGAATTAATCGAAATATATAAATTAAATAATAGTTTATAATATTTTTAACGTCGCAGTAATAATGTAAACTACTATAAAACACAAACAATTTTATTTTTTAATTTAAAAAAATTAAATTAAATTAATTTTTTCTACATTTAAATTAATCAAGTAGCCACTCGTAAAGCTTCTGATAATTTCAATCTACAATGAAGACTAACTTAAAAAAAAAAAAAAATTCAAGCAACTGCGCATCAAACTTCGACACTACAATTGATGTACAAGTGCGAGACGGGAAAAGGATCAATACGAACGTACGATACGGTCGAAGAAAAAGCAGGCCACGCGTGCTTCGTGTCCTCTCTGTATGGCAGTTGGCTCGACCAAATTCGAGGAATTCATTCGATATTACGCAGCAACGTTATGTCGAAACGGTTTCGGATTGGTTTACAGACAGACCACTAACCACTGACCAGCGACGTTGAAAAGCGATCTACGCTTTATCTCGGTCTTTTCTAGTTGCAATTGCCCATAAGTTTCTTCGGTGTGTCCCTTACTTCCCTTTGGCGGACGTAATAACAGGGAATTACGTCCACTGCTGGCGTGTTTCGGATTCATTCAACGAGGAAACCCCTAGCTACCGACGGCATTTCACTGTGTAGCTTTGCAGTGCTGGCTCGAGAGGGTCAATGACGAGCTACGCTTTCTGTATATAGCTCCATTATTCTATTCTGTCTCGAGACTATGCTACGTGCAATTTCAGAGTCTAATAAGAACGAGCTAGCAGTTCTTCGTTTAAATGTAACACAACAGGTAGTCATGGAAAAAAGTTCAATGTGTATTTTACAGATTAATTCCACTAACAAGTTGATTTTGGGTGGATCGCGTTAAATATTAAAATTTACTTATCGTGAATCTTCGGATCAATGATTCAACGTCGATTCAGCTGAAAATCGCGAGAGGATTACTATTTCCGTTTAACTTCTCCCAGCTCGTAGTCTACATCAAATGAAGCTTAAAGTGCTTATCAATCAACTCTCGACAGCAAATCACTTTGAATAATCTTCGAGTGGATATTGGCCCATAGAAAATTTAGAAAGTCGATGTTTACATCTATTGGCAACGTATATATTTGATCTTATCAGCAACGAGAACATATATCTTTGCAAGGTGTCAAAATGAACGCTGCATGTTTATCGAAATCAATTTTTCTTTGTCGTTAAACACAAAAGATATCAGAAATAATTTGCATTGATATATAACCGATGCGTTGTCGTGAACGTGACGGGGATCACATACGTGGCAATATTTTATGCGATCGTGCAAGATGGCATACGTGACAGTTGGCACGGTCCTTATCCCTCCTCTCCAATCGCCTTCTTATAATTGATCGCCTTTGTGCTGACTAATCTGCTGTATATCGCAATCTGGATTAATTTGCCACTGTCGATTAGAACATTGTTAAGAGGAGTAAAATCCGGCTCATCCTCGACAACGTGAAAAAAACAGAGCGTCCTACTTTTTTTTAGATACACGATGAAAGTCGCTTTATTTCGAACGTCGAAATCAAACATCTACTTTATTACCTTTTTTTCTAATGTACATATATCGTGCCAACAGAACGTGCAAAATGGTAGTAGAATCCGAGAAACACAATCCTGAATTCAATAACTACCGTTCAACTCTCGCGACCTTAACACTAACGATGTTTTCTTCTTTTTCTCCTTTTTTTTCTTTAGTATCGCATACCACATAGAAAACTTCTCTCGTCTAAGCTCGTCTCACACGATGTTAGTTTTTTTGCGAATATTTCAAGAAAATATTGGAGAAAGAACGTCACTGAAATAGTCGATCAACGACTTACAGAGCTTGGGAATGGTTCTCTTGAAATTAATCGTGACAACCGGGGCAATCTCTTGGGAATCAAACCGGAATCTAATTTCGTCCTCCATTAAAAATTATCCTGCGAAAACCTTAGAAGTCGATGGAGAACGATCGAATATCATGCGGTGCCATCAGACTGCGGATACTTGTGCATTTGTTGGAAATTTAAATATTCAAGATCGTGCAGAATACATAACGAATGCAAGAATTATAATATTTAGAGGATGAAACCAAGAATAAATAATTTTTAAATTTCTTACGTAAAATGTCATTGAGAAGAACTACGGTTATTTAAACTAGAAAAATGAATTCTTACGGTAGATACAACTTGTTTAATTTGGCTTAAAATGATTATCACGTCTGGTTATAACTATAAAGATTTGAATTTGCATTCTCGGTTTAACCATGACGAAATTGTTGGTATTCCAACATAGCATGAGAAGAGTTATTTCGCGAAACAGGGTGACTGGATAGAAAGATGGTTTTTATTAGCAAGCGAAACGGATATACTGCTCGTGCACGATAAACGAGAGTAGAAATATAAATAAACTACGGCTGTGGAACATGCGTGGTTCAGCAGCCGGATTGGTATGTTGAAATAACACTTGCTATTTTATGTTAGGCATTAATATCTAAACAAATACTTACAATTCTGTTCCATTTTATGGAATTACTTACACAGAAATTTTACACTTTTTAGAATTTCATTTTAAAAACAATTGACAGAGTTAGATAAAAATCGTACTGTTCGGAAATGTAATTTCTCTTGGAAATGACTTGCAAGTAAAACACATCGACACACCGACAAGGCACAAGTGTAACAAATTCTAGAGAAGTTTTTATCGCATGTTCTCCTTTTCGCGTCAAGTTTCCGTATTATATTTCCTGAGAATTCGCGAATGCTAACTTTCTACGCAATTATTTTGCGAACAATCGAATATATGTATATATATGGAAGCTTACTTAACGAAGTGCTAATAAGAAACTTGGGACTTTTAATCTTTCGAAGCGCTTTCATTATAACATAAATCCTCTGCAACAGAATTTCAACATCGAACTTCATCCTCTAGGAATTTTTATTTTTGTCGAAAAGAGTTCAGAAATTTTACTTAATGGGCAGTTATGTAATTTAAGAGAGACAGTCAGAATTTACCTCATATGTAAATACTATTTCTTTCCCTATGTTATATCTAAAATAAAATTAATAAAGCAACTAAAGGGATTTGAACCCAATATTTAAAACCTAACCTAACCTAATTATTATGCCTAATTATTTGAAAGCAATATCTTTTAACTTTGTAACAAAGTAATTTTTCCTACATTGTTTCTAAAACGAAAATAACGTAATAATTGGAAGTATTCGTCATTTAAAATTTCTATTCGTTTATTTCGATTGCAAGTCAAATATGCTGAAACCTGTTCGACGCTACATACGATAGATCATCATTAAGCATTTCTCTAATACGTAATCGTTCGCTTATATACCTGTATTTATCGCATTCCACGGAACAGCGCGAATGCGCTCGGTTGGAATGAGCATAACGGCTGTTCGACTTAATCCAATAGAAGCGTAATGCATCGTACATCGGCTACGTATATCGAGTGTCTCCCTTCTTACTCCTCGTGTTTTTCTCGTTCGCTAACTCACCGTGAAGTGGAACCCGTTTCTCGAATGCAATACACACCGCGTGAGAGGACCGGTTTCTGCCCAAGATGAGACACGTAAGCGTAACCGTAGAGAACGCCGCCGATTCGCTCGTTCGTGATCGCGTGATCTGTCCGCGGTAACAGCGGAACACGCGCGTTACATCAATAAACACAAACTCAGGTGAACGAACTAGCACAGCAAAGCGGTATACTTCTGCGTTCTTTCTTTGGTAAAACCGTGGAACTTTTTACGCGTTTAGTTCATCGGGCTGATTCCACTTGACTTCGCTCCATATTAGAGTTTCGTGTAATATCTCATTAAATTGTTTGAACGCTTACAACAAAAATTTCAAAACAGGAAATTATGAATTACTCGATCTTTGCATAGACGCTGAATCATTGAATAAACATATAATTACTGTTCTATCACGATACGAAAGAGTAATGGATACAAAAGCAACGCATGCATTGCAGAAGCTCGCTATTCAAACTGAAGACACAAAAAGAAATTATATAATTTAAAAATAAAAAAAAGAAATAGTTAGCACGGTGTTATAACGTATTTCAATTCCCACAAATTTCATGAAATTATCGCATTTAGATAAAAAAGAAATAACAGCCTAAATCATATTCGATCTACGCAGCAAATAACAGCTACCAAAATGGCAGAACAGCTTTTAGAACTGATTTTTTTAGAATATTTCAAAAGCAACGATTTTTTACGTGCGTCACTCTTCCAGTTAAACTGGCGATATGCTTTCTATGCGTTCCTCGTGTCTCTCCTTTAAAAGCAAAGTAGGATCGATAACGACACGATGAAAAGTTTGCCAAGGTCCCCAACGGAGGCACATAGAAACATACGTAGTTGCGAAAGTACGAAACTATAACCGGTGCCTCGAATCCGGGTATCCTTGGGGGTATCTGTAAGTGGATTACGATACTAGGTGCAAAACGCTTGCCTATGATTACGAATAATGCGCAATTTGTCGAGTCTCGATTCAGCGACTCAGTATCAATCAACAGAGGCATGTTTTCTTCAATTTCCTTTCCTTCTATTATTTTTCTCGTCGCTGCGAATATCAAGGTCGTTCTTTCACCTTGATTTTATCGCTTGCCAACACGATCGTTGATAGAAATAAAACGAAGATGAACGAATCAACACGCTGAGAGATCGTGAAACTCGGCGAGGAGAACAACAGGAGACGAAAAAGACTGTCGCATCGGAGATAAGACGTACAGAGCCTGGAAAACAGAAGCTTCTGAAGATATTCTATTTTTAATGCGTTATCTAAACGGTTGAATCGAGAAACCGAGGATTCTCAAAGAAGACTCGAGAACACAGCTTAGCTTTTCAAGACCTTGTCTCTACAAAGAGAAACGGTGGAACATAAAGGAGGAGAGAACTTGCGTTAAAAACGCGGTCGGGCAACTGACTCATGAAAAATCCTCGCCTCTCGCGACTCGTTATCGACCTAACTCATTTTGCCTTTGTCTCGTACCGATTGTTTTTGTCATTATTCTCATCGTCGACGCCGTATTTTTCCACCATCTTACTTCACTGATAACCTCACTGATTTCCCTCCTCAAGGACGAATTAGCGAGCATACCTGTCAATTAACAATGTTTTTCCAACGAGTTGCGCGTAGTTCGAAAAATATAGCAAAGATAAGGTGTAGTTAGCTGTTCTTTCACGAGGACTCCTTACCGATGTGAATAAATAAGTCGTCGGCACACAAACCATCAATAAAAGAGCTTCGCTACAGTTATCGTGCTGATTTGAATATAGCTTGTCTAATCGCTAGATAGAGCTTTATTGGTTTTCATATCGGGCAGATACATAGAATTTGAACAAACAAAATAATAAACATGTAAATGGCTTGAAATTGTCTATACATATTGCGTTCTATAGTTGAGAAATTCAGTGAAATATAAATATATCTTTTTCGAAGATGAGGTAAGTTTTCTCAAAACCATCGGCTTTAGCACTTTCTCGTTAAACTCTTCAACTACGTCTCGCAGTTTCGTCGATGCGAAACAGGCTTGGTATTCACCGCACACGAAGACACCGCGGTTTTCCACGAACTCGCATAAAGCACTTCGCGTGTTCTATGACCCACAATGCACGCTAAAAGAGTCGTTGATCCGTAGACCTTATATGGAAAGTGTAGCCCCTGTTTTGTTTCGTTCGATAAAACCAGTTGCACAGGTCTCCATTTCGAAGTACATACTTCACTTAGGCATGCGCCATAGAGAAAATGGTGTAACAATTACACGATCTCTTTTACGTGACTTTTCGCTCGTGCTATATTATTCTTAAAACGATATATATTGAATATTACGTAACAAGGTTTAGATGTATAATTGGCTATTGAATAAAGACTACTCGACTCGATTCCACGATGAATGTAGTTTGATAAATTGAACGAACGAAATACGAATACGTAAAATCCTATGTGATGGTGAACCACACAGGCACACGGTATTAGAAATCGATTATGAAACTGACCTTGTTGCAGCAGTAATTTATATAGACTCCTTTGAGCTCATCTTCGGTAGATAATTCTGTGTTCGGACTGTTCGGAGGGCTCTTTGGGCTGTAAGAAAAGATTTCACAAATTTTACACATTTTTTTATTACTTATGGAGCATTCAAAATATTGTTGCGCTCCGAGATTTTGATCGAACAGATTTCGGTTAAGAAGTTTTAACAGCAAACCAGATCCATAAATTTGCAGAATTGAATTTTTGTTTAGCCCGTGAAAAAAATTTTCTTTATCAGTTACGAAAAATAAATTTTCATGTGCAATAGATTAACATTTTAGAGCAAATTTCCCGAAAATGGACATATATTTTTGCTTAATTGATTAATGATTTACTAAAGTATTAAAGTAGAGATGTTACTAAAAATTTATTTCATGATTTTTAAGTAAGTTACTGAAGTAAATATGTCGTGTATTCGCAATATTGAACGTGAAAAAATTAAATACAACAAACAGCGTTATTCAGATAGAAAATTAGAGAAATAATAAGAAACTTCTTGGCTCATTTCGACTTCGATTTTCTTATCGGTAATATAATTCGATGTACACTAATGTAAAACACTCTCGATTATACGATCTCCGCATCGTATCATGTTTTTTTTTTCTATATTTCACACGGAACTACAAATGATAATAGATGAGCTTATCGAATATTTGCGACACACTTCAAATTAAACGTCGCAAATAGTAAAGATTAAGAATACAAGCAACACGCTAACGTTTGAACGTATGTTTATTTCTAACAAAGATATGATTTGATTAGAAACTTCCTGATTTTATTTGTAGCGCGGCTATAAAGCGGATATAAATCCACCACGTATTCATTCTGAACCTAAAAATACTGTTAAATCATTTAAAAAGCCTTAACGTGGAAATTTCTAACGTCGCAGACATCAAAGAAAAATCGTACAAAAGATTTGGAAAATTCGTTTGTACGCCAGGTCAGAGTCACGATGAAAGCGCGGCTGTTTGCCTTTTCCTCTTTCAGCCTATAGTCCTTGAGACGTTCCAACGCCTACGAGCACAAAGAAACTGGCCAGAAAAAGATTTCTCCTTCGCTTTCTTCGGAACCGGCATCTGACTCATGTTTTTCTTTTTTCCTTTCTTCCTCGGCTGCATCGTACTTGTACACGAGGAACAAGATAAACCAGACTTGATCTAATGACCCTTTTCGAGGATCCAAGCGCAGGCTGTTGGGATTTGTCGTCTCAGAAAAAGAAATTCGTAACACGATAGAGTTTCGGAGCATATTAGGAACAACACGAATTTTAGGCATCTTGAGCAACGTTTCGGAGTTTTTAGATTAAATTTAATCGAATTACAAATTTGCTTGATTCCTATATCGAATGGTATTCATCAGATTAGATTAGATATTGATGGCTGGAGTGGAAAAATTTGAATAATCAATCTTCGGAAGTTGCTTTCAAACGCCTCGCGATAAATTGTAACAGAAATTTTTGCTTCAGTTCTAATTTACATTACATTGCGTCTGGCGATTATAAAATATAAATAGGCAGAAATATCCGCAATCTAGTAATAAAGTAAATAATTTTACCTATCTCTCGGCGTGCCTTTACGGGAAGATGCCAAAGAATGCCTAGCGGACGAAGGCAGAGAATCCCTTTGCGCTTCCCTAAGAAGTCGCAAATATTCTTCTCCGCCACTACTGAACGGTAACGGTGTTACCCTGTCGGGCACGGAAGTCAATTCCACCCATGACTCTGTAAAAGGACAAATAAAAATTATGAAATAAATCCGTATGGCAGGTATGAAAATTTTGATGGCACTTCGCTTTACCATATTATATACCAAATCGCCTTACCAAATGAGCCAGAATTATTTTTGAAAAACGATACCAAATTGCATAAAAATAAAAATGATAGAAAGACAACGAGTTGAATTTCAAATATTCCCGATTAATCTTAAATTAAATAAAAAGATCTCTTTTCCATCTGAAATATTGAGTTTGTTTCATATATTTTTGCCGGTAAAGCATTCTTGCCTACTAAACATACGAACAGTCGTGCCTCTATATCGATCTTTAAAGACGATATTTCCTTGTTGCGTAGTTATTTGTTGACATAATAACGTTCGTTTGCACGATACACGATACATTCGTTGAAACAGTATCAAAGTCTGAAAACAGGATACTTAGCGTTGAATCGTATGTTTCTATCGAAACCCGCACGCTAATAGTAAAAACGAAGGAAACAGGATTTCCTGGTAAAAGTGGAAACAAGTCTAACATATCCTAGTTCATACAGTGTTTATAGAAACGTAAAACGCGATGAAGCGATAATATTTGTCGAAGAATCATCGACTCGATTACCAAGGAGGTTGATGGCCAAGGTTCGTTAGCTTTGACGTTCCCTACGTATACGCATGTATATACATATATAGAGCGTTTTGCGTCATTACAGAACACGATACATGAATGACTTAACACAGTCATAATACAAAATTTATCTTGTATTTCCGGAGAAAAACGTGGAATTTATTATCAATTATTCTGGATATCGGCGAGTCTTTGATATCTTCCGGGTACAATTTCTTTGTTTGCAAATCTAACAGTGATTTCGTGATAGAAAGCCACGGACAAGTTCTAGGATCGTGTGTGGACTATCGTTCGAAAGTATTTAGGTGCTCGTTTCTCTTCGACAGGATATGTGCGTAATTTAACTTTTACTCATTGGACCATTAAAGACCATGACGATACCAAAACTGGATTATTTGATTTTGGAATCTTTTTATTTAACTTAATTTTATTACCAATTTCTATTACGAAGAACATTTCACGAGTAATAACGTATATGTGCACCTACTCCAGCGAACGTGACTGAACGCAAATAAACGATGAAATATATTTTTAAAACGCAAAATATTTTTAAACGCATGGAAAGACTGCACGTTATCTTTCTCTGGCTTTTGAAGTTGGCAATGTTAGACTTTTCCTTCGCGCTTGCAATTTTAACACTTTAACTTATCTTCGACACAAATTCTGCAATCAAAATTGTATTTATTAAATACCTTCGTAACGAACATAGGATAAGAATCGTAGAATTCGAAAGTTCAAGCACGGTAATTAAACGAACGACAAAACAGAACCTTATCGATATAATCATGACAGTCGCATTTCATTAGAATGCTATTAACATTTCAAAATGTTTTATATAACTAAATATGCAGATAAAGATTTTCTATGCTAAGTGGCTGGACACTTTCGTGAGTCATTAGAAATACGTTTCCTCTTCCACGTTTCCCATTTAGTTTCTACGCGATTAGCTGACAATGTTACGTGCACGATGGAATAAAGAAACATTCTCGTGTGGTCTGTACATTTTCCAATTAGTGAATCATCATCACTCCTTTGCTCCTTATCTATGACTGAAATAAGAAAATAAGAAATAAAAACGGGAATTATATTTACACATGAATTATATATAAACGTCGATACGATATGCAGCGTTCCAATTTTTAGACAATGCAATTTCGAAACGCTTCTATGTATTCAAAGAAAATTATCGAATCGCGATATTCGATATAAGATAAAAGTTTCTTGGTCCGAGAATCGCAGTTTTCACAAAAGTGAAATCTACGTTCGATTGTTTGATAGATTTCGTAACGCCAAGCGTCTCTGTCCTATTTTTTCATTCATCTTCTTTTTCAAACATACAGCGATGAACGAGAATACGTATTGGGTTGGCAACTAAGTGATTGCGGATTTTGTCAATACCACCAAATTTTGTCATTTTGTCCGCAATTACTTAGTTGCCAACCTAACATTAACGCGTCGAATTTAGTAAGTCGATATTTGGCCAACATTTTTGTTCTTCGCTATGCATCCGCTTTAAAACCGCTTAACGGGTCGTCTATTTGAATTTCAAGGAACAGTGAATTCTCCTCAGCATCCGCATTTCCGCATGCGCCAATTAAGCGAATTACAGGAACGCCTCTTGAATAACGCAACCGCTTCACGTAATGGTAGACAATTACAGTGAAATACCGATTCAATTGATCGTCGAAATAAATCATATATTGAACGATTTTCATATAGGTATAATTGATGTTTCGTTGAAATTATCAAGGAAATTGCTGAAATTTAGCAAAGTTGCACGATATAGAGTATTCTAAGTCATTATCTCCAATGAAATATAACGCATTGCAAATCTTGTGTGAAAACAAGAGAAATTCTATACGCTTCAAATTACAACACTGCTCTATGTGAACCAGAATTCACAATAACGAGGAACCTCTTATTCTACTAAATTATGTTTCTATATAACATAAAAAAAAGGCTTTCAATAAATTATTATTACACTATGAACGTTCTAAAAATGAATAGCAAAGATAGTAGAATAGTAGAATCTTATGTTCTCTATCATATGGCGTAAAACTTTCATTCAATTAGTTATAAATTGGAAATTAGAAAGGAGAAACTGAACGTTCGTTTGCATTGTATTAATGAACTCTTAAAACTCAAATATCTGTTAAATCAATACGAGAAGTAAAAATATAAATCATACAGCAAAATCTTGCTCATCCGTTCCCATTTGTTCGTCTTACCTGAATGTGGGTTTGCTATAGAAAAATCATCCACAAAATTTAATTTTTCAATCAACGCGTAAATCAAAACGACAGTAAATGGACTCAGATTTTTAAACAGCTGATTTAATTATCAGGTTAAAAAAGTGCGGCAAGCTGGCGGTCATCGAATGACATCATTTACTACTCTGTTTTGTTAACTTTGCGCCAGGCGTGTGTGGTAACGCGATAAATCGTGGCATACATAAACGCGTACAAGTATAAACCCAATGTAAGCATAATCCATTTTATCATCAATGTCAAATATGCATAACGATAACTTTGTGTACAACGAAAGCTTTTGCATTCGGTATATACACCAAATTTAACCGACGATGGCTTCTCTTATCGTCTTTTATTCCGCAACGTTCACACGTTCTCGTTCGCTTGAAACGTCAATACGATTGTAATTAATTGGAATTAAATTTTTATGTGTAAACAGAGAGAAAGAGAGAGGGGGGGAGGGAGGAAATGGCGATTAAACCGTGTTATAAGAATAAGGTGGATTTGGAAGAAATAAAGAACTGTCGTTATGTATATACTCGTGATCTGGTCCGAATAAATATGAGCAGATTGTGGCAGCTGGTCGAGTTATCGAACTTCATTAGACACCAGATTCGAGCGAAATATGGCAAGTTGAGTGGACTACGAGCAAAAAAGAAGAAAAAATTGGATAAGAAGCGTCGCTCGGCTGTCGCAAAATATGATTAACTTATTTTTTTCAACCTCTGATACTGCAATTCACTTACCAATGCGATTCGAGAACGATCGATAGCTTCATCAAGAATTTCTACCACGCTGAACGTGATTAAAGGGACTGCTGCAATAAGAAGGCAACTTTGTTTCTCAATTTAGGTGAGAAGTGGGAACCAACAAGAAACAATTCAAAATCAAACTACATTTTAACGCGTTACAAATTCATAGTCAAGTAATATTAGAGATAAACTTCTGCACTTTTAAATATCAAATCTACATCTTTCTTTTTCTTTCAATAAATACATTTAAATATTGTAGCCAACTGCTTATTACCGCAAACGCTTCAATTGAGAACCATCGATAGTTTCATGCAGAACTTTTGGAAAACTTTGGAAAGCTTCCCTTTAAGGGACAAGTATCAGATATAGAAACAGCAACGAAGGCGGTGAAACGATCAAATTCGTTTTACAAGACGTATCATAAAGGAGCTCCTCTGTTTAATCGAAATAAATAAGCACGTGCAAAGCAAGGTCACACGTGTTGACTTAGCGAATGCATCGCGATGATTTTACAGAATGTACCGCGCAAAAAAGAATAACGTGGTTCTGCTCCGCCTCTCTTCTCGATATTTTCCTGCGCAAATACATTCACTTACGAAGAATATTAATAGTAATCATAATACGTGATAAAACATGTAAATCATCTGACTATGTTACAATAACTCTGAATAACTTTTTCTAGAAACGTTACTCAAGTGTTCGAACAACGTAATCGTTGGACAAAACTCTCAAAAAAAATTCTCAATATGGTTATATAATCCTTCGTATCTACGTTTTCAGACATCTGGTAATTTCAATGCGTTTATTACCCTGTATCTTTTGCTGTTTGATAATTTTGATATCGGAAAGGAATGAAATTTCTGCAATTTCATGTACCAAAAATGGTTGAAAAATGCAGCAACGAGCGTGTTTGTATTGTATTGTATTACGAAAGGTTTTATTTCTATTGTATTTTATATATTTATATACATAAAACAAAGATATATTTCTTGTAAATCCAACAAATTGGATTTTTTATAAAAAATTATAAAAAAAATTTATAAAAAAATATTATAAAAAATTTATAAAAAATTTCGTTTCTATAATATAATAATATTTAAATTTATTTAATTTAATTTAAAAATACATTTGTAAATTTCACAATAGTTTAAAGTATCATAAATATAAAAAACCTTTCAAATTTGTATCTCGGGGAATAATTACAAATTGAATTAAACAGAATCGAGTGTAAGGTCTTTCCCTATCTGTATGCTCGTTATTGTATAGTAACGATGGCAAAAGATGCATGAATGACCGAAAGAAGACGCCTGTTAACGTACTCCGAGCGACCAATTTACAAAACACTGGGATATTTTTTGTCAACAAACGTCGACGATAAGGTTTACAAGCTGCTGCTTGAAGTTAAAGCACGATAAGCAAATGCAACTCTTTGACGTAGTCGTTTACTTATGCATTCGATTATCGACTTTATACCCCGACGTTTTATTCTTAAGCTCTATACATTCACGTCATAAAACAATCACTCATGCTATTTTCTTCAAATAATGTTAAAAAAATAAAGATAAGATAATTAGGTGAGATAGTGAATTAATTCTTTTCCGGATGGATCTGCACCGGCAGCCGCATTAGTCATCAAATGGTGCGCGCGCAGCTTAATGTTTGTAGCGCGCAACCCACTCGACGCGGTAATATTCAACTTGAGAAATATCGTTTAAAAAGGCTCATTCGATTCTGGGACGACTGGTGTTTAATATCGTTCTTCGACTTCCGTAAGACGAGTGAACGTTTAATTAAGAGTAGCTGATGGCTTCCGACTTGTGCCTTATCTGCCTACTCATTCTACCAACTTAATTTGATTCTCCCTATTAGATTGAGACAATGGTAAAGAACTAATATAGAAATAGAAATATATAAAGAATGACAATTTTGATTTGTTATTTAATCTGATATCATTATTGAAATTAAAAAATGCATTTTTTGTATATCGAGGTATAAAATTGTTGTTCGCATCGTGTACATAGCTATAATAAAGCAATGCAAGGGTTAACACTGAACACTAATGACAAAGCCGCAACATGAACCTTTCAAAATGACGGGTTTCAGTTTCTCTTTCTTTGTCTATGAACATTTGATACTTTTGTCAAATTAATATCAAATTTCATTGAAATTAAACTTATATGTAATATTTATTGTGTAATATAATAAAATAAATAGATAAACAAATGTATATATATATATACACAATAAGATACTCATTTAAGTTTTAAGCTCTGTAATTAAGAGGATTTCCATGAATATTCCATATTCCAATATTTCATGACAGCTCTCCCTTTAACGTCTGGTGAACTCGTATTAAAAGTAAAGACTGTTATTCTAGTAAGAAAATCACAGAATAAAATCGACTAGTATAGAGTGAATTAATATGTCGACAACGTGTCAATTTATATGAAACATAAAAGACAAAAGGGTTCCGATAGTAACCAGACGAATGCACGAAAATGGCCAGGAAGCGTCACGTGCCACGAAATCACGGCGGGTAGGTGGCCTTAATGAATTGAATTAAAGTCCACCAACGAGCGTTATGGTTAAAAATAGAAGCGAACGTGACCCCCTTTCATCGGTCCGTCATTTTAATCAAACGTCCAAAGTCAAACGACGCTACATACGAACAGACCCTTAGTTTCGACTACAAATCTCCTTCAGGTTGTGTTCGAAAAAAAACTTGATGCACAGGATGCAATAATGCTTATTATTTTCACAATTAACAATGAACGTTTATATATGGATGAATAAAAGATCCATTTGTAAGCACGTTTATTCGTGAATGAATAAATTTGCATTAGATTGTCTCAAATACTCTTTTGTTGAATTATTGTTAGACTCTAAATTTCACATAAAATGATATCTATTAGATTTACAGATATCTGTTAGAATAATATTTTTCATAGTAATCTAAAACGAAATTTAATTCGATAGTAAAAAAATAAAAAAATTCCACAATAACGTTAAAAAAGCGTAAGAATCATATTTCTAACAATGTACGAGTTAAAATAAGAGACAAACTAATCGAGGGATGTCCTACCTAAACGATCCTATCTGACAGCCCTACCTAGGACCTTCAGTCACGCTCACCACTGTAGGGACAATGCGCTCGTGAGCTGAGTCACGTTCCAGAACGTTACTGTTAATGTTAGGTTAGCTTTTAACGCAGGTCAACCTTCTTCAAGGAAAGTGGCATCGAACGGCTGACGTCACTTAGCTGCGTTCCTGAGGAATATCACGTAACTAAAACATCAAGTCTGAAGCCATTCGATGTTCTTGGAAAAGACTGTTTTATTAGGATGCGATAATCACTAACGGGATACCGTATCGGCCGTTCGGTTTGTGTCTAATCGTCCCATGAACTCTTTTAACTTACATCCGCTATATTTGTCTCAACTATTCCTATTTCTTTTCAATTATACACAAAGATACCTGTTGAGCGTACGAATGTGCAACGGGGAAAAAGAGGTTACGTCACGATAATAAGTTGACGACGCTTTCCTAACATCGATCACATTCACGTTTCTTTAATTATATGAAAGCAACCTGTTTGGATTTATAATATATGGATGACCCTGAAGAGATGTTCTTGAACTTAACCGCCTGTCATATTCGTTTGAATCTTTTTGAACTGATTTAAACGACTCGACCGTTTTATAGATCACTGACCCAATTGTTTGTCACGCGATTCGACGTTGGAGAATTACCAAGGAGACTCACTTTTTAAGCGGAGCTGATGGAAACGCGATTTTGAATTTTACACCGTGTTAGAATAGTCATGATTTTTCTAACCTAAACCAAAATTCTTAACGACTTCTAATTTGTTACAAAATTGTTTGATATAATTAAATTGTTATAATTTATTGCTAAAAAAATTGATTTATTATATCTTCTGAAAGTAAGTTTAAAATATGGCCAAATCGAGTTCAAAAGCTTCACAAGCGTCGGTGAAACATAAATATGTTTCTTGATGCGTTCTTTCTCCTTTGTGCTTCCCCCTTATACCACAAAGTGAGCAACCAACCAGATGTTACAAAGCGATTCATTTTCCAAGGACTTTCAATGGATGTCCACCGAAGAATAGAATTTACATATGTGGCTTTTTCTTACGAACGAAATTTCACTTTAAGCCATTTGAATTGAAAATCGATCGCCCCAATTTTATTGAAGATTAGAATAAAATTGTGTACACATACAAAGCAAATAAAATTGATCAGAAGTTATCTTTCTTTATTATGAAAACATAAACAAACCTCACAAATGTCAAATTTGTATCGTTTAACGCATTGGAGTCCAATAATTTGTTAAGAGTCAGTTAAGCTAAGAGGCACAATTGTTCTGTCTGTCCCATATCCTTAGTTATGTAGGTACAAGTACTTATACTATAATGTAACATCAGTTAATGTCTTAACTATGTATAATTTTTTAAACAAAATAAAAATAAAATTACAGATGACGAAATTGTTACATACGATCATAAAAAACAATAGTTACGATCATAAAAAAACAATAGCATATGATAAATAAATGCAAATAATTGACTCGCGTGAAATTTTTAGGCATGAATAATGCTCTGTAATAAAACACCGGCACGACCAGTTTAAAGTCAAATAGATGATGGCGCCAAAATCTTTGAAATTTACATTATTTTATATTGATAATAATGCAATAATACGCTCGCGTTCATTTTAAAGGAAACGGCTATTGTTATAGAAAATATCTGAGGTAAGGTATCCTTGCAAAGAAAAATATGCCTACAGCGTAAAAGGAAGGAAGATCGCATTTGTTTATGTGTCAGCCGCGGCATGCGAAATGGCCGCAACGTTCGATAGACAGCTGCTCGCGTCGTTCGAAGAAACGAATATTTACTTACCGCCCAGGATCTCGTCTGAGGTGAATTTTCCTGTGGACGACATTGGGATCCACACATTAACTCACTTAGAATACGATTGAAACAAACACGAGTGGTCGACCAACACTTTCGCGAGGAACACGTTAACGAAGGACGACGCACTCACAACGAATCACCGTGATAGAATGCTCGGTGAGACGCGCGACTGTGCTTTGTTTTGATGGAACATCAACACACGTACGTCAACCAAGCCGACCAATCACGCGATGTGCGGCTTCAATGTAAATACAACTATGTGAGTCAAAGCAACCACTACGTGACTCATTAAACGTTCTTACCACTTGGTTTGATGCTGAAACTCTGAACAAATATCTCAAAAATCTGAAGCAAAAATTAACCGAGTTATTTGTTTTAAAATTTGAATTTAAAAAACATTGAATTTAGCTATGTAGGATTCATAGTACGCATTTCCTCCTATAATGGAAAATTTAAATTTTTATAATCTTTCTATTTACGCATTCACTAAAGGTTACATATATTATATGGTAGCATAGCTTACTTTTTCTCATAGGATACAATACAAACATATGCCAACAAAAAATAACAAATGAATTGTAGAATAAAATTTATCTGATTGATGTTTTATTTGTTGATGAAATAAAATTATTCTCTTATATCTAGTCTGTCTGCTAGAAATTTATTATAAAATCATAATAAATCATCTAAATTACCTAAAATGTAAGAACATAGATTAGTAAAAGGTTTAAGATCTGATTAAGTATATTTAATCATTATAACATTTAGATCAGACTAGATTATGAAAATTATATATATTTATCAAGTTTTGGAGCACAAAGCACATTGCTCCTTTTATATGTGGTGGCAGCACCATCCCAGTTTTACTTCAAGGGTTAATTTGTGTTGCACGACACGTATTTTATCCATGAACTGCGTAAATCGTATTTTCTATCACAAATTGTTCGAAACTACACCATTAAAAGGTATATCTATACTTTACATTTGTGAAATTATCATCTCTTCCTGTAATAACAACGGATAGGCGGTATAATTATGAATAAAGATTAATAAATATTGCTTTGTCGATACTAAAAGTAGACAGTTAAAAATGGTCGCCTTGTAACAGATCTGTCAAGCAATATTTTACCATATCCGATCGTTACGATGCAGTAAATACTATAACTCTAAATTTTTAGTTGTCAGCGTGTTCGACGATAAATTTAAAGTAAATGCAAGAGCTAACTAGTTTCTATGATATAAAATGTAATTTCGTAGTTGATGCTGCCATATGCGTAAACGAAGCTATTGTATATTTATTTCGTTCACAAGCTTCGTTCATGTAACAGAATTCAAGCTTCTCTCTCATAAACATTTTATAATTCTTAAATATTGCGCTAATGCTAATAATAGCTAATAAAATTACCTAAATAACTTCATTATTAAAAACTAATATGTAAGAATTATTTATGAAAAAAATGTAAATATAACTATATGGATATGAAATCTTCATAAAAAATTAAAAAGTAAATAGATATTTTTATAGATTATTCACTGTATTGCTAAACACATATCTGGAATGAAAATGAAGATTCCAAACAATCGTTCGGGGAACGATTATGGAAATGAAACAGGGATTATTTCCTATATGGATAATAGTTTTGAATCTGAAATTGATGTACAAGGAACGGAAGAGAGCGATTTTTCTGAATACCTTTGGATGGAAAATGAGGAAGAATTTGATAAAGAGGTTTTGTAACTATTGTTTCAATAATGATTGAAGTATTCAAACATGAAACTCTTTTTTATAAGATTTTGATAACATGATAGTAATTAAAAATCATAGGTGATCCAACAATTAATGGAAGAGGAGTTGACAGAGGAATGTTTAAAAGCAATGTGGGAAGATGAAAGACAACATGAACGAAATACAAATTCTATTGCTTGGTCCACTGCTACTAGCATGCCTGAGAATGGTGCAGAACTTTGTCAGCAACTTAACAATCTAAAAATGCATGATGACCTTGCTAAGCAGGTATATCTCAATTTATCTTTCAATAGAAATTTAATTACATACGAATACTGTATAGATAAAGAATATCATACTATATTTTATATATACAGAATTTCATACAGGTAATTTGTTTTCAGAGTACATTGAATCCAAATGCAGCTGAATTTGTTCCAGCATTCAAATCAGCAGTAACATCTGTAAGTACACCACCAGAAGTTACTGCAGAATCATCATAGAAGCCATATATTCATTTGTTTAACTGAATAAAACATAGGCTATATATATGGCTAATGTTTACCAACTTCAGTAACACAGTTGTATTAACTGAATTGCATTAAAAGTTAAATGACTGTCCCTACACGTACAAAGGTATAATGATCATCAAAGCAGATAATACATAATGCTGTTATATGATATTTACGAGTAATGAAGTCAGTTGCATAACCATAAAATTGAAAAATATATATTCAAATTTTTATAGTCGTGAGATATTGCATAATATTATAAACATTTAATTTTACATATATATTTTTCGGCCATATATTGAACAACGTGACATGCCAAAATCACTTGTTATGAAAATTTCCAATTTATTGTTTTTATTTTTAACTGAAGAAAAATATATTCAAATGTGATCTATATAATTTATACATTTGGTTGGAAGAAAAGAATACATATACGAAGTTTCATAAGTTATATGTATACACATTCAACAATGAATTGTTGCATCCAAGTGAACACTACTTTTTTTTTAATACTTTCAGAATACTCCTTTTATTCTGATCTGAGAGTTTTTATATACTATAGTATGCGTTTCTGAATGAAACACTTTTCTAAGAGTTCCTTTTGTAACACTTATTTTATACTGGTATACATCTTCTGTAATCATTAACATGAATTAAGAATATATACTGAAGTCGTTAAGACTGATGTAAGTAAAATGTTGCATTAAAAATTGTATTGCATCCAATACATATTTCGTTGATAAAACAATACTTAACGCATCTAATTATACGAGAACAGTTTTAATCTTTATTTTTATTGTCAATTCTTTTATTTAAAAATACCTATGTCATAATTCTCGTCCTCTATCAGCATATGTCTTGAAAGACTTGAAGATCTCAAGTGAAAGTCTTACACGGGCTGTGAAGGACAGTTTTTCTGACTCTCTTTTATAATGTTGAGAGTCAATGTATTACTTACTTTAATTAAGTAATAAAATTTCTATAAAATATAATATTTTGAAATTGATTAGGATATGTATATGAAATGTAATATTATTGAAAAATACTATAAGTGGTGATTGTATTTTCAATTGTTAACCAAAATTCAGCTGATACAAATGGTACAAGTATAAATTTTTCAACCCTTTTCATTACCGTGTTATCTGTTTACATTTTGTGAACCACCTTATAAATTCTATAATAATGAAACTTTTAAGGAATAAAATTATATTTTAATAACGTTAATTATACACGCCACTTATATGTGCTCTTTGGATACACGTATTTATGTACAAATTCTATTAATATTTTTTGCATTGTGATAGATACATACCGTCAGGATTTTATAAGATTGCATGAACTAAATTTGTATTACTTTAGTCACAACATACTTTACTATAAATGCAGCAACTGTGATTATGAAGCAAATTAAATAGATTTATCATATAGATTGTTCACAGTTAAAGAACCTTGCATCGATTTCATGATGTTTCACATTATTCTGCTTTTAATTCTTTTTCTATGTGTCTCTCCTACTTATGGATCCTCATAAAAAAATAAAAGTAAAAAAATAGAAGAAAAACAAAATAACATATTTAGTTAAAAGTAGAGTGAAGAAACAGATATTTATAGATTTATTTAAAAGATTCAAATTTAGTGGTGCATTAATCATATGAAACAGCAATTTCTTTTAACTTTTAAATTTATTTTAGTATGAAAAGAGACTGTTTTCTAGATTTAAGCTTATTTCTTTAACAGGATCTGATGTATATTTAATTCTTTACCAATTTGTTAAATAATATCGGTAAAATATATCAATTAAAAGCACCTATTTAGTTTATATAATTTTACTTTCTGCGATAAAATTTAAAAAAAGAATGTAAGTATGAAACATTACTAATAGTCATATAAATATATATCTTGTAGTCATTAAATATGTGTCAATTCAAATGACATGCAATGTTTATATCAATCATATTATTAACATTTTTAGTAGCATGTCATGTATATCAATAAAAGCTGTATTTTATCGGTAGAAAAATATAACAAAATTCATCTGGTTATGCTATATAACTATATAAACACCATATAATGTATTACTGCATAATACTTCATGTTTTCCAACACTTAAATTATCTCAAATTTAAATAATGTCTGAAAATAAATATCACGTTTTTTATGAGTTATTTCAATAGTACCTGTATTTATTTGGTGTTTCATTATATTCGTACTAATAATAATAAGATAATTTAAATTTTAAGAAGTGAGCAATTATAACCGTTTCATATTATGTACGATGAAAAATACTTTAAAAGTCATGAAAAAAAATTATTATTCAGTAGTACGCATAACTTAAATCTAGATCAACAAGCACAAATACTATTTTGCTTTTATTTAATTTATGTGGTTGTGCAGGATATACATATATTTTTTTCAATTTTATGTTAATATAAAACGAAAAAAAACAAAAAATTTAAAATGTAAAAAATACAGATAAACTTTTTGTAGCAATAAATCTTTTTTTAAGTGCCACTATAAAAGTAATGTGTAGAGGATTAAGATAAAAATAATTATATTGTTTAAGCAAGTGTGTATTATTATATCATTGCCATTAATCATTTGCATTTGCAATTTCCTGTATTGTATTATTATTTCTGTAATATTTAGTATATAAATGAATTATATAAAATATAAATTTATGTATTGCATTTATGATGTCCTTTCCTATTGATTTATAATAGTGATTATTATAATTTTTCATGTGGAATAAACAATTTATTTGTGAATATAATGCATAAAATATTAGTAATAGTAAAAAAGAAACATTTGTTAAAAGCATCACCTTGTATTTGGCAGCATATCAGTATATATATAACTACAATTAAATCTTACAATTATTTCTATATAAATTAGTATCAGTTTTACAATAGTAAAAAATTGATACCAATACATATTGCATTAAAAGCTATGAAATGTAAAATGTTTTATTCCATATATTCTGCAAACTCTTTAATATATTCCAATGCAACATTTACTACAATAACTATACTAATATAAATAAAACAATACATATTATAATGTTAAGCACAATTATATATTTCTATTATGTATTTGCCACACGTACAACATGTTATTTTTGTAATAACCAGAGAATCATAATTTAATATTTGCTACAAAATTTGTAAATGTAATAAATTTCAATTGTTTTTCGAATATAATATTTCACTCATTATATAAAGTATGAAATTGGTATCAGTTTTTTTACAATTATTTCTTATATGCTATAGGTAATATAAAATCATCATAAAGAAGATTTTTTTTAAATGTATAATTGTAATCATATTTACTTATATACAATCATTAAATACTTTGATCTGCAGTCTCTTTATTCCAATGCAATACTGTTTTATTTATATTGCTTTTATGCAAGTTTTGTTGACACACAGTAACACGTCTTCCACCTAATTACGAATATGATATTGAATAACAAAAAGTCCAATTTTTAATCAAATTCTCTAGGAAATCGTAAAATACATTAAAACATGTATGCAAGACAGATATATAAAGTTAAATTATATAAGTAAAAGATTTATGTATAGAAAAAATATAATTTGTTACATCAAATATATTTATACAAATGAATTCTTATACTTTCATATTGATTACTTGGAATTATTAATATAATTACCACTTGGAAGAATGCTAACATTATTATTTGTATCTTAGTTATTTTTTTCTTTTTGTAAAATCATAGCAAAGTATTTATCAATATTATTGTCAAAAAATTCATTATAGTAAGAAACTGACCTCCGTGTAACATAGTAGCAAAAATTCAAGGCCTGTAATTGTTATTAACATTACTTAAAATAACAGCCTTATACATCTTTTTATTGTTAGAGACCTTATTGCTGGATATGTATAAGAATGTGTGCTGGTTATAAAATCGTTGAATAGGGTGATCTATATATTAACAAAACAGAAAAATAATTACCAATTTCAGTCCAATACAAATGTTTGATATTACAACAAAAATATGAGATCTTTGATAAGTTTATGTATGTATGTACGTAAGTATATATACGTTGCTCAACATTTAATACCACTTAATAAAATTTTGTTAAAAAATTGTTATGCGTTTAATTTAAATTTTTATCTTTTATAAATAATGATAAAAAGAATAGCATTTCTTTAGAATTGATACTTAATCAATAATAAAAATTTTATTGTACATTTAAATATTATAGAAATGTTCAAATTGTGAATTTCGTTTGCAAAAAAATACAAAATATTCCAACAATGGTAGTACAATTAGATAATTTTTCTTGAAAATGAAGCCTTACATGCAAAAATCTTATTCTGTTTTTTTAATTTATTTTTATATGAGAAATTACTTCCTGCTCGGTTATACCACGATTGCTGGAGCACCCTGTACTTCATGACAATAAATTAATAATAAACATAGATTCTGTGTTTTAATTTTATACTTAGTAGAAAATAAAACATTTTATTCATACAATTTTTTAAAGGTGATGCTGTATACTAGACTCTATCTTTATTAAATTACTTACACATAAGGTCTTAAACACTTTCTGTAGGACTCTGAAATTCGGAAAGTGCATGTATCGGGTTTTGCACTTTTTTCTGTGAACCTTTACGTACTTTTGCCCTGACTTCTTCTGGTCTTTCAGGACGTACCAATGGTTTCTTTTCTGGTGCTTTCATTTTCCATACAACAATTGGAGACTGTATAAACAGAACAAATATCAATTACGAATGTATAAGGAAGATAATAATTATAGTTTCTCCGATGTTTAAAACTGTAAATATATATTTGTTACATAGATACTTACATACTACAAAATCCAATAGTTAGTCAGTAAGAAAGTTTTAACATTAATATTAATTAAGTATATGAATCGTATATATGTAATTCACTTGTTTAGGACTTAAAATACAGAAATCGAAGAAGTCATTTTAATATATGAAAGGTACTTACAGTTACTGTAGATTGTCGAGGATATTTGGTTGAAGCAACATACGAAGCCTTAACAGTTAGTACAACTGCATTCATTAGATTTTTAGCTGCCTGAATGAGAGAAGTTGCACTATCAAGTCCAGATACAATTAATTCTCCACTGATATTTTGTACGTCTGCTTTAACTTTGCTCGTAATATTCATTTGATGACAATATAATGCTATACGTTGTAAGTATGCTAACAGATCTTTTTTAGTAGAACTTTCTGGACACTGATCTGCTATTTGTCTCGTTAATTTATCTAATTTAGTCCCGGCTTCAGAAATTTTCTTTGCAGCGTTGATGACATCCATAGTTGTCTTTAAAGGTCCACGACCTCTAGTGAAATCAGTCATTTCCATCATGATCATACACATGTGCTTAGCAAGAACAATAATATCGTTTCCTGCATCGTCCCACTTGGCAACTTCTTTATCGAACTTTAGTTTCTCACTCTTGAAGTATTCTACTTGCTGTAAGATTTTTTGTTTATCTTCTTCTGGCATTTTACGCATAGCTTCACGAGCCGTAGTAATTCCGCTAATTTCTGGATATTCATCAACACCATGTTCACCAGTTTGAGCACTCGATTTACTACGAGTTTCTAATGTATAATGTTCATCAAGTTCCACGTCTTCTGGATCCAAATCTTCATCCGCCTAAAATATAGTATATATAAATAAAGCAAATATAGTAATAAAGATACAAACTAGAAGCTTATACTGCATTTACTTACTCTGTTCATCAGTACGGCTCGCCTAATTTCACGAACACCGTCATAAACCAATCTCGAAGCATCTATAAAATCATTTTCATCCACATCTTTAGCAGGATTACTACCCAATGCATCTACCGCGACTTCTACTCTCTGTGCAAATTTTGGCATCACTTGTTCCCTTAAAACTTTCACGGCTTCTAAAACTCGTTTCGTATAGATACAAGGCTCATAATTATCCATTTCTGCTTGAACAACGTTACACACTCTGGCAGATCGTCCACGGATTGCACCCGCGGTTCTATCTAAAGTATCAGCATCACCTTCTTGTAATGCCAATACACATTTATTTACGTCTTCCAAGATATGATTTTCAGATACAGCTAAGAAATCATCAATGGTAGTAATATCATCGACAGCTTCTGTTAATACTCTTACTTGATTCTCCCATGCTTGCCGAAATACTTCCATGTTATCTAACGCTACTTTAGATCGATTACGAGCTGCAAGAACACGGGCTGCATTGATTACTTGTGGACACAGGTTTCCAATTTGTGCTGCCGCATATCGAACCATTTTTACACCATCTTCGTTTCCGGACATACTACATACTAAATTGGCAACCTGAATAGTCAATATCATATTAAAGTTATTACAATAAAATTAATATTTTAGATATATGTAGTTTAATAACATACCTCAACTAGCTTATTGGCATGCTCTGTAAAAACAAGTGCATATTCTTCCACTTCTTTATCACGACCATTTCTTGCAGCTTCAATGAGGACCAATAAAGGTACACTTGTTTCCAAAAAACTATCAGATACATGATCTACTACGGCTTTTCGTAATTGTCTACGAAGATCACGAGTTTTTCTGCACATATGATCAATTGCTCTTTCTAAACCTTCGGATTGTTCCTTGACACCCATCTGTTAAAATACATGTAAAATTAAAAATAGAAACAATAAAAAAAAATGTTTTATGAGCATTCAAGTAAGATCTAAGCTATTTCTTTACTAATAGCATTAAAGTGTAAGATAGAACTCTTTTTTTTAATAATTGTTAAACGGATAAATGATAATTAGCTAAGAGATTATTTTATTTTATTATTTGGAAGATGTATTCTAATCTAGATGTATCTATATTTTTTCAATGCAAGTATTTTAATATATATATATCTTACAAATTAACATACTAGTTATGAAAATTATACTTCTATTTAACTTAATGAAAATAAACCTTTCTCAAAAGAAGCTATGTACATAAGCAAATATAAAAAAATAATATAGTATAGTAATATACCATAGCACATTGTAGTATGATATAAAGAAAGCAATGATTTGCTTCATTGTGAAAAGAATCTTGTAAATAAAAAATATATATGTATACAGTTAAAATCAACTTAAAAATAATTTTATGTCTATTTAATTTTACATTGCAAATCTTAAGTTATGTTTGAACTATAAACTATTTGTCTACACTATTTTATTTATTTAATTTCTATGAATATGTAATTATATTACATTTGGTGCTTTTCTTCTATTTTATATATCTACATAGTATATACAATTGTGCAATTTAGAGGATAATTGCAAAATGTACACTGAGTTATTAAAAATTATTTGATTAGTGCTTGTTGTTAAATAATATATAGATCATGTGTGGAAAAGTACAATATTTTAATAATATAAAAACTTCTTGCTTAATTTGTAAATTATATGCAAGAATAATAAGAAAACACAAGATTTTCATATTTACCCGTTTCCCACCCCGAGCAAGCTGTAACTGCAGTCATCAAAAATAAAAAACAAATGAGTAAAATGAACATACCAATCATACATAAATCAATTGTGATAAATAATAATATAATTATTTGTGTTTTAAATGTGTTTCTGGATATATTTGTTTTTGTATATATTTACTTATAAATGCATCATATAACGAATGTATCATTACATATTGTACGTTTAAATGCTATATGTTACAGAGTAAGATACAAACTAAAATAGATTATATAAAATAAATATAATATTAAATTTCTCTACATCGCTGCAATTATTAATAAAGTTTATTTAACATATTGACGCCGGTGCCGATATTCAGGGTTTTCTCCGTGGGGCGGCGCCCGAATTCAGTGTCTGATTCGTGGCGCGGCGCTGGGTCACTACCTATTTTGTGAAATACACGTGCGACCCGCCGATGGGTCGCGCCAGCGTCAACGTGTTAAATATGTGTTATTGTATGTATACATAACTTATATACATACAAAGTATATGTTTAAGTCATGGAAGTACAAAAATCCACAATGTACTTACATTATTCATATATTCACTCAACAAATCCTGAAGTGCTTGCCTAACTGCATTACATTCTGCAACAATGCGTTCTCTGCGTTCATCTCGAGTGCATGAAGAATCCGCCATCAATGCAGCACCACTGATGATACTTTCCAACCTTTCCTCAAGACTAGGTCTTGTACGTACTTCATTATATGCAAGTGGAGACATTACCATTCTTTCATCAAAATCATCTAATGCAGCAGCTAATTCTCCAGGTCCTTCATAAGGATGTTGGCTATCAACTGGAGTCTTTCCTTGTGCTACGTCATTAATGGTATTTACAGCTTCACATACTTGCTTCAGAACATAATCACGGTTTGCTTTTGCTGCAGCTAGTTCAGGATGTCGAACATAAACTTTGGAGGCAGTAAGAAGCATAGTAGAATGCTTTTTAAGAACAGCTCTTGCTGCAGCTAAGTCATCTCTTAATTGAGGATCTTTTAACTCTTGCTGACGTTTTGCAGCTTGATTCATAAGTTCTGATGCATTTCTTCCAAATTGTTTTATGTTTTCTAATAATTCTCCTTGTGAAGATGCATTCTTCAATTTTTTTAAATCATCTTCTACCACATGAAGTGATTTCAGCAACAAATGCACATCAACCATATCTGCTAAAATAAGCAAACGTGTTACTGCAGATAACAAGTTCCTTGCTGCACGAACCATGTTCCCTCTTTTTAAAGAAGAACAAGGATCTTCAGAAAACTCTCTGTAATTAATTAACAATAACGTTAAAATTTACTTAACATTCTCTGTATATTTTAGAAAAATATAAAACAAATATAGTACCTAGCAGCAATGCTCATTGCAGCACCTGTCTTTTTCACTTCCTCAACAGCACTTAACATTTCTGCAGTAATGTCAGGATTTTCATAAGCTATTTGTTCACCTTTCTCAATAAAATTGCTAGTTGCTTTCTCAACAGTTCCAACTAAAGCACTAGCCCTTTTTGATTTTCCTTTCTTTTTCTTGCTAGGACCCTTTGTATTTACAAGCGTAGTAACTTGTAAAACCAAGGGTTCCAATGTTTTTTCTACAGACATGGTACGGATCTCCAAATTCTTGGGATCCCATTTCAAAGTTATTGGACCAAAGTGATCAGACATTTTTGTTATTTCAAACAAATTAATTCTGTAAATCAAAATAATAATACACAAATACATAATTAATAAATTTCTATAGTATAATACAACATTACCTGTGCTCTTATAATATAGTACAGATAATTTATCAAACTAAAGTAAATTAAACCTTTTTCCTTATCAATTATTTTTTTATTATCATTATATTTGTAACATTTATTTAAATAACATGTAATACTAGTAGAATAAAATTCCACTTTTCCACTTACTTATCTATAAAACGAAAGCGACTAGACGATATAACTTTGATTAGAAGATATGAATATTTGAAAAAATCAGGGTGCGTCAGGTCTGATTATTCACAAAAGATTCACACATAGAAAATATTTAGTATGAGATACACTACTACTTTGTGTTCTGGCCACAGTTCGGGGCCGAATCTGGCCAGAATGCAAGGGAGGGTCTATACCAGGAATTCTGCCTCGGCGTGAAATAGATGGATAGAGTGAGAGTGAGTCAGTGGCGGTACTGGCGGTTACATTTGTTTATGTTAGATACATATCACAAGAACTCTCACTCTACGAAAGCAGTTTTAAGTAATGGTGAAGATAGTGTACAATACAGGGCAGAATTCCTGCTCACGATACAATGCATTAACTATAACAATTTTCTTACCTTCATGAAAAATTTACAGTTGAAAAGAAAATGTATAGATCGTTAATAAAATCCACGTAAAACAACACGTTTGTTTGAAAAATCAGTCACATTGGAAATCAAAATTTCAACACAAACAATCCCATATCACTTCGATGTATCACCTATTTGCCATCTACTCTTCATTCATGACGTCATTATTTCCGCTGAAGTTAGAAAATGAACGACACCTCCAGAGAACCGGTCTACGCCCGAAGCTCGAAACACGAATGCTAAAGCGAAGCTTATATGTACATATACATACATATATGTATGTGTGCATGCAACTTGCCGTAAGAATGCAGCAGCCAATCAAAGAATATCTTTTTTAATGTTTCACAAAGTTATATATCGTCAGATTATTTCATTGGTTATTGTATCTATCCTTATCACATTCACTGTATATTCCTATAAGCTTTTGTCGTTTCTGTTATGTGTGATTGTGTGATATACACTCTGAAATACAGATATTTGAATCTTAATTAGAAAGCTGAATTGAATCTTATAGAAATTTTGTATAATTTTCTTATAGATAGTTTAATGAAATGATTACAGATGTTGTTGTTTTAAGCGATTCGAACGAATCTTCTTTATCCGTTCAATCGAATTCGAATAATAGATCTTTATCTCATAATGATAATTCAAGTGATCTTGAATTTCCTGCAATAAATTTTCATCATATCATTAACGAAGACGATGTAAGTAAATCACGGAATATTGATATTGCAAGCTGTTCATCTAATTTTAACACAAATGGATCATCATATCAGACTGATGATAAACATACCGCTAATAGCAAAAATTTCAAACAATATAATGTTAGAAAGTTTTCGTACAATGTTTCTAATTCATCTGACTCAGATGAAAAGAGTAGCAATACAGAAAGACAAAGGAAAGGTAAAGGTACTGTAAAAAAGAAAAGTAGAATTGAACTAAATGAAGAAAAATTAAAAAAACAAGAGTGCTTAATGAGAGAAAAAGCATTGAAAGCAATTGCAGTTAAAAAATCAAAAGATATAAAACCTGGTGAATGTATGAAATTTATAGAAGTTGTTCTTGACAACGATATTAAAAATGTTGCTCCTATTACAGATATAATAGATACATTGAGAAATGCTGGTGTAACATATACTGTTAAAACAGAATTTATTTCAAATAGCATTACATGGAAAAGAAGCATTGAAAATAGCTATATTGATGACACCAATAAAATATGTACAGTAACTGATGTTGAACAAATTAGTCAAATATTGATAATTTGGAATTGGGATGAGGCAGTAATAAAAGTAACAGATGGTAGCTTTTGTACATCTATCTCTAGCATTAAATCTTCATTACCAGATTACAAAATAACACTCGTAATTTTTGGAATAGAGGATTATTTTGCATGTAGAGAACAAAGAAGAAATTTAAAGGAAAGTAGAACAAAAAAGAAAACCTACATCGAAAAGTATCATCAAATGTCTACATATCCTCACAAAATATCAAGGAAACATCTTGAAACATGTCTCAATGAAATACAAATTATTTCAGATTGTAGCAGTAGATTAATTAACAACTCTCAAGATTTAGCATTAATGATATATCAATATACGAAAGCTATAGCAGAGATACCATATAAATCAGAAAAGAATAAAAATTTAACAAATAAATTTGATTGGTATGTAATGGGAGATAATAGAAACACTGTTAAAGTAGATAAAAGTGGAAATGGATTGAAAAGATTATGGCAACAGCAGCTTTGTCAATTTAATTTGAGCAGTCTTGAAATTGCAGAAGCAATTTGTTCTGTGTATCCAAGCCCTGCAAATTTGATAGAAGTAAATATTGATATATACCAAATATATGATTTATTTCCTTTTCCTATCTTTCTTTTCCTTTTTTCCAGGCTTATATGAACTGTACAGATACTGAAGGAGTAAATTTGTTGAAAGATATTCCGGTAAATAAAAAACATTCATTACAATGTTTCAAATAAGATGAGCTTTTAAAAAAATAATTTATGTATACAATAAATTAAAGAATGGTTATAGTTTAATGCTGTTATTTTTACTTACACTTCATAAATATATTTTTAACACTTTACAGATTAGAAGAGCAGCTGGACCTCTTACAACTGTACGTAAAGTTGGCCCAGAATTAAGTAAAAAAGTCTATTTAATGTTCTCATCTAAAAATGGTGAAAATGTATTAAGTTGAATTATATTTTTAACAAAGTTCAATAAGTGTACAAATAGAAATATTATAGTTAGCAGATGGCTCTTTGTTATTCTATTTTCATTCATCTAATGTCCAACTGAAAAATAATAATAAATTAACTATTTTATAATAATATAGTTTTCTACTTATTTCATGAATAATAAAAGCTAGAAAATTATTCGTACCTATATATTGTACAAATGAATAATATTAAGTACATATAAAAGCTTTAATAACTTTTTAGGTATTAATTATTTAAAAATCTAGCGCACAATTTGACTGAATGCAAAAACACAACTGAACGATAAAAACTATTTTATAGTTATACAGATACATTCCTTAAATTTATTTATTTAGTCCAATTTTGCGCTAGATATTTTTGGATATCTTATATGATATGAAATATAACATTTTTACTATACCAAAGGTATATACAATACATTTGTTTACGGCAAATTCAACTATGATAGTCGGTTAATAAAAGTAATTTTCTAACATTTTTACAAGTATTTATTAAACATAAGATATCTAAAAATTTGTTATAAAAAGAAAGAAGATTCAAACCACCTCATATCAACTTTTTCTACTATCTTACAGTAAAAAATATATAAATGATTAAATGCAATCTAAACGAAATTGTTTGTAAATATTCAATATAACTTCCACTAAATTATTATTAACTGTATACAGACTAATATTACATAACTCTCACATGAAATTTTTTACACGCATTCCTCATACATTTGATTCTCACTGTTTAATGTTACAAATAGCTTTTAGAAAAAAAATATGATATATGTTTGTTTGACGATTGGTTTAATCGGGAGTGTAAACTTCAGATGCTTTGATAAAAACTTCACACATTTACGTGTATATATATATATGCATATCAAGATATATTATAATTGTTATTATTACTAAATTTTTTGAAATTTGAAATAACTTTAAAAATTGAATAAAAAAAGGAAAGTTAATTTTTTGTTTTCAAACTCTCTTTTGAAAGTGTCATATATTGTAAATATTACAAGATAAATCGTAATAAAATATAAAATACTGCATGCGCGAAGTGATTAAAACGTTCGAGTTGAAAATTTAGATTCTAAATAATAAAGTTTAAGTGTAGTACATTTAACATTAGTTAAGAATATTGATACCTTTTAATCTCTTCTTCTGTTAACATGCATTCTATTAAATGAATGATATAATATTGACTGATGAATATTTTTTATATGTATGTGCTAATAATACACACATATATTTTTTTTATGAACACAATACAAAAATTTGTTAGAAACTTTTTCATTCCAATTTAAAAACATATAAACTACAATAAATATTAAAAATGCATGTTGACAGTTTTCAATCTTGTTTCAGTGAACCATTAATGAAAATTATAATTTCATAATGATGATGATGATGATGATGCTGATGATGATGATAACGACGACGACGACGACGACTACGACGACGACGACGACGACGACGACGACGACGACGACGACGACGACAACGACAAATGATGATGATGATGATGATGATGATGATGATGATGATGATGATGATGATGATGATGATGATGATGATGATGACGACGACGACGATGATGATAATAATAATAATGAGATATTATTGTAAGTAAATTATGCATTATTAGCTTGATGTTCTTTCTAATATCATTAACATTATGAATGATTTATTCAATAATATTGATTTACTGATTTTGATGAACAATTTAACTTTTTAGTTAAAGAATACTAATAATTGAAGATTAATATTTTCTTCATGCCTCATCAATTTTTTTCAATTTTATAAAACGATCTTAAAATTATAATTTGTTACAATAAAAAATGTTGATAATGAAACATTTTAACATATAAATGGAAGTCGGTTGCGTGTAAAAATAATGGAATAAAAACTACGATAATAGTTTATGAAGTTGGCTTCCTATTCTACACTATATCTTTAACATACTATTTAGCAATCAAAATAATAATTTGTTGTTTATTTAAAATAAAATGTGGATATATATATATATTGAATAATATGTCGAAAAAAATAATTCTTATTACTGAAACTTAAATTTTTACTATAATATAGTACGAAACAAATCATTCATGTCTGAAATACATGCTTTAATATTAACATAAGATAAAAAATATTGTAATCTTAAATTGATAACATTATAAACGTTTGCAAAAGGCAATTGAAATAAATCAAATTTTTTATCCATACAAAGTTGCTTGATATCGAATAATCGTTGATTTATGAAATTTAATATATTTATTACCAATGAATTTTTATACTTAAAATATATGTGTACGAATTTTTATGCTCCAATATTATATTAAATCAAAGCAACTGGAGTATAAAGGTAATAAGAAGGATTTAGTCTTTTCTGTTTATGAATTTTTAGAATGAATTGTATACACTCTGTATAGGTTTCAATATCTTAAATTTGGAAACAATTATGTTCAACAAAATTGAAAAAACAAAAGTTAAAAGTATAAAAGAATAGGAAGCCAAACAATAATGCTTTTGTAAAATAACAGTATGTAATTTATTATCTTTATACTCAGCTAAAATCAATTTTAATTCCACCATAATTTATAATTCACTCGCACACACATTCAAGCATTTGGCAGGCAAGAACCTAGGAGAATCTAATTGAAGGTTAAGGTCATCATATCACCGATAGGATTTGAAGTTGTATTAGGTCCTTTTAAAATATCATTTATATCTCTTCTAAACAATGATAAATTTTGTGTAAACCTGAGAAAAGAAAAATACATACATAACATGGATAAATGTCTATGTATAATTTCGTATCTCGTATTCCTCTTACCTATCTCTATTTTTCGTGAGTAAGTTTCTTTCGATTCCTTCCATTAAATGTTCAAACCAGTGTGCCATTGTTGTTTGTTTATCAACTGGTTGACTTCTAATAATATTTTCTCGTAACTGATTAAAATACTGCAACAATAAATATTTAGTTTCGGCGTAAAATTAGAAAATTTTCACCTCTTAACATAATTTTTATAATAAATAAAAAATACTTACTTCTTCATTTAAAAGAATTAATCCCAAGAGAGGACGTGACATACTCCATTGATTTCTACAATCTTCAAACATTATCACATTTAAAACAGTACTTAACATTTGTTGAAGAATTTCAGGATGTTGCTTTAGAACTTGTAAGAATAAGTCTCCACCTCCTGGAACTACTGTATTTTTCCTGCCCGGGTAACCCCCTAACAAAAAGGGTACATGTATTCAAATATTAATGTAGGTACATAAGCTAAATACTAGTAAATACATGAGATAAATACCTTTTTGATATAATTGTTTAAATATGTAAGTCACAATATGATCAAGTGTTGCGCAACAACCAGTACAGACCATTGTATCTGCAATGAAGTTTTGTTATTTATATTTCATATTTTATATTTATCTGAAGTAAAATAGGAACTGTTAAATAAAAGTAACCATTAAAAGAATAATAATATAAAAAATATATAAACATAATCTGTGTCTATCGTGGAATTTAATATAGAAACCTACCTTGAAAATAATGTAAATTCTGTAAAATTATTTGTTCACTTATTATGTTGGCTAGTTAATTTATCAAAACACAATTTTACTTATATATAAAAAGAGTTAAAAGAATCTGTCATTATAAATGATGACTTATTGAATCAAAACATAATTTTTATCAATTTTGAAAAAGTAAATGAACAAACAATAATCATTCATATTTGAAGTATTTGTTTGTTGTTCATAATTTTGCATGTTATACATTGAATGGAAAACAAAGCATAAAATGTAAAAACAACACATAAAGATTAGTAAATTAGTAACTTAAGAACTTATGACTATGAATAGTAATATATTTTAGTAGCATGCCAGCTGTGCGGCTGACTATGTGTGCTAGACCCTATCTGTGCTATGTAATTTAATTTTAAAGAAATGAAGAATTCATAAGTTGTTTAATACAACATTAAAAATAGGAATAAAAATTTGAAAAAGGAAGAAAAAGAAAAAGGCAATAGAACAATAGCAATTAGGGTCTAGATTCTACAAACTCCAATCCTCTCATTGCCTATATGATTATGGTGATTCAATCATTCTCCTTATATGCATAAATATTACTCAGCATACATTTGTTTCTGTAATTTCGAAACTATAGCAGTAACTAATATACCTAAATGCAGGTTTACATTCCAAGCAACAATGCAAAAAGCAAATAAACATAAACAAAATTAAACATTCTTATTAACTAATATTTCTCCCGATTTTTTTATGCTTCATATTTAAAATCATAAAATTGTATTAATATCGCCAAATAAGAATTCATGTGTTCAAGAATTCAAACATGCATGATACAAGATTACTTATGTTTATATATATTTTTTCATTAAAAACAAATCTGATATATATACTATTAAATTTTGTTTAATTGCGATTGAAATCTCTACTATACTTCAATTATAAGTAATTATTCATAATTTACTAATATTTTACTGAAATAGAATATAAAATATTTAACAAACATTTTTCTTATAAAAAAGGAATTTTAAATGATTTGGGTCTTATAATCCTGTGGCATGGCATAGAGGATAAGAGAATGATAATAAAATAGAATCAGCCGCACAGACCTGTATAGTAGTCTTTTTGCGCACCTAGTGCTGTAAGCCCTTCACTGATGCTTGATAGAATGTATAAGAATACTCTCGGTTCCAAAGTAGAAAGGAACACCATGTGATCTTGAGCTAAACACTCGAGTAACACAAAATATGTTGTAGATAATTTCGGATAATCCTACAAAAAAAACAACAATATTAAGTTGTAAGATATCTATCTTTACATCTTTTGAATATGAACATAAGTTAATTGATGCATACCAATAAATCACTTTGTGGTATACTAAGAAGTAATTTTACAAATGTGTTGAGTGCATTATCCAATGCCTCGTCACCATATAATCTGAACACACCAAAATTTACGTAACTTCCACATAAAGCTGCTTTTAACATACTGAAGCATATACTTATTCCTTTAAGCTTTAAGGGGTATATTTGATCCTTTGGAACTTCAACGTTTAATATACGATTACCATAACTACATATTACTTTACTAGCTTCACGAAATAATAAAATTCCATTTGGAGAAGATGCATCAAACTGTAATCGTTGACTCCTATTTTGTACTAATTCAGCAAATAATTTTAGGACGGGTGTAGTAACTTGTGGCTCATAATGCCACAATTCCACAGCATGTAATAAAATCGGTGTATAATTAGGATAACTATGTGTAAATTAAGGTACTTTACATTTATCAAAAATTAAAGCAAATTATTATTAATGACTCTTAATCATTTATCAAATTATATTTAAAAAAAGGATACATCCAATCAAAGAGCATCATATAGGATGTTTTTGTGTTGAATGCATAAGCTAAACCTCTTAAATCTCTTGCTAAACCAATCAATGCCTTTTTTGCTTCTTCTGCTGTAAAAAGTGAAGGGTCAGCTGGCCCAATTAACTGTCCTAAACTTTCAAATGCATCTATAGGTGGAAAACGTAAGTGTAAGTATTAAATAAGTAAGTAGTACAATTTTGGATACAAAAAAGCTTTCCATACTTGTTAAAGGTAACATAAATGTATGAAACCTTTCCTCATCTTCTCCTAGATCTACCATCAATAATCTTCCCAAGGATGTGTAAAACATTGATCTACAACGCATTTCTGTTACAGCAACATTATTTCCCAAAAATGGAAAATGCTCTCTCTGTTAGTAAAAAAAAAGAATATATACAATTTTATTCTTAATTTTTTGTAAGTAAATTTTACATATTTTTATATATACACACCGTGTGATTATTGAGCATAAATTGTACTTCCTCTAATTTTACAAGTTTACGGACACAACTATATCCTACAGATAAATCATTTAATAATTGTAATGTTTTTGAAATAATTTGTTTACTACGACCCCAATACTTCAAATTTGTTATTCTGTAAATGCAAAATTAAGATCATAAATCTTGAAATAGTATAAATAATATTCCTGAAAGTAACTTCCTACTTACATTTTCCGGATAAGAATACCAAGTACCATGGATTCGTCATTAACTCCTAAAACATCTGACAGTCTTCTATATACTTTAGAATTTTTTTGAACTTGATCACCTACATATACTTTACGAAATTGTTCAAAGAAGCTCAACATTGCTAATTCCAATTTCTCACAGCCACCTTGTGCAAGTCTTGAATCAGTCAAATTCATCAATTGGAGTACTCTGCAAACTAATTCACCATCCATTGCATCATACTCTTCATTGCTGTTAAATGTTACTTTTCCGCCAATAACACCACCTATTTTTTAAATATCAATGTAATAATTCACTATTAAACATGTTTACTTTTCTATATGATTTACAAATTTACTTACCTATGATATATACAAGCCAAGTGAGTTGACCCTCTTGTATAGTGATATCCATTCGTTGTGTTGGAGATGCTGTTTGTGTCATTAATTCTTGGTATGTCCTAGCAGCCTGATCAAAAAGTTGTACTAACAAAGTACATGTCTTTTGATATTCACACCTTACAATTACAGATATTTGCTCCAATTGCTGATGAACTATTCCTAAATCATCAAGTGGATCTTCTAAACCCTCTCTAACTACTATTGCAACTGATTCAAGTCTTGAAGTAATATATGCATTTACAATTTCTGGAGTATATGTATTTAACAGGTGTGGATCACCTGCTTTTACATATGGCATGGATGATACCATTCTTTGCCACAATGTTAGTAAATAATGTAAACTGTTTGGTGCAAACTGCCACATCTGTAAACTTTGGATTGTAAATTTTGCAATTAATTGTATAGCTTCTGGGTAGTCTTTGACTAAGACCAACTCCCCAAGCTGAAAATTGCTCTTTAGCCTTGATAATAGTCTACAAAATTCATGGTAATTTTCAGGATCACTGAGACCTTGAGGGTTTTGTAGTATGTGTTTTATACCGCTAACTAAGTGTGTTAAAAATTGTGCCCTTTCTGGATTTGAAAATAAACTCCTTCTAACAGATGCTATTTGGACCAAACATGAAAGAGCCAAAGATGACAGTGAGTTAGGTAAACTATGATATAAATCAAAGAAAAGTTTCAGTGATGTAAAGTCCAAAAATACAGGTCTCCAACAGGTCGGAATTTGTACTGTACTAAGATCATCAGAACTTTCATCTGTTGAAGTCCCAATAAAGTCAAATGTCAAACAATTTTGTGCTAGTTTTAAAAGTTGTCTGATCAAACCATGCTAAAAAAAACAAAACAATAATAATAATATTAATTTAGGATATTATTACAAATACAGAAAAAAATAGCAAAATATATACCTGTGCTTCATCATTAAAATTTAAGTTTTTACAATTTTCTCGAGCTGTACTTAATAAAGTATACGATAACCTAAATATTTCAAAAAGTTGTGTATCTCTGAAGTGGCTAGCAATTTTTCTATGTTTTGTAATAGATCTGGTTGCATCTGCATCCGACACTTGATTCATTTCACACGTTAGTTGAGAAAGTAATTGGACTCCTATCATACAGTGTTCTACCGATCCCTGTATATTATATCAAAATATGGTATAATTATGAAAAATAAACATTTTGGAACAAAGAAGATAGTAACTAACCTGAAGAAACTTTGTTACATCACTAACCACATTTCTTTCTTTATCAATATCAAACCACCCAAACTTTGATATCCTGGCAAACAGTGTAACCAGAGCTTGTATTACAAAGTTTGGTAACTTTGGCTGAGTTGCTAAATAATTGAGAATATAATTTCCTAAAATAAAATTATAGATATTAAACCCAAGTATGTTTAATTGCGTTGCTTTATGATAGAATAAATAGACTTACGTATGTCAAGCCTCTGTCGTAAACTAAGTCCTGATGAACGGGAAGCCAATTTTGTCAAGGTAGTGGCTGCCAATAATTGAGCATATGGAGAATCTCCTCGATCAAGTAGAAGCTGACACTTTGTAAGCGTATCAGGAGTATTTTGAAAAGCAACAAGTGCTTTTTCAGCCTCTGCACGATGTGTAGAATCTTGTGATTCATACAACTGCTTGCATAGCAACTCCAGCTGCCGTACTTCCTGTATGTGATCCATTCTTAATGATATAATTCATCCCAAATAAACAATATTTCTGTGTAGTTATTTTTATTTTATATACTTCAAAAATATTATTTTACTTCCCAAGTTCTTTAATAAATTTAATCACTTATTTTGGATATATAAAAACTGTCATTTAAATATTTCTCAAATACATTATAACAAATAGGCAATACTTTAAAATCATGTAATTTATTTATAATATATTTTTCTTATTAATATCAACAAACATGATTAATATTTTAAAAAATGTATCAAATTAAAATTTTAAAAAGATGCATAAAAATATTAAACTAATTATTATCTATTAACATTTTTTAGAACTAAAACAATACAAGTAAATATAATAATTATAAACCTATAGATATTTTCACTTTTTAAATACATAAATAGAAATTAGATAGGATTATAATAATCACAGTTTTATTCTATATTATAAAATCAATGTGATAATTAGTGTTTTTAACTTTTAGGCATTTTAGAGGTTACACATTTATTTAAATTTTATAAATGTACAGCACATATTAATTATCGGAATTCCAAACCGCCACTTGCTTAAAAAAATTACAAACGTATACCAACGTATTTTCATATTATTTTTTATTTAATCAAAAGATTATGATTAATAAAAAAGACATTTATAACTAACGTGAGATAAACAGTACGAGCTAAGTATAAAGTAACAGAAAAAACATCTTAGTTTATGTTATAAAATTAAAGTGGATAGGTTATGCCATATTTTTGTAAGTAATTTCAAATAATAGTTTGATATCATTACGATGTAAACAAACAAAATTTCTCTTAAATAATAATATTCAAACTTAAAATTCAAGATTTAGATGATATTCTCATCCATTAATTATCTTTTGAAACTTCAGAACTATATCTACACAAAATAGTATTTACGAAAACAAGGTTAAAGTTTTACATATCGGCTACATGATTTTGTTCGTACAACAAGATGTCAATAAAGCTAAAGCGGGAAAATCTGTTAATTTATGATTGCATTTTTATTGACAGTGCGATAAAATTATCACTATGGTCCGGCAACAAACAACGTAGCTTCCAAGAAATACTTAAGTTTCCCAGCAGCAAAATGTTTGGGACACACGTCGACACCACATAACTTGCAACAGATTTACCACCGGCTGGCTTACCACACGATTTTTGAAATCACTTCATCATAAATAACTCCACTTTTTTGGTTGAGGTTTGCACGTTATTTTGATAGGTAACTCACCTGTTCGTCCGCCATTTTCGCAGCTTTGTATTATCTACAATGAAGGCAGGATCACATGCTTTAAACTCGACTGCCACAACATGTTATGTAGAAGCGACGTTTTCCTACATCGGAAGCATCAACAACGCCACCTTTATTAACAAAAGAAACAAAATTCATACCCGCCTACCTTACAAAGATGGAAGAAAAATTAAGCCAAATCTTCACTATTTTCATTATAGAAATTACAAATAAATTACCGATTATATTACGTTAGAATATATTTAATTATGTTTCGTAATTCAATCGGAGAAACTACTTTGGTAACTAGTTCTGTCGTTGATCATTATCTTTGTCTAGTATTTATTATAAACAATAAAAATTTGATATTTATAATGTATTTATATTGTATAAAATAATAAAGAATAAAATTTTATAATAGACAGTATAGTATTCTTCGGTATAATAAAAAAAAAGTAGGATAAAAAGTCAACAATTTGTAGTTATTTCGCACGAAATCTAAACAAAATTTTCAATGAAAAACAAAATACAAGCGTATATTTTTTCAAATGAAAGATGCTGTGATAAACAATAATTTTATGGAGCTTTTTAATATGTAGTTATAAAAGATTTCTAGTGTTTTATTTTTTAGATATATGTATCTCATAAATAATTTTTTGAATAATTTTTATAAAACGTTCATTACAAAAATAAAAATTTACAATTTGCAAGAATTATTATAAAATTAAAAATGACAAAACATGAAACATATTAAATGAGACAATGCACTCCTTGAAACTAAATAATTTTTTGAACAACTTTCCAATATTTCAAATAATAGAAACATATATAATAAAATAGATATCGTTGTTCCTTTTTTAACAAAATTATACATAAATAATTTGATAATTGTGTTATATATTTTTTGTTTTAGTTTGAGTTTTTTGTAATAGTATAATGACATGAAATAAGAAACAATTGGGATTGGATAAAAAGTGACTTAATGATGATTTATGATTGACTATGCATCTAATTTTTGTATACTATGTAGCATTGTGTTATGACGATATATAATGCATAAATAATAAAATGAAAATATAATATTCAGATTGGGGCCTTTTCTTGCCAAAGTAATTTCTAAATGTTCACAAAATTTTGTAAAATTTTATCTCTGTAAAGCGAGTTATTTCGTGCTGTTACATACAAAATTAATATATTAACTTCAAATATATATGAAATACCTTCTCTCGTAATTTTGTAGGTAAAATCTTGTAATATTATATATATATAATGTATTCAAATCTGGAATAATGTAAGTCATAATAATCTGACAAAATTTATCAGGAACTGTATCGTGAAATACTAGTTAGTTTTAACGGAAAATAATTAAATGCAGGTAACAGATCGACCATAAATATTGAAAATGTTACCTAAATTTGTAATGCAAATATTAATTTTATCAGTATATAATAGCTTTGATCATTAATACTAGCATAGTACATATTTTTCCAGTAAACTTTGTACATTTAAATTCAAAAAGATTACAGCTTCACTATGTTTATAAAAAATATGACATTTCAAAATAAATTTTCTATTAATCACAATCTGATTTTGACGAAAGTATGTTAAATTTAAGGGATAGTGATGGATATTGTTTCCATTAAAATTGCATCTTCTTGCATAGGTATTGTATTTCAAGTATAGCTTTTCCACAGCCTTCATATTATTCTTGTGTAATTAATTTCATACATGAAACTTTATGTTAATATTAACAATAAACATCACAATGTTTTCTTAAAGATACTTCTTGTCATAATATTATTTTGAACAAATGTAACATTCACGTTATGATCAAAACTAAATTATGTATAAGACACATTGTCGCTCTTTACGAAACTTTTAGAAATGAAATATCTCAGGGTTTTGTATTTTCTATCTTTAAATAATTATCATAATTACTATGAAATAAACAATTTTTTGTATAAAGAAATTTTACATATTGGATTCACCAAAGTATTTTAAGACCCCAATCTAAATAAAAAATATATATACTTATATTTTTACATTCCAAAGTGGAATCCAAGAAACAGCAATATATAATTAATACTACCTATATATGTACGTATTTAGATAGCTGCAATATAATGAAGTATGTGCTTATAAAGAGATTATCTTAATAACTGTCACAGCTACACTATTTTTCTCTATTGTGCTCTATGTTTTTCATTAAATTTTATGAATTGAGAACATGCTGCATACTACAAAAGTAATGTTTGCACTGGAGTCCCATATATACATACCACAAAGTTATAGAAAATTTTTCATGCCACCATTCTAGCTTAAAAATCACAATTCTTTGTACCCGATTTGACTACATGCAGTTCATAATTTTGCATAATATGTTTTACTTTTAATGTAAAAATTTGTATAATATTAGAATAATGTACAAGTACTACTAAATACACTATCTGTTACTTATGTAATGCAAAAGTCAAGTAACTTGACATATTTTATCTGTGATATTTAATTCTTTTCTTTTTTCTTTTTTTAAGCACATATTCACAATTTAATTCTCATGCAAAATCTATGTTGTATAAAATTTAAAATATATGTATTGAAATCAATATCAAGGATTACATATTTGTAAGCTTGGCTTTGAATTTTTCAATGTGGTCAAAATATCGAATTACTATCGCAATATTTACTGAAATATATATGTATATATATTTATATATATATTACTATTTCGTGAAAAATTTGAGAAGATATCATTTTTATTCTATTATTCAATATATCAATAAGTAAACATATTTTTCTTAGTGCTACTACTACCATAGGAATAAAAATAATGTCGTTGATAGCATTTATAAAATCTCGAAAATGACAATTATATTTTAACTCATATAATATTGTTCAGAGCACACTTATAACTTATAATTGAAAATGTGATGTAGCTTAAACAAAAGTTGAAACATATGATCCAAGATCATTAGTCAAAACACAATAATTTCTTCACAGCAGCTAAGATTACCTCAGAGTCACTATATTGCTTTTTTATGAATCAATATTTACATCTCGGTATAATGAAACTTTATATTTTAAATGCAAATGGTATTTTATATCAATGACTGTGCAGAGGTTATTAGCTTTCCATTTACTTTTCATTATATAATATAAATTTCATAAAATTAATGTCCATGGAAACTACTATGTCTTCGATTAACGGCTGTACATTTATAATACTAAACATGGGTATAGTAATTCACATTAGCTAGATTTAAAAGGTAATGAAATATGATAGTTATAATAATCCTTCCACATATCAAGACTTGAATGTCCACATTCACACCAGATAAGTACTCCAATCAAACGGCATTTTACAATCTCCTTACTATAAATTAATTACATTAAAAAAAAAGAAATTATTAATTTACTATAATACAGCTACCATCTTATTAAGTGTATCCAGCCTAAAAACGTTTTCATTTCCTTTACGTATCTTAAGTCTTTTTTTCATAGTAGTAGGAAAGTGGTCAACTTCTATCATGTCATAGAGCGTAGAAGAATTCCAAATATGGCCAAAGCAAACAATTGTTTACATCCATGGGATGTATTTATGTGATTTTTAATTATACTGTTCGTTACTAAACGCAGTGCGTCAAGCGCATATAAATTAATTCGTAGTTTTATCTGTCACCCCATATATATCCTATTATTGAGAGAATTTCTTTTGCTTTTCACAGCAAATAATAAACCAAAATCAATGACCGTGTTTTGCTGAGATTTTCTTTTTTTTTCTAGGCGCTGTTCACACTGGACACTGATTCTTCATTTCCTGCGTACACTACCGTGAACACATTGAACTCACTCACTAATCACTTGTCTGAAACAAACATACGAATATAACATATCTCTAGAAAGTATAGTAACAAGCAACAAATATTTTATAATTACGAAAAAGAAAGGAACACAAATTTATAAGCATATATGAGTTTATCTTCTATCTTAAACAGTATATTAAACTTACAATTATATCACAATGAAGGAATATTCATAGGGATGCGTCACTCAAATGCTATAAAAATAATTCATAACGTTAGAAAATATCAAGTACATGGAACAAAGATCTTTCTCATCGTACTTACGAGATGGAGATCTAGTATCAGATTGATTCACACCTGATGCATTTATTGCTGCAGGCCCACAGGATGATACAGATCCATTTGATGGATTAAAATTGAGAAAATCCCATATTAATATTGTATCATCGTGCGACGACGATACTATCTGGAACTCATCGAACTGAAGACGAAATACACGACCTGTGTGTTCCTATATTGCAGATATAACTTATTACTATTAAAGCCTTTTTATAGAACAGAATAAAATAAAGTATGTAAAATATCTCACCACTAATGTACGTATACAAAGCGAGTTAGTTAGAGCACGTGGATCTAGTGCAGCCACCAAATCCCATACTTTAATTTTTCTATAACATAAAGCAATAAACATGTTATTGTAATACTGTAAAAGACAATATAACATACAATTAAAAAAATTTTTTACTCACCCATCATAAGCTCCACTAACTATATGCTTGCTATCAAATCTAATACATCTGACCAATTCGTCATGTCCTTCTAGGACGCGTAAGCACGCACCACATTCAATATCCCATAATCTGATTGTATTATCACTGCTACCACTAACTACTAAGCAGTCCTTATATTGCAAACACGCTATACCCCGTTTATGTCCATTTAATGTTCGCACAAATTCGCAAGTAGATGTTTTCCATACTTTAATAGTCCTATCACCACTAGCAGAAACGATATATTTTTCATCAAAATCAACAACATTTACTGCTGCCCTATGCCCCACTAATACCCTTCTTAATGCAATTTCCGTTTGTGATGTCATATCCCATACAGCAATTGAACGATCCTAAATACAATTAACAAATAGTTATTTTTTACAATTTATGAGATATAAAAATATATTAATTTAATATAGAAATATGATGTATTAAAATATAAGCTAAATATATAAAAAGTTTATTGACCTTTGAACAAGTGACCATCATGCCATTATTAAATCTGAGATGTAGAACTGCCTCACAATGGTGTATCAATGTATTAACCATTTCTCCAGTATTAGCATCCCAAACTCTTACAGTGCTATCAGAGGAACCAGATATTATTGCTTTGTCATCATACTGTAAACATAAAACAGAACCAGTGTGTCCTGTTAAGACTTTAATGCACTGTAGTGTACTTCTGTCCCAGATTTTAATTGTATTGTCTCTAAGACCAGAGACAATTTTTTGGTCATCATATTGTAAACAGTAAACACCTTTTGAATTTTCACTTCTACAATTTATTCGTTGAAGATTAAATCTTCCCATTCTCCAATTGTTATCTATACTATCAATATCTTTAACTATTTTGGGATAAAGAGATCTATAGAAATTGTGATTTGGGTGGCTTTCCCCCGGCCTTGGCTTGAACAAATACTGAATCCTAAAAACATTAATAAATAAACAGATACCACAGAATGAGATTTCATAGAATGTATTAACTAACCATCCTCTCCTTTCTGCAAGACCTCTCCATATTGAATCAGTCCGAACTTTACATTCAATTAATTTCTTCCAAAGCATTCCTTCACTAATTACTCTGAGCCATTCTTTACATACTAATTCAGCAGCAATTAATGAATCAGCATCTAGATAGGAAAGAATACTTTCTGCCACATGGTCCAATCCTTTTTCTGATAACCGAAATATAAGTTATAAAAGATCTAATTTATATATATATATATATATTCCAACATTTAAATAAAAATATCTCGACAGAAATACTCACTTGGTAGTAGAGAAATAAAATCTCTCTGCAACATTGGTTTCAGATATGCATTGATGTGACCATGCTGATAGTGGCACATTCTTGTCAACAATTGTTCAACAAAGTTAACTTGTTCGGGTTCACTCCACTTCTCAAAGAGTTTCATACAAGTTTCCTTTTCTTGCCTATATTGCGCAGATACCCCAGATGGCAGTTCTTTCTTGCGAGTAGGATCATAAAGTATTGTTATTGGATACTGTAAAAACATTATAAAAATTGTACACATTATAAAGATTTTCCTAATTGAAAAAGTATACTTTTAAAATATTATTTTATTTAAATTTAATTCAGATTTGATAAGAATGCAAAAATATACCTTGATCAATTATACTGTAAATATTATATACTTTAAGGGATACATATAAAGATACTCAGATATATTTTTTATTGTATATTTAAAAACTGTTTAATACATAATACAATTAAATCGTAATAGTTATAAGTATTATATAAAACAGCAGCAAAACTATTAGGTGACACATGTATTTTAAGATAGAGTGTGGTATCAGGTTCTTGACCTCAGATAGACTATACTATACAAAACAATATTAAACGCTCACAGAAATTGACGTTCGAACATGCAATTTGTCCTTTTTGAATCATGGTACTGTCTATAAATATAATTTATTGATGATCATGCTTTAAAATAAAATCGCAAATAAAATATTTAAAAATTATTAACTAAACACAATTATTTGTAGCAAAATACAAAACAGTAATACTGTTATTTTTTTTTATTTAAAAAATTAATTGCAATATTTGAAATTTGTAATAAAATTTATAATTAGAAGAAACGAGGAGAAAAGAAAATAGCTTGCTACTTAATTCGTATTAGCGAACGATTTGTATAAAGAAAATTGCATCAACGGACCGTGACCTGCACTAATCCAATATTTCGTGTGCGGCCTACTTGTTAGCGCTTGCCATTTACTTCTGGAAGCGAAAACTCATAATAGACGCATATCTTATTAAATATTTCGCAATAGAAGTTAAACATTTATACTTCAAAATTCAAACGATTGAAACACGTTTGCAATATCGTAATGGCAATAGTAAAGTTTAAGCACATAAAATATTGTGCCAAAACGATTTATCAAAATTAAAGCTCCTGATGAAGTTACAGAGATGAATAGGCAAATCCTGTCATGCAAAATAGTTTCACAAAGCAAAAGAAATAAGATAATCAAGGCAATCTTTTGTCTCCCACAAGAAAATATAATTCAAACCAATATGAATCAATAGCTGACTGAAAAAATTAAAAAATTTATCTTTATTAATTTTTATTTTAAATGTTCTTGTTTCCCCCGAAGTGATGGGTAGTCATCGATGTTCTAGCAGAAGAAGAGGTCTCGAATATGACAAATAACTTCACCATTTTGCAACAGATTTCTTAAAAAAAAATTACAAACTAAAATTAAAGACTGAATTTGTATCATCCACAAAAATCTGAATTTTTCACTTTTTAGTTACTTATAAAAAGAATTTGCAATTTTAAGTTATTTTTAGATGCCTCAAGATGATGTATTCCCGTAATATCATTCACCAGAAACTCAAGTTTGATTTTTCGCATTTCTTCAATGATAAAAATAAAACATCCATCAATGTGTCTTTTTATGAAGATCAACACACGAAACTCTATAAAATGTATGATTATATATATATATATATATATTATGATTATATATATATATATATATTATGATTATATATATATATATTATGATTTTATATGTATATATATATATATATATATATATCATACTAGATATGTATATGATATATATATCATATCATATACATATATATACATGTGTATATTGTGCATAGTATGATTCTTCGATTTAAGATCTCATGATCACTCGACTGTAAAAGGTAGCATAGCAACATTGAAGAGTCCTGGCGACCGAGGAGTACACCTCGATCATCTGAAAATGTTTCTCAGTACGGTGTTCCAGTATAACGGGATCGCGAACTCGTGTCGAATCTATGCTCTTTGTATCTCTTTGTCTTCGTACCCCTTACGTGTTCTCTCCATTTTAGCAAGTAGTCACGCAAAACGCGAAAACTTCCAAGTAAATGTATAATACAAATATTATAATAAATTTAAAAATTTCATAAAGAAATTAATACTAATACCACCTACATGTACTGGAATGCTGATAAAGCATTCTTTATTGGTTTTTACAGATTAATACGGTCGTATATAGGATAAAAAAATAATATTCTGATATCGATAACAGCAAATCATATTGGTCGGTAGTTCTTCGAAATACTATCTAACTTATTATCACTGGCATTCGCATATGCGCCAGATTATAAATAAAAGACAATCAAGAACGAATTGTGGGAAAAGATGTTCGTATACCTTGTGGTTTTTAGTGCTTTGTTTTTTATCGTTCAGCAATAATAAGTATCATAGGCATGTTGAAATCGATGCATGATACAGATTTACGTGTATGCACATATGATTAGAAAAATATTCTTAAACGTGAAAGTGAGACGCATCTATCAATAGAAACATAAAGTTTATTAGTGGAAAAAACCCATGAAAAATAATGTACATTTCAAAGCATGTAACAATGAACCACGGGAACGTTTCGAAATTTCCTGTCGTCCTTGATTATGAATACTTACGGCATTAAATTTCAGAACACTTTTTTGTCTCCATAAATATAAAACAAAGGAAAGTTCTAAGAATAATAAGTTTCTAGAATAAAATGTATAAAAATTCACGTCTCTTTGAGTTTATAAAATTTTATAAAGATCGCAAATTGATAATCGCGATGCATCACTTTCTCGTTATTCTTAAGTAGTTATTACCTTTTATTTTTTTTATACACATTTGGATATAAATAAAACGATAAAGAAAATTAAAAATGCGCATGGTAATGTAGTAACGACTGAAACTGGAATGATGAGTCACTAGCACTAAATAGAAGAGCAATACTTTTTTTCGGCAAGTCACGTACTTATAACTTGACAACACAATATAAAGTTCATTTACATTGGCCAACGGCAGACATACTTTAATAAGATATTGATAGATATAACTCTAATTATAATACAAATATAGTCACACATGTTTTTTTCTATCAATATAAACTCTATTAAAGATTATGTAAATGTGAAATATGTAGGAAAAAATTATATATTTTTGTATATATATACATTTGTATACAGCCTTATATTTGTATCTATATACAGAATAAAAGATATATTGATAAAAACGATACTACATAAATTCACAAGATCTGACGCAAGGATTGTAATCGATTCCTCTTTCTCTCTGGCGGTCTCCTCGAAATACACGTGTATAGTTTAAGTTAAACACAATACACGGATAGATCGTTAAATCTTTGTATTGTCTACAGACTAATCATTCTATATTTTATCTTGAAGATAATTAATCATTATTGTAACAAATAACGCGTATCAAACAGAATTTTTATATGATCCCTGTACAAATTCTAAAGCAACAAATTTTTTTTAAATTACTCCAGCAGTTGAAAATAAAAAAGTGCAAATTATTCATTCCTGGACAGTTTTGGCTCATATCCAATTGTACGTATAAATCAATATCACTGTAACATTAAACGACAAAAATGGACAATAAAGATTAATCATTAATTTTTATAACGATTGTAAACTCGTATAAAGAAATAAATTTAAGGGAATTAAACTGTAGATTCTACTCAATTATTTACAATACTGTTACGATGAGTGTAATGCAACTTAGCACAAAATTTAAAAAGGGGAGCTAAAAAAAGTAAAGATTTTAAAAGAGGAGAAACAAAAGAGAAAAGGTAAAAAGGGAGTTAAAACATTGATCATGTAGTAAATTGTTTCCACTCTGCAAAGCTTGGATTATGTTTAAACGATCTATCCTTTGTTCTGACAACGAAGACAATCGTGTCCGGTCAAGTTTATGCTAGTTCAATAGTAACTAACTAATAATTTTTCGATATATGTAGCAACTGTACAATAACGTAACAAATTAAAAAATAAATTAGTAAATAACAAGTTAATATTACGATTTTCTAGCAATCTGAAAATAAAATCATTACATTTTATACTGTAAATATTCTTACTTTATGTCAAAAATTTACAAAAATAAAAAATTTAAGAAAAGGTATGTTCAAACAAAAGTAGTAATATGAATCGAATATACGAATAAATATTGAAATATTTATAGTAAAAATTTAATAATAATCATGCGATGGCATAGTAAGTATAATTTATACTTTGTTATGATTCTTGTAAGAATATATAAATATTTCGAGTCATATTGCTTAAGATATACCTGTGATTCTAATCAAATCTAAATATTTGTAATATTCTGCATATAACATAATATATACTAGTATTGATTTGATCAAATAAAAGAAATTAAAAGTGATGCAATCTTAATTTCCGTCAAGATAATAAGGTAACTGTCATTAGATGTACATAAATATCTTGATATAAGAGTTTAGAGAAATGACCACGATCATATATGACAGCACACAATTGTATTCTATAACCTCTCGTATACATAAGATATTTCTACAATTAATAATTTTCTTTGGGAAGTGCATATTAACAGATATAAGCTTTGCAGAAAATAACGGTCGATCATAAAATATTAGTGAATTTCTCCATCATAAGGAAACATAAGATGGCGGTAGGTTTCAGGTCAAAAATACTACTATGTGTTGCGTACCTGAAGATTCGTGTTTGTGTCTTCGATAATCTCATCCGTTTCCATGTTCATCATTTTCACACACAACTGGCACAATATAATTGATTCAGATGATACAACCGGATCAATTTGGCTGGAAAAAGTTCTTGTAAAAAGGATAAAACACCTTTTGAACACTAGCGTTTGACTATTCAACACGACTGACGACGCTCATGAGTCTTCGCCATGTACAGGAAGTTGAGACAACATTTCACCAACACAACAGCTCGTAAATAACTATGTCACTTCACAAATCCAAGAAACCTGATATAACGATTAATTTATATGGAAAATGTGTATTAAAATCCTATGCGTGAACAATATGAGAAATTTAATATTAATCCTCTTCAGAAACGTACGAAATATCCAAATGAATTCCAAAATTCATCAAGATATATGCACGGCCAACCATCAAGATAAGAAGCTCGCGAGAAGCACTAACACCATTTTACACCACCGACTTCATCACTGCTTCTGTTTAACTTAAAATCAACTTGATGGCGCACCATACGCAAAATTTCCAAAATGGCGTATATGAACAATATATCCATCTCTGTTGTACCCGCGCATATTTCAAAAACACTATTTCGAACTGTTTTAAATAAACCTCATTTCCATTAGAACAAGTCCTTTTTTATTGATTAAATTGAAATTTTTAAATAATACAAGGTGTATATTTACAATATAAATGTATATATTTATATTACTTATCGTATTTATAAATAACTCATAAAAGAGAAAAATCAACAAGTAAAAAATTAAATCATGGAATTATTATGTGATTTAAATTATTGTAATAATTTTAATACTTTGGATTCTCTTATGTATTAAATCCATTTGATTTGTTCATTTTTGTTTCTTACATTTTCCAACTGAATTTGATGAGTAAGGGCAGCATATGGTTTATGGCATACCTGTGAATCTAATGGTGGATAATAGTGTCTATAACACATATATGCCAAAATGTATCCTATTATTGAGCCTGCAACCACGTCTAATATTTTTGAAATTAAAATATTTATTTATTGATGCAATAAATAAATATGCTTACCTTGCCAGTGATGATGATAATCACAAGTTCTACTCAATGCAATTAAGAGAGCAATACAAATTGGTAATACAAATGCACATAATTTCCATGATTGTCCTTTACCCATTAAACTAAATGTATGTAATTTACCAGCTATATACAGCGCAATGAAACCAAAACTTGCAAATGCAACTGAAAGATAAATAGATTTTTCAATAAAATTTAAGGTTTTCTATATAATTTATATAACTTGATAGTTTATACTTTATCTTTTAACATACATGAGGAATGACCACTTGGAAATGATTTCTTTCCATCTTTTATAAGAACTGGATTTCCATTACATTTAAAATCTGGATTTGTTTGTCCATCAGGAAAGCATCTCCAAAAGAAATCTGGTCTGGGGCGACCTAGCAAAAGGTATTATCTATAAGAATAATGATACTTCCAAAACAGAATCAACATTTCACAATTCTTACCAACAACAAGTTTTATAATATCTGTAATGACACCATTAAATCCTAATGCTAAAGTTACAGATAATACTGCTTGATAAATGTCAGTTTTGTCCTTGTAAACCAAAAAGACAAATAAGATTACTATAGCAGGCATTATAAAAACCAGAGGCTAAAAATAAATATATAAATTAATTTATATAAAATATAACTGTAATTTCAAAATATGTATAATAATGTTGTTTCATATGGACTATATTACCCATAATATGGTGGTTGGAACATATGATTCAGTCCTTGGATTTTTATACAACCATAATTCATCTTCATGAATTTTCCTAGTAAATGGTTCTGCATTTTCTAATTCACTGTTCATATAAAAAAGTAGTACATTTATATGTATATCCGCTATATTGCTATGGTAGACTAAATTTAACTTACATAAATAATCCCACTAAGACAATTCGCAATAATATGTCAAACCAATATTCTGTTAAGAAATCTTTACCACGTGTTATAGCCATTATGAATTCAAAGTGAATGCAGTATAAATATTGTACAAATATATACAAACAAATAGTACATTACACAAATTCAGATGACTCATTATACAAGTATGCAAATGTGTATGTATACAGTTGTATATTTGAATAGAATAAGTTATTAATTGTTATTATATACTCATTGGTTTTAAAATTATCTAAAAAAGTGTATGTTTTTAATTATTACAGAAATTCCACTGGAAATATATGAGCAATTCGGTTTCATCGCCAACCTCCTTCAACATTGGATTGAAGCTGAGACACTTCTTTCTAAAAAGTAAATATTAATCGATCGTTTACAGATAATTTAAGACATTATTTAATTTTTTTAAATTATATGTTAACGCTATATAACATTTCAATCCCAATATAGAAAACATTAAACTTTAACTACACTATTTCGATTTGAATACTAACATTCAATTTGATATCACTGTAGTACTGTGTAGTGCATGTACTATGTACTATGTACTATGTATGGTATGGTATATTCATTTATTTTGTAATGATAGTAACGTAGCTATAAATTGAAAGTTTCTTGAAAATTGGACTTTATTGTAAAATATATTATACTATACATTGAATGCTTGAATTTTTCAAAATATTTTCCATGTAAACTATGTTATTTTCCTATAGGCTGTTTGTAAAATTATTTTTGGAATTATCGAAGAAATTTTAAGAAAACGTAAAAATTTAGCTTAACCTTACAATTGTAGATTGATTGGTTAGCGCATCATAGATGTTACTCGACATTCATTGTTTTGAATATTATGTATTACATAAACTGGAATTCTATGTATCTACCTATCTACATTTAATCTTAAAATTTTATTTTTTTTATTTCTTGCATTTTGTTACATTACATATCATGGAAATCAATACATAATAACATATTGTATCGATAAAATAATTATTCTAAAATTGATGTAATATACATCTGTATGTACCTATCTATATATTTACAATGTCCTTGCTCCACATGTGTTCTTCCATTAGCTTGCATTAAATCGCAATACATCGCTTTTTGTTGTTTGGAGTAGAGCTGTATGTTATTGCAAGATAATTACTATTGTGATATTACAACCTGGAATAGTTTAAAGGCTAGTTTCATCATAGAAATAATTTATGTAATAGGAACAATTATTTATACATATATGTATAAATTTTATATTCAGAAGTTTAATTTTTATATATATCATTTAGCAATTTTTTCATATTGTTATAAATTAGCTCTTTGCGTTCGAGGACTTTTTCAATCGGGCGAAGTAGCAACTCCAGATTATTTAGCGTATATGTGATGCGCGTCTTACAGGTAGCGTAAAATGATTTTATATACAAATTAACTTACAAAAACATTATATTCTAATAATTAACCTATACTTACATCTTTTAAAATATGATTTTGTAATATTAATTTCCGTATTTTTTTGTTTGATAATTTATAAAGCATTCACCAAGATGCATTCTTAAATACAATTCTTTTTTTTATTTAGTTGTTTACATTCACAATTTGTTCAATTTGGACATAGAGTAAAATTTTTTGGCTGTTTGATTATCATGTGGGTGGCTACCCCCAGCGGGGTACCATCTTCGTGTTTGTTAGGTTATATCCTTTATGAGATCTGTTGGGTGTCTCCTTTTTAGTCTTCTTTCTATGCTTGATGTGTTGATCGTTTCCGCTGCCAGCCAGTTTGGGTGCGTTGTTATTCTTTCTCTGTACCTTCTTGCACATTTGCTAATCTCCTCCTTGACCGTTGGTATTCCTAGGTCTTTCTGAATGTCCTCGTTTTTAACATACCATGGGGCTTTTACTATTGTTCTGAGAATTTTAGCTTGCATTGTCTCTATTTTGCTTATATGGCTCTTGAATACAATTGATCTCATTATTCAACAGTTCAAAATCAAGTTCATCTTCATTTGAGCTAATTTCACTTATGAAAGCCATTTTTTTGGGGCTTCTAAACTATAATACTTTTGCCATGATTGTCAAATCCAAACTAACATCAGAAACGTCAGAACCATAGTTACAGAGGGATTTGGGATTAAATATTTTATTTCCATTTTAAAGTGTAACACTTTACACCTTCTAACAAAGACCATAAAGAACTAAGGAACCTATTTACAAACCAATACTGCTGCTTCATCAATTGGAGATGTTAAAATCTAGCATAAGTGGGGACTGTTGTCTCTCACTTGCCAATGGAGTTGCCACACAAAACACGGTGGCGACTGAGAGTAGCCTCTCGAGCGCAAAGGGTTAGAAATAGTTTTGTGAAATGTTAAGTAGTTTCGACTCTTATAAATAATTCATATTTGTTAATTATATAATAATCTTATTAATTTCTGTGATACAGATTCAAGATATGTGAGGAAAACTGTAAATGATTACAGTGTTATTTGTTGAAAGAATTATTTATAATTATAAATATATTGAGTATAAGTAATGTTAACTACAACATTAACAATGCCATCCACATCGATAAACTCTTCTAGAATTCCAAGTCCCATCAGTGATACATTTGATGATAATCCTAGTAGATTAACTACATATTTACATCAACTTGCTGGGTGCTATGAAACTGAAATTAATGTGCTTGCAAAAGATCATTGTTATGCACGTCCATGGAATTGGAAACCAGAGAATGTTTATGTAAAGCCAATAAAAAAGTTGTTTTTCTCAAAGAAAAATTTATTAACGTAAGTAATAAAAATAAATTATATATGTAAATAAATGTAAATTATAAATGTAATTATTAAACATAAAACAATTACAATTATATTGCAACTTTTCATATATTAGGGAAAAAGTCACTCAGGATGAAGAAATTAATATAGAAGAAATTAATAATGAGCCATTAGTACCACCAATAGATTTTACTAGAGTTCGACATCAAATGGATGAATTACAAAGGTTAGCAAATTTTGCTAGACCTGATGAAAATGAAGATTGGGAAGAAAAGCTTGATAAAATTTTATGGACACCAGTTCAAAATCGAATATTCACCAAAGTTCTTAAAATATTAAATTCAGAGAGACTTACAAGATTAGCTAAAGTAAGCAGTTCAATAGAACCAATTTATCGAAGAACATCAGTTGACACAGCAGCAAGGAGGTTTCGAGAAACATTAGCTTCAGTTGGGTGGGATTGGAGACTTGCACAATGGTTACATAATTTATTGTTTGACCATCTTCCTCAAGAGTATCTTGGGATTTATCTTGATATATTACAATCTTTAAGACTGAAAATTCCTCAACTTATTGATAAAATGATTGCTATACAACCAAATATTAATGCAAAAACAGGTTCTATAACATGGGAAACACTTGGATCACTCCTTAAACGTACATGGGATCCAATTACTCCTAGTTTAAATAGTAATAGACTTGTAAGTATATTTTATTGCATATTTTATTATAATGTATTTTACATATATATATTTATTTATAGATAATTATTGTTATTGCAGAAAAAATTACCAGGAAATCCAATCTTAATAATAGTTCCTTCTGGAGTGGGATCTAGTATGTCTACAAGGCAACATAAATGGATTTCACAATTAGGAGCTTTAGGAATGGTTGTTACAGTTCACACACACTTAGGTTTAGCAGCTAATAGAATGACCATGATGGTATGCATTGATCAATTACTTCAAGCCACTAGAACTAAGATACAAGATATTAGAAGTGATTGTCCTGGTAGACCAATTATTCTTGTTGGATTTAATACTGGTGCTGCTCTTGCATGTCAGGTATAGCATTTATATGTACATATATACACATGATGTGTAACGCATCAGTATAATTTGAAGTAGTTAGAAAACTTTAATGTGATTTGAGATATTCACACATTATCTTTTGATATTTATAGGTAGCACAAATGGAGCATGTAACTGCAGTTATTTGTCTTGGGTTTTCATTTCTTACAGTTGAAGGAAAAAGGGGTACACCTGATGATACATTAATGGATATTCGATGCCCAGTTATGTTTGTTATTGGACAAAATGCTACACTTGTAAGACCTGATGATATAGAGGATCTCAGAGAAAGGATGATGGTTGAAACAAGTTTGGTAGTGGTTGGAACTGCTGATGACCATTTAAGAATTTCTACTGCTAAAAAGATATCAGAGGGTATTACACAAAACATGGTAGATAGATGTATCTTGGATGAAATTGGAGATTTTGTAGGAACTATTCTTTTGCAACCACATCCACTACCATTGAGATCAACATCATTGTCAAATTATGAAAATAAAAATAATAGAAAAGAATCACGGAAGCGAAGAAATTCAACAAGTAGTTCTGTTGAAAGTGAACCAAATTCTCCTACAATAAAAAAGTCTCGACCAAATACACCAATCTCTTCAGTAATATCTATTGGACAAAATACACAATCAGCTACGATTTCCCGAGTAGGAACATTTAGTACTCAACAGAATATAATTGCAGTGAGTGGAATACATACAAATCATGTGCAGAGTGTGAAACGGAAACCTCGAGTTGTTAGTAACCAGAAAAGTCATTTTGTGGAACACTTGATAACATCTAGACTTTCCGGACAAGTAAGTTACAACCTTAATTTTTATTAAAGAGGAAGCATCTAATAATATATGCATTTTTTAGCCAAACTCGGGTACAGATAATGGTGGTATAACATTAAACATTGGCTCATTGGCAAGTTTAGCACCAATTGGACCAATACGTTTAGCTCCAGCATCATCAGGTCAAAGTGTATCTACGACAATAAAAAATATTCCTAAATCTTCGATTGCGTCAACTAAAGTGCCTAAAATTGTATCAACGAATGTACAGTTACAGAACATGCCAAAAATGAAAGCCATTGTATCATCAGGTAAAGGCTTTTCTAAAGTAATATCAAACAATTATAGGCATCTCAATATTCCTGACAAGAATGGAGATACAAAACTTGTTAACGTTTTAACATCATCAGGAAATCAGATTAGAGTGAATACTTCAACTGCAGCAGGTACATTTTATATGAAAAATTACTTTTTATTTCTTTTTATTCTCACATATTTTGTATAATATACATTTTCCCTTGTTTTATAGCAATGCACAATAAATCTACGATTGGTACACCAAATGGAACTTTATCAAATATTTTACAAAATGGTAAAACTTCTCTTACACTCACTACTAGCTCATCGTCTGCGCGTATATCGGCAGCTTCCAGCATTTTACTAACACCAAACAATTCTGTGGCAACTAATACAGCATCAACCACATCGATAATACCAAAAGGTAGAATATTATTATCTAATCAGCTATTAAATAATTTACCTACACCATAATCATTTTCTACTTCTTGATCGAATGTATATGATTTTTACGAACGAAAGGTACATCATCAATAAAAAGGAAATTATTAAGTTGATCCAAATTATTATTCTTTCGGGAAGTTATTCTGAATAGTAGAAATCTCGTATTTTGTAAAATAACTTTTTAAACTTAGAACAAGCCTTAATTCTACTTTCCAAATTTTGTAACACAATTTGTATATAATATATTTGTATATAAATATGTATATAAAAATTATACAGCTGTTGAAATTGAAATATATTTAATATATTCATACATAAAAACGTGAAAAGTGGAAACAATATTGGATTGTTAAAATCTCAAGATAAACACGATCGAAAAAGATTAGGATATTACATATAAATACAATAACAAAGCATAACATGCTAAGTAACAAAATAAATTTCTTAGTATTTAGCATATTTTTATGATTTACTATTTTGATTTCAAAATATACATGCATCTTGGTATGGAACCATGTGGATCATATTCATACATGCAAAAACAAAATGTATTGTGCATGAATATCATTAATATGATAAAATAAGTTTCTTATAGAAAATATATCCACTAAGTAAAAAATTCATTTTATTTATATTTTTGAGATTGTGTAGATCAATAATAATGGATTTTAAACTTAATGTTAATTATGTTTTTTATTGTAGAATAATTAAAATAGTCTAATAAACTTAATAGATTTTATGTTTTCTAGCCATAAAACTTTTTTCTTATTTCTAGCTTGTTTGTATTCTCTTTTGCAATTGTATATATACAAAATATTCTTTATATATTATTTTTGTTATATATAAAAGTCATTAGACTAAGTCACCAGTAAATGTATGTATTTGTTTAGCATGTGATGTAACATGTGTCCAAATGTAGCATGTATTTATATTATTTTACAATTAATATAAGTTTATATTTAGAAGCATCTAAAATAATATGTTGTAAATATATCACTACTATCTTTTATTTTGTGTTAAATAAATATTTTTCCATGTGATTTGAATTTATTTGTTTCCTTGCCCCAATCCTGTTTGATATTAACTGTGTCCAAGCAATTTGGAATTAAATTAAAGATATTATAACTTTTGTTTCTTACATTTATCATCTAATGTTTTTTTATCACATCTTTTACGTTGTCAAACAAAATATTATTTAAATATTATTAATATAGTCTGAAAATCTTTTTGGTTTAAAGTACATAAATTATTATAATTTTTATTATGTAATTACTTAATCAATTACCTATGTTATTTCTAACAACATAGATAAAGTGAAATTTAAAAACCAAATTTTTTTATCACATATAATAGATTTATGCATGGTTTTTGTTATAATTATAACCAGTTTTAAAGATATATTTACATAACTCATGTAGAAAAAAAGATGCTTATTTTTACATGATGTTCATGTTCATAACAATGCAATGAATATTATTTGAATTTATTTATATCTCAGAAAATTGTTCAAACATGTATATGTGTTTTATAGTGATGGACGACATGGCAACAACCAGTAGCTCTTCACATTTGATGCTCAGTTCTACTCATTCCTTGGACACATTCAAGATGTCACAAATACCTCGACAAGTAACAACTTGTAATAACAACGATATCTCTCATAATGCAGTATGTGGGAATATAATCATGGTTGAAAGTTCCCTTAGTACTAAACCCAGTTGTTCATCCGTAATAGTACCATTAAACAATCATAATTCAGGAACTATTTTACCACTGTCTAATAAACTAAAAGTTACTCAAAAATCGACCAAATCTATGCCAAAGATAACAGTCAACGCATCTAATTTACAAAGAATTCATAAGTCGCAAACAGTACAGAAGAATTCTCTTGTAAACGAGATTGACGATGAATTGGGAAATATATTAGATATACCAATAATTTTTGCAAAAGATGATGATAATTTAAACTCTATTGAGAAAAGTTCATCTTTATCTCAGACAATGGCTGTAGATATTCATGAAAAGACTATACCTAAATTAAACAGTAATACCAAAGTTGTTCTCATAAGTAACAAGCAAGATAAGTTACAGCAAAGTAATAAATTTGTAACACCTTGTACTCAAGCTGTTCTATGTCCTAATGTAGCTGTACAAAATTTAAATCATGTGATACTACAGACAAACCCTCAAACTTCCACTTTGTCTAAAACTAAAACTACAATTCCAATACAAACTCGTTCAAATCAACCCACTGTTAAATACACCAAGATAATTCTTGCAAAGAGAAATTCTCAATCAGTACATCAAAATGATAAAAATGAACAAGTCATTGTAACAAAGACAGTTGACAAAATTAATGCATCTAAGTTGCTAAATTTCGATAAAAATGAGCATCGATATGCACAAATCGCGATAAAGCAAACGGCAAATAATGAAGATAACATAGTAGATGAGGCATTAGAAATAGAAGATGCTATAAAAATGAATATTATAGAACGTAAACATGTACCTTTGCAAAGAGTTGACTTATCATTACAGACAAGTGACAAGGCAAAAGAAAGTTTGACTGAAGCTAAATTAAATGTAACAAAAGAAGATAATTCAGAATGTACTGCAATCGATGATGTAATAAATTTACAAATATAAAATGTTTCATCTCAACAGAAGATGTATACCTGTACTAAAAAACAATCTTCTTGGCATTGTAAATGCAAAACAAATGATAAATATTGTAGATACAGATATCCATTTTCTGGTTAAAAATTGTAATTACCCTAACATTTCGTTTTCTAATCATTTCATTTGAGAATAATAACTGTTTAATAGTTAAGATACTTGGCGTTGCAAATCTAATATGTTATTTAAAGTAACAAAATGGTTATAAGAAATAATTGTTACTATTTAGAAAATACGTACAGTGTTTAATGTTTTATATTAAATTTCGTTTTATTCTTACAATCCATTCTATAGTTCGTGCTACATACAGTATTAATTATTACAAGCTTTATAAAAATCTATGTATCCATCTGCAAATAATTCAGTATTATATATAGTATTAATATATTCTTTGAATTCACTATTTATAAGATGATGAGTTTTTATTATTCTCTTAGCATTTGTATATTTTGGAACTGGTACTGCTGGTTTAAATACGACACCAGTAGGATCAAATTCAGTATAAAGTTCTTCTGGAGAACTGGAACAAATAAAGAAATATATTCTAGCATAGCTCATTTATTGCTTGTGAGCAATGAAAAAATGTGCATTGCAAGATATTCTACAATGAAGCTCATCGGATAGCAGTAAATCACCAATATAGAAGTATGATTGTATTAAATATTACAAAAATTGAAACCTACAGCTTAGCAATTTCTGGAGATAAACTGCCTTCACCTATTGGTGGTACATTCCAAGCTACGTTTTTTGCCATCTTTTGTACAGTACTGTGATAATGTCGCTAGTAACGAAAGATAAAAGTATGTTTAATAATAATTATGTATATTAAGATCATATAACTTAATATGTGAATATGTACCTGTAAAGCTGTAAGTTCCCATAATGCTGAACAGTGTGCATTGCAATACTCAGGTTCCTCTAGCTCTGCTTGATAGAAACCATCTCCAGTCGTACTATCAGTATCCAACAAAATATCTAGCATTTTTCCAAGTTGCATACTTTGCTTTATAATACCGAGAATGCCAAGTACTGAATTATGTTGCAATTGCAAGGCTAGAATAGCTATTCTTTTGATAAATGCTACAAAACGCCTTTGTGTAATTCTCTTTCTTCGATGAATTAGAGCTTGAACTAAAATCTTTATAAGAACTTCCATTTCTATATGAGTTTTGCCGCAATGAATATTTAGTAAATTTTTGTATAAATGTGCATAAAACCTGTATAAATATAACATGTGATTATAAATTTAATTTTAGTTTTTTTATTTACGATATTTATTCTTTTTCAATACAAACCTGTAAGGATCAAGATTCAATGCTGAACCTTGTCCTGATAATATTGTAAATACACACTGAATACAATGTAATTGATCTTTCAAATTTAAATTACCCTCTTCCATTAGTTTATCTATGGCAGTTACTAAATCTTGATAAAAATCTAAGTTTATGCATTGTGCAAATCTGTAATTGGATGTTATCAGATATCATATAATTTTATATATAATTAAATTTAGTAAAAATCTGTCATACTTTGCTAATCCTTCCAAGCAAATAGATAAAATGTTACTATTTGGAGCTTGTTTTAAAATTCTAAAATAAATTGTAAATACTACACTTGTTATTTCAGTGAGCAATTTTTGTTTAGTTTGCTTATTTTCTTCTGCTTTAGTTTCAAGTAATTCTTTCTCTACTTCTTCAAGCTTCTTATTTTTCTTCCTTTCACGCTTACTTAAGGCAAGAATTCTTTGTTTATGAGACATAAGCTTTCTTTGTTTAGTCTCTTCTTCTTTTTCTTTATCTAAATTTATATCTTTTATACGAAGTGATAAAAGTACTGATAGAACCTCAGAATGAACGGAATGAGCTTTTAATTTTATGTATTGGTTTAATTTGCGTACTATCTGAAATATTTATTAATAAACATTATATTCCTAGAATACAGGTTAAATGAAATACAATCACTTAAATCTCTTACTTTTAAAGATAATTCAGCACGTTTGTCTTCCTTGAATACTTGGGAAATGCATTTTAAGACTTCCTGCCTTATAAGTTCATATTTATTATCTAACAATGGTATAAGAAAATTTGCTATATTAATAGAATAGTTAAAGTAGGGATGAGTTGTTAGAAGATCACACATGCATGTTAATGCAACTTTTCCTAGTTCAATTTCTTGTTCTTTTATTTGTCGTGTATCTCCCTTTTTTCTTCTTAATATATTAGTCATTTTTTCTAACTTTTGTAGATAATGCTTATAATACCTTAATAATGTAGCTTCATAATTTTGTAATGCAAGTGTTTCTTTCTTTACTAAAAAGAAAGTAAAAAACCTATAATTTCTACAATAATCATGATATTTACATATTATTATAGGTACATACATCTTACACCTTCTTGTTGAATTTGAAGAATTTGATAAGATGGCAACAAATCTTTGAAAATTTCTAACAAAGAAATAGTTGCCAATTTTCTCACGGTAATATATACTTCTGGATTGGTTTCTTCCATTAATTCTAATAGTATTTTAAAATTATCACATTTAGCTTCTGGTGTTTCCAGAAGACTGCTAGATAATAATCCAATTTTTAAACGTTTAGATCTTAATACTTCTTCACGAAATGCTAAAAGTTCTATCATAGACACAGGTTTCTTATCTTTATCTTCATTCTAAAAAATCAATTAATACATGAAAAAAAGGTTTTTTACGATAGTGTTTCATAAATTTCAATGAAATCTTACATGAAAATTGAATTTTATTTCCATGTTACTTTTCTCTATATTATGTTCTTCATGAGACATGTTTTCATTATCTTCTGCATGAGTTTCTTGAATTATCCTTTTCTCTATAATTCCATTTTGAGTTTTTATAGGAAGTAACATACGAACCTTTTTCGTACCCTCTATCCCAACTATTTTTGACATACTATTTTCATATCTATCCTCTAATGTTCTTTTCTTTTCCTTCTTATTATTTTTTATTTTATCATCACCTGTTCTAAAAAGTATGAATATCATTTAAATTATTTTGAATTAAAATATATTCATTACCTATTACAATATTCATACTCATTTAGATGTATTTGTTTCAGCAAATTATATGATTTGTTAGAAATGGCTTCTCCTAAAAAGTTTAAATCATCTTCTTCGACCATGTCCATGAGGTCTTCACCCTGATCACTTTCTTCTTCTTCCACAGTTTCTGCATGTGGAATTACTTTTTTTTTAATATGTGCATTCCTTGGTTTATGCCTCTTTGTTTTAAGTTTTCCTTGCCGTGTAAGTTTGGTTCTTTTTTGATTACTTCTTTTAACTGCACTGATCTTTAGTTTTTTCTATTTGATTAAGAATTTAAAAAATACATATATTGATAATTAAAAGTAATAGAAGAATTACATAATTAAAGGAATATTTTTTATTGTATTTAAAACAGATGATACTATATGACATATATATGTTCATAATTTAACAATTTTATTAGTTCCAGATTAATTAAAACTATATTTACTTACCACCATTTTGCTGTAGTTTTGATTACTTTAGGCTACTTCAAATGAAAGTATTTGTCAAACTAATTAAACAATTATTGTTTCCTTACAACCAAAAAATCATTCCTGTAAGATATTCTAAGATAACCTCTTAAGTTACACGTGTTGTATTATAAACATTACGCACGCACACGCACCATATTCCTTTTAACACAATTGCATGTATATATATATATATATATATATATCGTTTTGCATTAGAAATAATAATCTTTTCTATATGATAGATATTAAATTAATTTTAAATAAATGACTTTGTCTTTATGTAACTTTTACGATCTATTTTATTACGATACATTTACGATCTTCAACATCAAATATACATGTGGTTACAAAGCATGTCAGGAACATGGAGCGTTCATAATTCAAATATTTTATTAAAGAAATTTTAATACAAATTAATAATGCAAATTACGTTTTTATTATAGTAGTGAACCTTTAAATATCTAACATTATATTTTTATATACAATGATTTTATCACATACATATAGTTCAAAAAATAGGTTAATATGTATACAAATGTGTCATAGCGTAATGGCGTGCGATATCGTGCATATTGTACTTTAGTATATTAAGTAATTACTGTAATATTCTGTGTTAATATAAAAACTTTCTTTATATATCGATAACGGGTAAGTTATGATTTTTATAGTTATCAATTAAACTCAACGTATTTAACAAATTAAGCTTATGTTTTGTAAATTCTATTAAGGTCGTTGTAAAGATTAGGTGAACTAGACTACCGAATGAACTCTGAATTTTTTAATAATTTATTGTAATTATTATTATAATCATAAAATAAAGTTAACAATTTTTCGCTCCATCTATAAATCGTATATGGTTATACCAGGTTATACATTCATATATGTATGTATGTTAGCCTTCATACAACTTTATACATATATAAAAAAAGATTTACAACAAGTAATATTTAGCAATATATTACATAATTATTATTATATATTAAATTACATAATTATATGTAAACACATACATGTAAGCGCGCGTGCGCACATGTACGCATACTTAACAATATGTTATTAAATAGTTAAAAATACCTTAACTATAACCATAATACACAATAAAAGAAAAAAAAGAACACGAAAAAGCACAAAAATAATACATAGGAAAGGAGACAATGCTTATAATTAAATGTTGATAAAAACTGTCATTCCTTTCATGTGCTATTTCCATTTTGTGAAAGTAGCGCGCATTACAAAAAAGAAAGTGTGTAACAATAAGTCACGCATGAAATCATTCTTTCGTAAGGACTTGAACTACCAATGAAACTCCCTGAATATACAGACAGAGAATCTTAATGCACTCTTACAAATTGATGTACAATAAAATCCAACACTAAACGTTAATGGCTTTCAATAGGATTAATTTATGAGTTGCATGGAACTAACCGGGCCTCAGGTCACACCGATTTTGCAGCTCAAGATGCTGTTTGTCATATAGTGCATCGTGTAAACGTACCGAATACATATAAAACAATATCAGATGTCTTTTTTTATAAATTACATCAGCATTTAAAACATGTAATTGTTAAATTTCCAAAATTTTTCACCGAATTAATATGTGATTATAATAAATCAGTGTGCATGGAGTCATCCCAAGTGATTATGGTATATGTTTTATTTACGTAATAAAGAAAGCTCGAGTGACGGGTTTGTAAACGACATTTTAATAATGTCGTAATTTGAATAGTAAAATTACCGCGAAGATGCTATTGGCTGCTGTAGAGTAACGCCACAGATGCCCTGGCTATCGTATACTATGTAATTTTATGAAGGATTATAATAGGCGTTATATAATATTTTCAAACTTTAATCTTATCATTTCTAAATTAACATTAATCAACAACCATGTTTTATGGCAAAAAGAAAATCGGTACTGTCAAACTGATTATTCTGTGTTTGTTCTGTATATGTATGTAATTATGTTTCGACCTTTGCAGTAACTATGTTGATAGTCCAGTGATTAAACTGGAAGTGGATATATATTTTCATTGTTTTCTTTGTAATATTTTTCTGTACATGAACATTTATCTGATTTCATAAGAGATAATTAATACGATCTTCGTCATTACGTTTTTTCACAACAAGTGGAATTATACTCCTCTTCGTAAAATTCGAATTGTTTCGATTAAAATTGACGAAGTCAACGTCATTGGAATTAAGGTATCTCTTCCTACACGCATTAACGAGTTAATTTTCCACTTTTAACTCGAATCTTAATTACAAAAAGAAAAAATATACACGAAGATGTCGAGGTTGATTACATCTCATAAAATACGACATATGTCCTTATAAGTGTCTGTTTGTTCATTTGCAGTGGCTCAGAAAAGTATTTGGATACTTGTCATAGGAAATTTTTACGTGTATTTTATGTATTATATAAAACATTTTCAAATCTCAGATCATCATGATTATACCAAAGTAAAAGTAAAACTGAAATAGAAATTACAAGATATTTGTTATGAACAAGTATGTATTTAGCAAAAAATTAATATACATATGTACGTAATGGCATGAATAATCGATCTAAGCGCATAATTAGTGTCGAAGATGTTCCATATCTCTAAATATTGAAGCTTATTGACGTAGTGGATGGTCAGTTGTACAGAATATCTTGCAGCTTTTGTGTACATTTTCAACTTTGTTTCAAATTTAATTAATATAATCACGATAGTATGTCTCACTACGGCGTTAATGAAATTTTAAAATGTTTCGTATGGCATGTATGACATATTCATAAAAGTTTTCTGTATGTATCTAAATATTTTCGCAGCTCATTGTATTATTCTTTGCCGTTCTCATAAATTCGTGGAAACAGATATTATAGATCGTAATCGATGTTAAAATTTCATTGCGTGATGTTCGTTTCAGGTATTATCATTTCTCTTTCGCTCACCGGTCAGTTTAATTATCCTAATATAGTTCTGGAACATCAGGAATCTTAAGCAGGCAGTTATAAGCTACTGTTACTTCAGTGGATCGCGATCGCAAGCGAAAAATTCGAAAGAAAACTATTAAATTATTATTTTAGTACAATATAGAATTTGCATTTTCAAGTACGAAAGAAGAAAGAAAAAAGAAAAGAAAATCAAATGAATGATTGCCATGTTGCCTTCAAACACGTATACCGTTTGAAGTCGTTTGCAAAAAAGGTAAACGCTCCGGATAATCTAGAAGTTTATGCAATACTGGATGTTTAAATTTGGTCTTAAAAACATATTCCTGTTGTTATAACACACTGAACATCCCAACGTACTACATCATTAACTAAGCGAGTCATTGAACCGTCGTCAGCGTCGTATATTGCCCGTGGTTACTTAACGTGTTGCAGTAGAAAATCGGCGTTTGCCGCGGCAAGAGTGCAGCTTTTCCATATACATCGCTTTTTATTATAATAAGGTTTGACAAAAATTCTAATCGACAAATTGTGACAAAGCGCAACAAGCACAAACGGCGCCAAAATAATAATCATCGAATTAATCGAATTTATGGATCTCGATGAAGTGATCTGTGAATTTTCTCTCACGGTAATTGACGTGTTGGATCAAAGTTTGCACGACATTAACATTCGTGATCAAGCGAAGTAGATAAATGGTGATTAAAAGCATGAAAACGAGCAGTTGATCATTTACGCTTTTAGGAACAATCTAAACGAGAATTCTAGCATTGTTTTGAAGTCTTCGTTCGGTGAGAAAAAGAGCCACGCGGTCTCCCTTCACACGGAAAATGGGTGGTCTTATTGAAATTTTCCTTTTCTTCGGAGTCCTCTTCTATTTCTTCAACTTTGGGTAACGTATATTTTCTTCGTTACTGACATGCACGCTACGGAACTGTTTCATCCTGCAAATTATTTTCTTCCGTGTTTGTTCTTGCAAACCGCAAAGTTTAACGATATAAAAAAAATAGATCTATCGACTAAATAAAATCGACTAAATCTAATAAATATAATAATCTACTAAATCTAATTAATTTTATCGTTAATCTTGAAACTTTGATTGACATCTTAGTAGAAATATTTTTAGAATTATTTTATCATAGAATGATCATTGAATAAATTGTAGAATTCGGCATATTAACAATAATATAGTGAACCATGATGGATGTGCAAAGTTGTTTAAAATTTCATTACGAAGAAAGAGTAACAAAAGTAAATTATCGTTACAGTAGTACGCGTTGTATAATTCAATCAATCATGTGCTTGTATTTCTCAGTAATATAATTAAGAAGATAAAATTTTAATGTCTATTGAAAATCATAAAGAGTATTTAAGTGTTTTATATATTTTTGTATATTACTTACATCCATTTCTTCACTTTCAAATTTTCTATAAATGCATAAAAATATATAATCTAATAACGACATGTAATATATGTAATCTAATTACTTAATCAAATTTTCGCGATCATATTAAAACAGTATGGATAATGTAAAAGTCGTACAATTCCGCAATACGTATTTTTGTGAAGATACTCTGAATTATTTTTTAGATTTTTAGTGTGATTTATCTCCCATCTTTTCCTCCAAATATTTTTAATTCAAAAGCACAGTTGCGAAATACATATATATGTATATATATATATATGCTGTTTATTTGAAATTTCATTAGTAAATTACACGAGGCAAATTAAAAAGTACAGAAAAGATGAAACGCGTAATCATTTGTGCGTAGTTCGTGATGAATTAATCATTTATTAATCTGTATGTTTCCGAATCTTCTGTCTTATCATCATGGACTTTGACAATTATAGTAAAAAGAAATTGAAATAACCTAACCGAATTATTATTACTGGATCTTCTTATATACATCTATCGATATAATATTTACAATATAATGCGAAACTCGCTGACCAATGTGCGACATTACCGGGGAAAAGTGGCCAAAACTGTGCCATTGTTGAATTACTATTCGATAATATAGTCCATTATCAACATAGAATTAATTATTTATTCTGAAAACCTATGCACTATTCTTGTAATAGTGCTCGTAATATTCAAAATAATAAAATTGCTTATATTAAACGTGAAACATAACGTTCAATATTTATTTATATAACTGACATATGATACGTTCATGTGTGGCTATAGGTGCAGTTTAGATCATATGGCAAGTATCTCTTTTCTCGAGTGGTATAGATTTGATTGTTTCGTAAGCTTATAATATTCAATCTTCTGGACAATAAGTTCTGCGTTGCGTTGCACGTTATGATTTATTTAGCTTTGTTACTTTAGATTTGTTTTATTCAAGACCATTTTTATACAGAGTGCACTAGCTAAATGGACTTGAATATCTGCTGTATGAAAAATCTTCTCAGGACAAGGTTATATTATCTCAGGCGATACATATAACTGTGAAAATTGCAAATACAGTCAGTGTAAAAAGTGTTTGTACAATAATTAATTTAAACGAAAGTATTATAGATCGTTTACTAACAAAATTTAAACAAATAAGAAATATGTTCTTATAAATCCGCAAAATAATTTTCATAAAAAAAAAGATGGGCTATGTATATCCTTTGGGAAAATATTAACAAATGCCTAGAGGATGCGATGAAATGATGGGTATCTAAAAATATATGTGTAATAAGTATTCGTACAGTCACGGTTTAATAGGAAAAACTAATAAAACAACAAATATCCTGGAGAGGAAATCGCTAGGTTTAATTATATGAATACCTAATGGAGATTTCTTTCGATTTTATTATGGTTTGAAACCGTTGTGGAATCGAATTTATCAAATTGATGAGTTGTCTACTTGAAAAATTTTTCCATTCTTTTAAAAGAGTTCCCTTTCAATAATTTCTTGATGAAATACGACGATTCCGATTCTTTTCTGTCAGGTGGTCCCATACATTTTCTATAATATTTGTATTTGGAGACTGTGAAGCTACTTTTAACAGTTTCCGAATATTATATAAGATCCACGATCGCATATTAGTAACATTATGTTTTGGATCGTTATCTTACATCATGATGAAATTGTTGTTCAGAGCCATTTTTTCTGCGCTTTAATGCAGATTATTTTTTAAAACATCTACGATGTATATTTTATCCTATGAAGCGATAACTGTACGGATACTTATTGCGCTTACAGAGTCAAACCGAATAACATGTAAAAACGAGCACAATGTGTGTTTCAGCTTAGTTTTTCAGAAAATTAAGTTTGAAGATTTATCAAGTATTCTTGAACATGGCTTATTCCGGACTGGACAGGACTAAATAATCGACAGCAGCTCGTTCCACGTGTGAAAATAACTCGAAAATGTAGAATAAAATGTATCAATTTGCGTATGATAAATTTCCAAATCATTCTTTCTCGGAAACAAAGCTCCTTATGAAAGAATTTTACATATTATTCGGTCGGATTGTATAGTTTTGTCATTTGTTAGATATTTATTCATACTTTCAGAACAGAAACGAGTATCGCAATTTTTTTCCTTTTCTGAAAATTATTCTAGAGACTTGTAAGAACAGGTATACAGGGCGTTCCGTTTAAGTAAGAACAGTGGAATATCTCATAAGGGATTGGTTATTAAAAAAATGTTTTGACAAAAGTTGCTTGATTCGAAAGATGACATCTTCTGGTTGAAATTATTTCTTACAGATTAGAGTAGTGCAGGGATTTTAAGGTCAACTTTATTTTGTTAAATGGAATCATATATTTTGTAATACATTAGCCATACATCTTGGAATTCTCTGTAAGAAGGTATTAATCTATTTATGTCGAAAAACTATTAGTCTGCAGATATTTTGGTTTTAATTTGTCGTATGAAGAATGTTGTCTTTGTCTTTCATACGTTAAAACGTAAAGATAAGGGTATTTCTTCGCATCTTTCCTTGCCTTTCGTACGACATTACAGACATGTTAGAATTAAAGTATCTGCTAGACTAATAAATTATCGATGTAATTAGGTTAATACTTTTGTATAAGGAATGCTGAGGTGGATGGATGATGTATTAGAAAATATATGATATACTGCAATCTTGCTCGAATGTTGCTATCTATGTATGTAGTATCAACATGATGACTATTCAGCACATTATTGGATATGTATAAGGACAGTGATTATACAGAAGATTGTGAGACCGTTGGCTGTTTGACCTCTTTTCGTTAAATTTTTATCTATAGAATAAACTAAAATATACAGCGTATCATAGCAAACCAACAACGCCGGAGAATATCAAGCAGAGAATTGTAGCTGCATGTACATCCATAAAATCGCAGGAAATAGAAAATGTGCATGAAGAATTGATTAAAACAAAAAACAGGGCAACGAATACCGTTGGGTTAAAATGAACCTGCATCCGTTAGCCGAGGTTCAAAGATTCCAACTATGTATTGTAAGGGCCATCATTTTGAGCATCTACAGCCTTAGGAATTGTCAATGAATTGTATGAGAAACGTATCTTCTGCTATCGTATCTATTTTAAATAACAGCCAATGCTTATCTTTGGATAACAATATGTCAATATTGGTGCCTGGGTGTCCTGTGGATCTTTAATTATTCTCAGAAACAAATATTTTAAGATTAAGTGATCTGAATAATATGATTGTTAAAGTCGTTGAATTTGTTTTTTTCACGTTCTACAAGGATATGGAAGACGAATATAAATAAAAATACTAATGGGTCTGAAATCTCGTATAACAAATAAGAACCATGAAAAATATTACCCTTACACATGTGTTTTGAGATAAAATGACCATGAAAAATATTACCCTTACACATGTGTCTTGAGATGAAATGAAATTTCGTCTTGAGAAAATTTTTCCTATTGCAACAAATAAGCCAAACATGTAGGTGATACAATTTAGATGGCTTATCCTTTATATGTAATTATGAAGAGGGTCTTTGAATTTTTTCCGATTGAATGTAAGTTCTTGATGATGAAATGGTAAGATCGTAAATTATCGTATCAAGAGGCGATAACCGATGTGACATCAGCATTGTGATGCTGTTCCCTTATTTGCGTCAAAATTTCTTAATCCATTAAAGACCACTCAATAGTTTATCATAATGTTATAAATAGTTTCGTTTCTTTAAATTTCATAAAATTGTAGAATCCAAATGAAAGGAAATATTAAGCGAATCCTTGGAATTCCTTTTTTTAGTTACGATTTTAATAAACATAATTCGACAATGTAAAAAGAAAATTGCAAGTAAAATTTTGCGCCAACCTAACGTTGGATCGTAATTGATTAAGTCACGTATTTCTAAATATATACATTTATAATTTGTAACTGGACTGGTTTTATCATCAGTTTGTTTCACTTCCAGTTACTGTACAAATTAAAGCTTAAAACATTTTTTTTAAAGAATGTATGTTCATATACATATGGATGTATTTTTTTATTTCTTGTAAACGTATTTAAAGAAATAAAACCATTATACCAAAAATTATGAATGAATAATACATTAATAAGCTGAATGGTGATTATAATAAGCTGAAAGATGAATAAACGGCTGTAATTTCTTAACTTCACTTAGCTGCTTTGGTCGTCGTTTTTGTTTTGTTATTTTTTACGTATTATTGAGAAACTTTATTTGTTAGTATTAATTATTGTTAATCTAATTATTACTGACGTTTGTAATTATCTGTTTTGTGATAAGCTGAGAAATTCTTTTATTATCAATATATTTTTATTTATCTATCTCTGAATCATGTATGAATGTACTGGTATTGAACTTAAGGCGACACGTTTGTAAAAAAGGAAATCTCATCCGTTAGTTGCAATTTCACTCGACTGCATCGACCCGTTAAAAGCGTCGGAGATGGAGCGTAAATAGTGAATGATTGCATTAAAAACCAACAACCCTGAAATTATGTTCGTGATTACCAACATTATGAATTACAGTTCTATTATGATTTCATTATTCAGTAATATTTACACAAGTTTACATTGAATTATTTTGATTGAAACCATAATGTTGACTGATGTTTGATCAATCTCTTTTCCAAAGCTTCGAGCTATGTTCTACGTTATACTATTTTCCATAGAATTTACTTGTTTTAATATAGATTCTACAAAAAATTATACTGCGACCTTCAATTACCATGCAGTAAAATGTAATAAATTCTATGGAAGAAAATTTCTTTGCACTTCATAAAGATAATATTTTTAAATAGTATCTGTACTAACAGGGCTTCCAGTATGATCGATATAGTTTCAACACGTTTGCAAGAAGTGTATGCAAAATGGAATCGCAGAACGGAGATAAAGCGAAACCCAGAATTGAATACGGTTCGATTTTCGATAAAGGGTAAGACTTTCATTCAATGCATAAAGGATGTAAAATACATGAATTTTTATCAAAGGTAGAAAACTGATTAAGAAAGAATTTTAATCGAATATTCACATGGTTTAGAACTTCGGCGAACTGGTCAACAAATGCATAAAAAAAAGTTACAAGATAAGGAACAAGCAAGAAAAGTTCGGGAAAGTTCTTTATTTCAAATCAAAGAGACTGAACCATTAATCCCTACTGTCACAGAAAGCTCTTTATTTCTACACTATTGCTGCAGCAGTTGCACTCCATCATCTAGAGTAGGTTTTGCATATATTACATATTCTTTAACGTTGATGTAAATGAAAAATAAAATGATTTTGTTGTTCGTTCTTTAACAAAGATATTCGACGTACCGCTTATATCTAGTGTATCTTTAATGTGCTATAACTTTGTCATAAGATGGTCGCGTAACCATTTTTTTATTTAGTATAGATTTTAGATCATCTAGAACCATTTGTAGTAAGTATTTTTCAATGGTGATAATAGCTTGATTTATATATAGTGCTGTTCAGAAAATTCGTAATATTTTTGATAATCAATATATTTCGCCCTGAATTTGATAGTACTAAAAGAAGAGCATTATCTGTGGCTACAAAAAATATCTATATCTTTATGCGATCTTCAATAAAATCTTCTAGTAGTATATTTTAAATATTAAATATCGTGCAAACAGACGTGAAACTATAAAACTAATTACTTACATAACTAATGTAGTTATATAACAAGTTTATTGATATTGATATATTATCCACCATGCAAAAGTTTCGATGCGTAATTTAGTTATTGCATATTGTTGCACATACCACATGATTTTTGCATACCGTTTAATATAAATATGAAAATATTGCACGTAGCGGTATTGGTTTCTCTCTTTCTCTTTATCTCTACTGGTTTCTGGTTTCTTTTTAATATAATTAGATAAAAGAAGTCATATAAAGTGAATTGCGATATTATACGATACATTTATCGAATAATGGTTGTTATTAATGAAGGCCACATATGTATCTCTGATGATAAAAATTGATCTTCCTCACAGTTAAATTAATCATTTTATTATTTTGATATCTATGTACTAAACATCAACGAAGTTCAAATGTAATCGCTAATATATAAATGATTATCACTGTTAAATAAATTTCACAAATGCGTAATAATTAAAAACAATGTTTATTAAATTATTAATTAAGCAACTATTATTGTGGTGGCAACATGAATATTGAAGAAATGTAATATATAAAATACATACAATTAAAGCATATCCGTAAATAATTAGAGTATAAGCTTTTACTAAATATATTTTTTTCATTTAATTTTATTTCTTACAGAATTCATTAGTAAATATTGCTAGTAAGCAATATGCGCCTTTTGGTACAAATGTCCTATTAATGGAGTCACATCAATCGCTATTCCATAGAATATTACCTCGTGCGATACGCGTTTGTTCTTTTAAAGAACACGATTATTCAAGGGAATCAGTAAGATATAAATCTTAAAATAATTACATTTATTGAAATAAAAATTTAATTCTTTGTCGATTTTGTACATAACTTTTCTCTTTTATAGATCCTAGAAAGTGATAATTTAAAAGAAGCAACAAAGTTGGTTGCTTCTGAAATAATTAAGGATGAGGGTTGTAGTGAAACAGTTGCCCTGGAAAAAGCAAAAGAGAGAGCCAAGACCATACTAGCACAAATGGAAAGCAAACCAAACAATCTTTTCATTAGAATTACATCATGGATTACTTATGTACTGTTACCATGTTTTATGCAGTCTGTTATAATATTACCATCTCAAATAGAAATGTTAAAAAAAGCAAATGAGACTGGTCTTCCTGTGATATTACTTCCTTTACATCGTAGTCATATGGATTATTCTATAATTACCTTCCTTCATGTAATGTATGGTATTAAATGTCCATTAATTGCAGCTGGGGATAATCTAAAAATGCCATTTTTTGGGTATGTTATAAATATATATAGGGTATCTTATTACAATACCATGTTATTATTATCGAAATTTTATGTGTCAAACAGGAAGCTTTTGCAAGGCTTGGGCGCATTCTTTATAAAACGTCGAATTGATCCTGTCATAGGCCGCAAAGATATTCTTTATCGTGCCATTCTTCAAACATACATACTGCAAAAATTAAAAGAGGGTCATATTATAGAATTCTTTTTAGAAGGTACACGTACAAGAACTGGTAAACCATGCATGCCAAAAGGTGGCATTTTGAGTGTCATTCTTGATGCATACATGGAGGGAATTATTGAAGATGCAATGATAGTACCTGTTGTACCAAATTATGAACGTCTTATTGATGGAAATTTTGTTCAAGAGCATCTAGGTCAACCAAAGAAGAAAGAAACATTTATATCTACAATGAAAGCCATGTTTTCTACTTTATTAACAAATTATGGAATTATGAAAATTGATATTTGTCAACCCTTTTCACTCAAGGTAAGTTATTTAAATTCTTTTTAATGTCATGGATGACATTTATCACTAAATTTCATAATTTTATTGCTTTCTGAAAAGGAAATGTTAAAGTCTTTCCAAAATCAATCAAAATTGAATGGAGTAAAAATATCTCCTGCTGAAAAGCCTTTAAGGTCGACAGTATCTAGCTCATCGCTGTATGGTACAGATGTAGTTGCAGAAGAATACCGTCAACTAGTTGACAGTCTTGCACGGCACGTTGTATATAGTAAGGACAAAACACCTCTAAAAGCATTAATTTGTTTCTTTGTTCAATGTTAATGTACAATATTTTTTAGATTGTAGTAATGCAATGCCAGTAATGTCGACTAACGTTGTTGCGTTCATCCTTCTATATATATTTCGAGATGGTTGTACCTTGGATGAATTAGTTGAAGCATTTGATTTCCTAAGACACCAGTTAGAAAGTCGTACTAAAAACATTGCATTTTGTGGAGAAAATATTGATATCATAAAACATGCTGTTAGTAAGATAATTATGTTATAAATATTTTATTATGATAAAAGAATATATGTTGACTCATTCTTTTAGTTAGACATCTTAGGTCCAGATTTAGTAAAACTAAAAAATCACGAAATTATAGAAACAGCTGATAGTCAGTTAACTCAATCAAATTTCGTTACCGTAATCCGTCCTATGTCGTTTCTACCAAATGTAATCGAACTATCTTATTATAGTAATACAGTGGTAACATGTTTTGCTATGGATAGCATAGTGGGTAAGAGAACATATTATTTCGTAAATTATATTAATTTATTCGATTTAATAATTTGTTTACTACATTTGCAGTAACAGCTTTGTATGCTGAATTACAGTCACAAATCAATGATCCTATAGGTTTTGATCAAAACAATATTATAGTGTCTCAAGATCTTTTGGTAGAAAAATCACTTAAACTTTGTGATATTTTTAAATACGAATTTATTTTCTGCAAGCCATGTGAGGAATTAGAACGCGTCATTATAGACACTGTGGTAAATCTCTCACATAAAGAGATTATTATTTTACAAGAGGTAGTGTATACTTAACATAAAGTTATTCTAATAGGTTTATTATTATTAATCATTATTACTAATAGGTTACTCATATAAATTATTTGATAGGAATCTTATTTAGAAGAGGAACTATGGAGTAAAAGATTCGCAAAAAATTTTGATGATAGTTCAGATGAAGAATATCGTAATAAGAATAGATCTAAAAGTATTCGGTACAAAGTAAGTTATTCTTTAATTTAGACATATTTTCTAATAACGGAATTGTGATCTAATTTAATTGTTTCTTCTAGTTAAACTTACTATCGGAATATGCAAAACGTGTGGAATATCTTCATATAATGTTACAACCTTTAGTAGATGTTTATACTTTTACCATTTTGTCTCTTAAAGGTTTAGTAGGTCAATCGCTAAGCGAGAAAGATTTAATTCAAAAAATTTTAAATGACATAAAGACAAATATAGATCATGACATAATAAAATACAGTAAGTAATGGCAAATAACTATATTTTTATAATATATACATATATGTACATATATTGCATTATAAAGTAATGTATCATTAATTTTATTTTGATATAGGTGAATGTTTATCTATTGATTCAATAAAGAATGCCCTAAAATTATTTGAAAAATGGAATATCTTAGAATGTTATCCACAAGAGAATGTTAAAATTTTCTACCTGAAAGATCAATATGATACAGACTCAGCTGTAATGAAAATCTATGATAAAATAGCAGCTTTCAGATGGACTAAAAGTATAAATGAAAAAAAAAAGATGAAAATTTTTGAATGAATTTCTATAATGTACTACTTTTTTACATCAACGAATAACTTGATATGAAAAACTTTGTAAATAGTGGTTTACAAATAAGAAGTATCACCTAACACGTTTGTTACTATAGTGCATTAGAACAAAACATCCATCACTGGTCAATAATTGCGATTTTTTTCATCCAAGCATGCTAAATATAATATATCTATTAGGTTTTCCGAAAAGTTTCTTTCGTTTCATAAGGTGATAATAGATGAGTAACAATTTCTGTTTTATATTATTTTATTGAATTAGGTATGATCCATTTCGTTCTATTTCTATTATGTTTGTGAATAATTCAATAAACTAATATAAAACAAAAAACATTGTGCATCTATTATTTCCTTATAAAACGAAAGAAACTTTTCAGACAACCTAATATTTATCTCACACATTAAGATTATATCTAAATTAACACATACATATATGATACTGACAGCAAACGTGTTAATCTCTTTATACATTAAAATATGTAGATTAAATATTTATTGCTCTGCATGAATAGTTCTAAAATTCATAGCAGAAATACAGAAAGTTTAGATTTGGGTCATTAACTGTATGTAAGAATACAATAGCAGAATGGCTAATGTGATATTACAATATATTAAACATATTAGATTTATTTCGTTAATAAAGTAATCTTACGTACTATTAAATTCAGTGTTAATAACTTTTTTGTTATTGTTAAAAACAGAAACATACTTAAAAGAGTAAAAAGCTATTTTTATTACACTTTTACAAAACAGTCGAACGATAAAATAAGTTTTTTATGTATGATATTATAAAAAAGAATAAACAGAACAAATAAATGACATTGTTTTTTATATATTTACAATTAGAAACGTGTTGCATATATGATTCAAAACTTTATAACTGATGCAATCGGATAACTTCTTCGCATGCCCATACACTTTTCCCTATCAATAAATAATGAATCAACTTTGGATTTTAAATCACTTTCTAAATTAGACCTAGTGCGTAAAAGTTGTTGATGTTGTGCTTCAAATCTTTGTAATTTTAAATTCATATCATGTATCATTGTATTTATTGTTTCTACTTCCTCAATCATCCTACGTAAGTGAAAATTTGTTTGAAAATTTAAAGATGTTTACGATTACTATCATTAAATTTTACATAAATTTCTTGACTATACCTAAGTTGAGCATGATCTTTACATAATTCTGCAGCTGGTCGATGTATTCTGCTTTCTAATCGAGTGTGTGCGACTTTAAGAGCAGAACTTTTATCTGTGATGGCTTTTTGCATTAATTGTAGATTTTTTTCAATTGCAAAAATTTCTTGTTGGATCTGTAGTTACATACATCAATTATACAACAAAAGTTTAAAGATCAAGATATTTTTAATTACTTTATGTAAATGTATTTGTAATTTTTCTTTTGCTTCAAGCATTTCTGCAGCTCTCCTGGCTAATGCATTATTTGCATTTCCCCATGCTTCCCACATCTCATGACCAACTGCATCTATCGCGACTTCTATATCGCTTCGTAATTGATTAGATTTCTCCCGTTCTTTTTGTGATTTTTTTACTACATTATTGGAAACTTCAGCCCATGATTCGGCTTCTGTAACACTTAAGATATACGACATAAATTACGATCGTAAATCACAGTTTAATATGAACTTACCTTGGATCATATTTTTCAATACCACCGTAATATTTTAATCCACGACTGAAATTATTCATTTGGTGACAAGTAACATCAATTCCAAGTGCAGTTTCTTTATTTTTTATATCAATTTCTAACTGATTTTGTACTGCTCTACTGTTTGTAAGCTGAGTATAAAGCAAGAGATTGCAATGATTAGTATGAAATTATGATTTTGTACTTACCTGATTAACACATTTGTCCGTAAAGTGTTCTAACTTATTTTGACAATTTCTGACTACCTCAACCTCTTTTAAAAGAACGTGCTCAGCTTGGTCATGTACCAAATCAGAACCTGTATTTTAAAGGACATAAGATATTTTATGAACATTGGTGAGATTTATTAACTTATGGAGATAAATATTATAAACCTGTCCTAGCTTCACGATAATATAAACATTCCTGCGCTATGTGCAGTTGACCCTCTAAACTTTGTATCGTTGTTTGTAAGTTTCGACGGCACTCTTGCATTCTTGTATTTTCTATTATTAATCTTTCCAGTTCTGAAGCCACTTCATTCCTCCAAAAAGTAGTATCCGTAATTCTTTCTCCCAATTTACGACCGCTTTCAGTTTGGCCGTTCTGTACTTTCTCATCGGCCTCTCTAAAATTAGATTAATTATTATTTGTAATGTATTGTAACAAAAAATATATATATAACAAAATATCATAATCACTTTACCGCATCATTCGAACAGTATCCGCTCTTAAATTTTCAGAGAAATTTCTGTTGCTATCAGATTCATTATAAAGTTTTAGCTGATTCTCCACCCATTCGTATGGACCATATCTTGTAAAAAGTGCAGCTCGTGCGGCGTGTGCAGGATTTCTATCGAAACCAGTTACCAGATTAGGAAATCGTAACGGTTCCGTAGTCATTCCTTTTGGCATATAACAGGTATTAGCAAGTAAATTTGTCATAGGTTGTGCAGGTCTGAAATAATCACAAAAGGATAAATAATTTTTTAAGATAAACTAACAATAAGATACAAGCGATTGAATGGATTTTAATAAGAATATTACAGCGGAGATGTTTCTACGATTTCATATCCTAAAGTAGGACGCCATGGATGTGGTTTTGGAGTTTTATGAAATTCTCCAACTCTTACTGGAATCGGTGGACCAATAATTTGTTCCATACATGGTAGAACACCCACCGTAGTCCATGGTTGAAGTTGCTAATATTAAAATAGTAAATTAGTAGCATAATTTGTTATTTAAATTCACATGAGTACAAACCGAGTACATAACAGTTTCTTGTTGTCCCTCAATTTTGGTACTCTCCATTGTTCAAATTTATATTAAAAGGAACTAATACTGACAAAAATGTTATCTCTACGAAATAATTTTTCACATTTCACTTAGCTTGATGAATAACTTCTTAAAATGAAATGGCTTAATTTGGAATGAAGGTTTATTTGAAAACCGGAAACAAAGTTATCACGTGACGTCTGTCATATGATTCTAGCCTAGTCAGGTGCTCTGTTACCTTACATTCTGCTCGATCGCAGTCGATCAGTACTTATCTGACTCGCCCAGTTGTGTTTGACTAAAACTATCATGACACAATTTTGTAATGTTTTCTGTTTCGTTTTTATCTTAAACGTTGCATTTCAAATTTTACCTTCACGCGCCGATAATGCAGTACCTGTATTGCTATGGGGTGAGTCAGTTAATTCTGATTTAACAAATGCAGTGAACCCCTTTTTAAAGACTACCAGCGAGGAATTTGGTCTTTACCTGCGTAAAAAATTAGAAAATTCACCTCCAGTTCTTCTTTATATAAAAGATAATCTGTGTATTGAAGATTTAGTGAAATACAAACAGGTTATTGTAATATACTTTATAATGTTATATAGTTGAACTCATTTACTTGTTGACTTGAATATTAATATAATTTGTACAATCTCTTAGCATCTTCAGGAAGTTATTAGTGGTGATTCTTTACGTTATTTTCCTGCTGTTGAGAAAGCAGTGAATACTGTTGAAGACTTACCTTTGTACAACCAAACTTATAATGATTATGTGGATTCTGTATCTGATGGACAATTACTGATTGTGCCAATTAGTAATTTGGATATTATCCCAGATACATACAAGACGATAAAGGATTCTAGCCCTAATTTGATAGCTATGCTCACAGGGAAAGCCTGTAGTTATAGACGTTCTGAACGAGTAAAAAGGGACATTGATGCAGACAATACTACTACATCTTTTGTCATTTCAGGAGCAAGAGTGTTATTATATGCTAATCGACCATTATCATTGCAGGTAATTTTAATTATTAGTATTTTACCTAATGATCTTTATGACCATAATTAATCCATCTTTGTGAATAATAATTCTTTTATTTGATAGCCTGAAAAAGACAAAGCTGTAATAAATCTTCCACTTAAACCTACAATTACTGAAGAATCGGATCCAAAAACATCTGCATATAATTTAACTATGACATTTACAGGATCTGGTGCTATCATCAAAAATGAACTTGTTTTTATATTTAAAGTTAGAACTGCAGGATATTATACACTCAAAACAATTAATTACTCACATTATATTAATGCAAATTCTACTGGTAATCCACAAATTTTAACAACAGATACAGATATTGTTTTTCCATTTAATTTCTCTTATCATTGTTCACAAATTATTACATTCAAAAATGGCGATACAGCCTTAAATATAACAGGTTTACAAGTGCAACTTGATCCACAACCAGACAAAAAGACTAATGGCACAAAAATATTTGCATTTAATGATGCATATGACTGTGTCGGTTTTACTACAATTCCAATTTGGACAGGAATATTTGTTACCGCTATATTAGCTTTAATTATGATTTGGGCTCTTACTATGATTATAGATATTCGTACAATGGATAGATTTGATGACCCCAAAGGAAAAACAATTACTATTTCAGCTCAGGAATAATATAATAATATTAAATAATTAAAGATATTGTGTACATACATACCATAGTATCTCGTAATCTAATCAATTGTCAAATAAATTTTCAATGTCATGTTGGTAATTTGTATATGTAGAATGTATGTGCATTAAAATTTATTAATGCTGTTAATGTTATCAATTTTTCATTTAACAATTATAACATTGATGCAATAACATTTTGCTATTAGATAATAGTGAATTTAATCATTCCATTTATCTAATATTATACTACTTTCAGTATTTATATATTTTTTGTGTATTATAGTATTTCTTTCTGTAGTATCTGCAATATATAATTTCTAAGAAAATTTTGTTTTATAATTATCAAAGGACACAATACCATGTATTAGTGAATAAATAAGTAACTACTTTAAATATGTATCTTTCAACAATAGAACAATGTTGTGATATATTGATAGTTGATTGAAACATGCATAAGGTTTATAAAAAAATCTTATATATCATGCTTTGTATTATAATAATATTATGCATTAATCGTAATAAGATGCATATATTGAATAATATAGTTGTTTGCATATATATAATACGCACACGCGAGCTCACACAAATCCATAAATGCGTATATATAAGATATAGTAATATCTTATAAAAAATTATTTAATTGTTTAATTCTTTTATTAATTTTTCTTTATTCTAGTTAGTGATGATTGTAAAAATGTTTTATGAGATTCTATAATATAAATTTTTAATGTATAGAACACGTATACATAATATATGATATAATTTAATTGAAATTGTTGCATATTATCTATGTATAACATGCTGGAACATTTGCATTATGTATTATAATAAATATCATGGAATAGGGTGGTAAAGTAATTTGTTCTATAGATTCTAATACTATAGGTCGGAATGGTGGTAAATTTCCATTAGATTCCAATTTCAATAATTCTCCATTCATTTTTATAGTCCTAAAAAAATTTGAAATAAAATGTTACATAATCTATTTTCATGTAAAATAATTATTACATACCTTGATTGTAGTTTGTCAGAAGTAAGTGCATATAAATAAACTTTAGCATTTCTGTGAAATACAGGAATTCCTTGAATAGTAGTACGAATAGGGAAGTTAGCTAGATTAATTCCATATATTGTAATTGCTGGAAATCTGCCAGTCCATGCTTTTTTTGGAGTGCAATGTGCATACAATCGTACATACTCAAGAGGTATTGGTAATAGCTCTAAAACTTTTTCTGAAACAAATTTCTTATACACTACACTAACCCACCAGTCAGGATTTGGTATAAGATCAGATCCAATCATAGCATAGTCTCCACCAAATAATGATTGCCTAGTAACAACATTTACTCCTGTACTGGCACTGTATCCCAATTTGTCGAGCCATAAAAATCCAGCTACAAATCTATCTGATAGGTTTGGTGCACCTCCACCATAAGCTGTACTTGTTTCTGCTACAAAAAGATTCTTTTCCATCACTTAAATTTGAAATTTTATTTCAAAGAATCTAATATGATTACATACATAACCACATAGGAATAAGTCCTCCTGATGATATAATTGCTTTTTGCATGGATTTAATTTGCTTTGGCAAATAATTAAAAGTTGAAATATTTATAAAATCAGTTAGTTGAGCTTCTCTTCCATCAAGGTAATATTGATGCCAAGTAACATAGTTTACACTATTTTTATCATTTTCTAAAAATGTTTTCGCATATTGCTCTCCCATATGAATTGTATCTTCTACATGATTTACTTCTGGTCCCACAAGAAGACTTTTATTATATCCCATTTCATCTAATAATTCCCTCAAGTGACAATAATCATGTGCAAGTTGAGTTGCATTAACATTTCTATTAAATACATGACGAAAAGAATTTGGTTCTGAAATTTTATTATTATTACGTATCAAATCTATTTAAAAGATAAGCAGATTGAATAATAAAATATGATATTAAAAAAAAATAGTAAATAAAACATTTACCATTTCCTAATTGCCAGTCTAGAGTCATGCCCTTATTTTTGGCAAATGAGATTATATTTTTAGCATTAACATCATTCCAAGAGTCATTAACATTTCTAATTAATACATTTAAATCGAATATCATTCGCAATTTTGATTCTGTCGCAAAGTTGTATAAATTCTCAAAATCTGTCTCATTAATAGTAAAATTACTTATATCTTGGCCGTCTATCGGATTAATTACTTTTTCGGAAACTATTTTTGTCTATACAATATAATTCATATAAATTATTATCTAAGTGTTTTTAAATAAATATGTATATATATATATATATTATATATATGATAATTTCATAAATGATAAAATAATATACCAACTTGATTAAAGTATAGACAATCTGCAGACGTACCGCCTACCCGAACATAGGCTGGCCCAAGAAGTCGAGCTAAATTTATAAATTTGCTATCCTTTATTGGAAGACTTTTCATATCACGAAGTAATGATGTATCAAGACCGAATGACAAAAATTTGTCTGACACTATGTGTAAAAGTGATTGTCTCGAATATAAGTGAAGGATATGATTATCAATATTCTGGTTTATCATATTATTGAAATTCCATGCTAATAATATTAAAACTAACATACAAAAACCCAGAAGGGTTAAACTAAAAGCGGGATGTATTGTTGATTCTGAAATTTAAAGAAGAATATGAACGTGTAGATATTATAATTGTATAAGTAATCCATTGGGCGTATTTGAAGTTCAAATTTTAAATATACCATGCGTAATAGAACATGCAATATGGCGATAATATTGTATATATACTATATATATGCATGTGTATTTTAACAATATTAATTGCGTATAGAAATAATTTATGCAAGGAGTATTTATTAATACGAATATTTATTAAAAATAAATTCTATTAATTTCAATGAAAGAACTTACGGAGTCGAAGTTTGCCAAACTTCCTATACTCATTTTTTCCTTGCTCGTTGGTTATAAAGTAGCTCATAATTTGTTTAGGTTCTTAATTATCTATATATGTATTCCAAAATAATTTTATACATAGAATTCTTATTAGTTTGTGATAGGAAGCAAACAGATTTATCAGAATTATGATATGCTGTAATTTAAACAATATAAATGATGATAAACAATTTACCAGTGAAACATTTTATCTATTAAAAATGAGTGATGTTTCTGCATTTATTTTCGATTGGAAGTTTTACATTTTGTATAAATAATTTTATCGTTATTTAAAAAAGGAGCTCCTCTTTTACGTGTATATTTTTTCTTTCTATTATTGTAGCTGTGTAGTTCTATACTGAATTGGCTTGTAAATTGTTCCTGCTTGAGAACTATGATAATTATGTTAAAATTACAAAGAACCTACGATTCTTGTGTTTCTTGTATAATATTTATATTAATAAGTACCTCCAGATGAAATTTGTTCAGATAGCGAATCTAAACTAGAACTTGATGATTGAAAAAGTAAAGACCGGCTTCTGTGTATCGCAACACGATTACGATAAGACAAACTACGCCTACGTTTCTGTTTTTCGTTTAACTGCTGCTTTGATTCTGAACTACTTAATTCATCTTCAGCCCAAAACGGTCGATCAGTGTCATCGGATATTGGTGGTGCTGTTGATGCCGGTGACTTAAAAATAAAGATATTTCTCTTTAAATAAAGGCATATTTTTGATAATAGTAACTTACAATATCTTGAGAAATTCTAAATGTAAAATATTGTTTGTCATTAACATTTAATTGATTTAATACCCCAACAGATATTGTGGTACAAGATGATTGATTTTCATAACCTTCATCCTCGGAATTTTGTATCGTTTTACGAGTATCACCGCTAGCATAATAGCCCATTATGAATTTTGTTTAAATTTTGATAAGTTATACAATTATAAAATTTAAATTTTCTACATATGTTTGATTACACTGATGATTTTTTGTACTTTGTGTTTAAAATTTTAATGTTTAGAAGAGCCATTGAAAATAAATGGCAGGCTTTTTTTATTATGGTAGAACAAGTTGCATTATAAGCTATAATTTGGAATATTTATTTAATACATTTTTTGGTTTTTTAATATTAAGAGAAAGTTATGCTTTATAAAATGTCTTTATTATATCTTCCTTAAAATAAAAATGTTACATTTTCTTTAAAATAATATATATGTCGGAGACAGGTTGGCATTTTGAGGCGTTCGATGAACCTTTACTTACTTTACCGTCGCGGATGTAGCCAATATTTATCAGTACGAATGTGGACACTACAAGAGGCTATGAGTAATGGTAATAGGATGGTCGAGATGATGGTGACAACGAATTCAGGTTCGATACCTGATCGAATCCACGATCCACGGGAGGACAAGTATCAACGTACTACTCGATTCGGATCACTCAATCGGCAATTCGTCCAATGACTCTAATACTCTAACTCTAACTCTTGTAATCCAAAAGAGGCTGCCCTTATATACTCCTGTTTCCGCTTCTCGGGTTAATCTTTGTTTTTAAGGAGAGCCATATAATCATTTCATACCTCTGTCAGGTACATGTCCCTCCCGTGCCCGTGGCTACCGTGGCTACGTCCGGTGACCTACCATGTCACTTCGAGCCCAAACCCATCGTCATAAAATCAGATTGGAACATTAAGACTATTTCTTATTTTTATTACTTAAGGGCAGCTGTAGTAAAAGTTTGAACTAGTGTGTTGGGGTTTTTTCCAACATTCCGGACGGGAAATGCCGCTGTCTTTCCATCTCCGACATATATATTGCAAATAATTATTTTTGTTATTCATTATACTATAGTACATAGTTGTAATAAAGTCTTAAAAGATAAATTGAATGAACCTTGTAATTATTAATACAAAATCTATTTTTGTATTTTTTATTATAATTTAAAAATAATTCTAACAGATAGAATTTCAAATCACTGTATTTCTTTTCATACATCTCAAACATCTTAAATGTCCAGTATCATTCTTTAATGCTGATAGGATAAATTTATCATTTCTTTCATCCTTCCCAGTAAAGTTCTTTAGAACTTTAATGCGTATCACATTACACATATGTATATACATAAATATAAAAATGTCCTTAATCATTCTCTGATTTTCTACGCTTTTTTGAACGTGGACTGTCTGTATCATGAGGACTTGGAGTGAT